ACACATTTCTAGTGGTTTCACTAGTCTTCCAAGCCCGGATTCTGGCATGGTCGAAAAATGTGAATTTATTGGAGGCCAGACGGGATTTCATGGTAACAACAGTTGGTTCAATGGGAATTTCAGGATCCAATTGATGGAGGTACGTTAGTACCATATAAGGCCATATTTTCTGGGGATATTCTCTTACATAGTCCTGAAAAATAGGCCTTATATAGGCCTTATATATGGTAGGTACCTCCATTTTAGGATCCTGAAATTCCCATTGATTGGTTATGATATATTAGAATATCATTTACCAACTGGGATCAATCAATGCCCATATTATCATCCATGCTTACAATTGCTAAACCAGATTTGACTGGGTGAGACATAATCAACCAATCATAGTGGTAACAACTACTGGTGATAATCGTAATGGAAAATACCTGGTGAGGCCTCTGTTTACGCTAAGTTGACGCACATATTTTAACGGTTATGAACTATGCTTTGTGGGGGGTAAAACCATAGTATTCATAGGGTCTACCAACATCACTCAAACCTCACCTGGCAACCACGGAAGTCTCGAAAAAGTGGGACTTTTCGGCCCCTCGGCCTTTGCGTAATGTCAACCCTGGATTAATAAACCCCCAACGGCTGGTTAATTAGGGGGGGTACCATTTAAGTATTGGATGAAATGACTATTGGAGGAGTACCCCCCCTAATTTTCATAAACCAATAAACCATGGTGAGACGTCTTATCCGGGGTTGACATTACTGGAAATGATCCCCTTTGGGTTTCATAAACCATGGTTTTTCAGATGAATTGAATGACACATCGCCTCGCTTGCGCGTAAGCGCTGCACTTGCGCGCTTTTGGGCGCTTTTGGGTCCCGGGTCAAAATGGCAAGATTTCCGAGGTCAACCTGGAACCTCGGAGGATGGCCATCTAACCATGCAGTATTGATTACCCGGCCTGGTAATTTAACATAGCTATTTACCCATTAATGGTGTTTTCATGGGATTCAATGGTGATTCAATGGGATTTAATGGGATATATGATGGTATACCTGGCCTGGAAAACATACAAAAAGCAAACTGGAAGCCATGGCCCAGTCGAAATAGTTGATTTTCCCATTAATAGCATGGTGGATCTTTCCACAGTTTTTTGTATGTTTACCAAAGGGTAATGATCAACCGATCAACCGGCCATCAACCAGGCTTTAGCCATCAACTCCTCCCAATGATTTTTCATCACCGGCCAAAAATGGCACAACAATGGCAAAAATCTTGCGCCCTTCGCAGCATTGAAGTCGGACTGCAATTTCTCATAGAATTGGATGATGGGAAAATTTACAGGAAAGCCCTATATTTGATGGTAAAAACCAATGGTTTCCCGTAGATTTTCCCTTAAACCCATCCAGTGAATTTCTGAGGCTGAAAGACTTGGAGAAGGAACGACTCTTTGAAGGATGTTCCATAGAGTTCCTAGAGGCGCAAAAATGGCGAAAAATAGGCGGTTCGTTTTTTCGGCTGAGGATCATGTTTTAAAATTAATCCGCTACTTGGGAAATCTATCGAGAATACTTGTTCATTTGGGGCTTCGAAATTCGTATTTTTTCATTCTCGACCGTAGAAATGTGTTGATAATCCCAGTGACGATTATTTTTCGAGAGGGGATGAAAGCTTTTTTCCAAGTAACAGGAGATTGGCTGAGTTTGGATTCTGCTGAATCATGATCAGGGTTTCTACCAACAAACATGGTGGGCGAAAAAACAATTCAGACATATGGTGCATTGGGCGTTGAATCTCAATGCTTCGTACAGAAAATGATCCTCGAAGTAACTTGACAAGTTCAAAAGGGACCCCGACATAGACATTTCAGAGAGGGAACACAATGAATCTTTTACCCCCTGGTAGTTGCAGCTATATGCAGCTATAGAAAATCACCATTTTAAAGCAACTCATCCAAAAAGGGGCCATTTTCCACGTCTATTGTATGCAAATTACCAGAGGGAAGCTTTCGATTGATCCTATCATTTCGATTCATTGGATGTGCAGGACCCACTTGGTTTTTGTGGATTATAAACCATATCCATAAGTATATCCTATCAATCAGCATTGACCTTATCCGATGTGTATCATGGTATGATGGTATTTCTACCATATCAATCCATATCATATCTATCAGTCCGGATAGAAATTATAGATGAATTATATAGATGAACTATAGATGAATTATAGATAAGTTATAGATGAATTATAGACATTAGATGACTGGTTATTGTTATCCCAGTTATCCCATTATTATCCCATTATTAAAGCATATAAAACCATATCAAAGCCAACCAGAGGGGTTTTGGGTAGGTCAACCACCAACCAGATGACTTTGATGATACTGAACTAGATGCTGCTACTAGGTGGTGCTTCGCGAGAGCAAGCGCCGTCATATCGCCCCGGGGGAGGCGCGCCATTTGGCGGACGTCGTGGAAGTCGGAAAGTCGGGTCTGGTGATGGAAAGGGGTTATATATATATATATCCCATAGGATCCATGTATGGTATATATGCTAACATTGGGGGTATATTGATGATAAATGTTACCATAGTTAGATTTAAGCAATCCCATCTTTTTAAAAACCCACCCAGCCTATAATACAATCAAATTCTATGGGGATAATACCTATATATATATTGGATGAATAGGGTTTACCTATAATATATATAATATGTGGTTCAGTAACATATAAATGGTTTATTTACTGAATACATATATATATATATACTGCAGCAAAATGACTAGGGGTCTATGTTTATATATGTTATATATGTGAAAACAAATACCCTTTGGTAAATAAACGTAGACCCTGAAAATAACCCATTTTGAATGGAAACGAATCTTCCAACCCCTATCTGCCAGGGTTCATGTTAATTTACTGGATGGTAATAGGGTTTAATATGGATTTAACATGGATCCCAAATGCCACAAAATAAACTTGCCATTTGGGGCATGAGAATATATGATATGATATGGCATATAGTTTCCAGCCATAAGCATGGTGCATATGTTTGGCTTTATCATCTCGGTGGTTAGACTTGCCTCTGAGAAGCAAGTCTAAGAAGAGAGGAGTATCCCTACAATGTGAGGCCCCCAAGATATCTAAGTTGGTTTATAACTCCAATAACTATGGTTTATGGTACTTATAACTATATTTACTAGGGCTTATAAACCAACTTATAACTTGGGGGCCTCACATTGTAGCTGAAACCGTTAACCAGGTAGAAAAATGAACACCAAACTTCACACCTTCAAGACTCAACATACACGGGGAAACTCACCATGAAGAATTCATTGAATGTGTGGTGATTGCACGGATCATTCTGAACGTTGCACCGCATCCAAAATAGCAATGATTCAAAATGTCCTGGTCCGGTTGCCATCCCTGGTGTCTGAAGTAAACGTTCCCGGTAGTTCCGACCAAACTCGGTACCCTCTGGTATACAAAAAACTATGGAACATCACTAATTAGTCTGGTAAAACTATGGAAAAAACTATGGAAAACCACTCATTTCAATGGGTAAATCAACTATTTAACCAATAAATAAATCTATGGAACATCACTCATTTCAATTGGTAAATCAACTATTTCTATGGCCATTTTCAATAGCTATATATGTATGTTTACCAGGCCGGGTAAATATCAATAGGTAAATCAACCATCAAATTGATGGCATGGCACACCATGGGATTTTCCCATGGTTTTCATCCCTCATTTCTGCAAATCATCGCCATGCTGGGAGGCACTGCGCTTGGGCGATGGCGGCTCCTTGTTCCTCATCGAAACGGGCGCCTTGCGCTTTGAGGTGCCCGGCAGGGCTTCGACATTTTTTTGGCTTTTTGGGCGGTTCTTTAAAGGGCGGTTAGAACTCAACATATTTGGATCTTTATGATCTACTTGGGTTTAAATAATTTTAAATATGTTTTCTTTGGCAAAGAACTCAAAGTATTTGGATCTACTTTGGTTTAAATATGTCAATGGGTAATGTCAATGGTTAAAGTTAATGTTTAGATACAGGGATTTCCAATCCATTTTTAGGGTACCCCTAGAATTTTAATCCATTTTTAGATAACTGGATTTTCCATTTTCAATAAACCAACCAGCCATGAAAAAGTTTACCCTCTGGTAAATTTTCACGTAGCCATAGAAAATTGCCCATTTATAGATGCTTTACCTGGATTTACCTATTAAAAATGATGGAATTTTCCACGGCAAACTGTGAGTCATAACCAGATGGTAGATGGTTTTCTTTGGGATTTTTGGAGCGACATGTCGTGGCTGGGATGATCCTCAGGTTGGAATCATCTCAGTGAAAATGATGGAAACATCGCCAGAACGGTAGCCTCCTGGTAAATGCTATGGAAAACCCATAGGGAAAATGGTGGTTTAATGGGATTTCATGGGATTTCATGGGATTTCATGGGAGTTACCCTCTGGTAAACTAACATGACCATGGAAAATCACCATTTTCGGCCATTTTCAAGTTCGCAAACTGTAGCGATAATTACCATATAGGGTATAGTTCAACCGTATCAACGTATCAACCATACCTAACATCAATAAACATCAATCAACTATAAACATAGTTCTATTATGTTCTATTTTCCCGAACCAACCATAGCTATATAAGTTATATAAGTTACAAAAAACCAAGTTCAACCATATCAACCATATTTCCCATGGTCCAGGATCCTCCCCACCGTCCCCACCTCCTCATGTCTAACCATGGAAAAATAGCCATACAAAGTGGGGTCCCCAAACGATAGCTAAATTGGTGAACATAACTCCAATAACTATGGTTTATGGTACGTATAACGAACTAGTTATTGGGGCTGATAAACCATCAAACATCACTGGGGGGCCTCACATTGTTGGAAACCCGAATCATGTCACAATGTGGTCGGATCCCTGGGGATCCTTGTAGTAACTTCAACTGCACCACTCCAGCGCAGGTGGGCGACGATCAGATGTCCATTCAGGGCGCCGGCTCGTTGGTGAATGGTGCTGGATTCCTGCGCCTCATCAACGAGGTGCCCGGTGGGCCCGGTTGGGTGCCCGGTGGGGTCACAACAAGGGCCCGAGGTTTTTGGGATGGCGGAGTTGAAGCAGATCACTTGGGGAATTCTATGGTTTATGGAATATATATATAACTATGGTATACTATACTGGTTGGTGGTTTCAAACATTTTTATTTTCCATAATATATGGGATAAACCTTCCCATCGACTAATATTTTTCAAGATGGTTAAAACCACCAACCAGTATAGTATACTCTATAGTTGATGGGCTTTGTAAACCAACTGATTTCATTAAAAATATTAAAAGCCGCCAAAACTCAGGAAAGATCAGGAAACACTGAAACACCAGAAAACTTTCTGGACCCTTTATGTTTGGTGTAAACCATGAAATCTATCTGGTGGTTGGGAAGGAGCGGTTTAGAGCTATGGTTGTATCCATATTCCCTACACAATTCCAGCTCCCAATCCAGGCGCGAATCTACAAGCAGCGGAACCCCACTGGAGCGCCAGCACGACCAAGGTCAGGGACTTTCTGTCCTTTTTGCTCGAGTTTTTTTCACACAAGACCATTGTTACTTACAATGTGGGGCCCCTAGTTATAAGTTGGTTTATAAACCCCATGAATACTATAGTTATAAGTACCATAAACCATAGTTATTGGAGTTATTTGCACCAACTTAGCTATCGTAAACGGGGGCCCCACTTTGTAAGATATAGTCATGGGGGTTTCCATAGTCATGGGAGTACCACCGTACATGGATGGTTTTTTTGATGGAAACAACACGACTCAATCTGATGATTTGGGGGTACCCTCTGGTAATTTAACATAGCTATTGAAAATGGCCATTTATAGTTGATTTACCCATTAAAAAATTGTGATTTCCCATAGTTATGTTAGTTTACCAGAGGGTACCCCCGTTTTAGGAAACCTCCATGTGAAGATCTATTTGATGGTATACTGGGGATATACCTTGATTTTTTAGCTACTAACACCATGCACGTCCCTAGAAACCCGCAATACAATATGCATATCGGTGACATGGGGGGGGGAAGGGTGGGGTGGGGCAATAACGTTCATGTCAAGTGGCACACGCATGGAATGTATGTTGTGCAGTCAGGGTGGGGAGTGGTGGGGTGGGGTGGGGCAATAACGTTCATGTCAAGTGGCACACGCATGGAATGCATGTTGTGCAGTCAGGGTGGGGATTGGTGGGGTGGGGTGGGGCAATAACGTTCATGTCAACTTGAACACGCATGGACTGGGATCTTCTCTTGCACTTTCACACGCACGTCATGCTACGCTTTGGGATCTTCTTTTGCACTTGCACAGACACGTCATGCTACGCTCTGGGATCTTCTCTTGCACTTGCACAGACACGTCATGCTACGCTCTGGGATCTTCTCTTGCACTTGCACAGACACGTCATGCTACGCTCTGGGATCTTCTCTTGCACTTGCACACACACGAAAGCTGTTCCAATTTTGTTGGAATCAACCTGTCGCTTCTGCTCATATGTCCTCCGCACATTTTTCTTGGTGTATGCCTTTCGAGCAGCAAGTTTCCTTTTTCCGGTTTTCCTAGTTTTTCTACCTGGATTCGCTCGAGCGTTGTCTCTATGACGACGTTGCAGCTCTGCCCTCAACCGTCTGATTTCCCTTGCCGCTTTGGTCTTGCAACTCTCTAATCGATGTCCAGAACGTCCACATCCCAAACATTTGCGACTCATGGCTCAGTCAGTGGAATATAAATGACATAATAGACACTTGCATGCAATACATGAAATTTCCTCTCCCGATGTCGAAATTTAATGTGCCAAATCATACACGAAACGCAATGAAAAACATGTTTTTTGTCATCCCAAAGTTAGTTTCAGACGCTGTCATCTTCAACACTGAAATGAATGAATGATATGTTAACAATGAATCCAGGATGATCTGTCAAAAAACCAACATGAAAATGCTTGTAAATTACTATTTCACAACCATCTGCAAAACCTTAGATCCAAGTTCCACAAAGACGTCATGTTCACCTTGCAGCAAAAGACGCGCGGGTTTCTATGGACGTGCAGCCTAAAAATACTTATAATATGTTGTGATGGGCACTAACCAACTATAACTGGGCTTGGTTACAAGGTGGGGCTCCCAGGTTTGTTTTGTTGGTTTAGTTGGTTTGCCCATGAAATCTTGTTCGATATATCTAGCAGAAACCTGAGAATTGAGCTAGTGAATTAAACCATAAATAAGTTATCCGTGGCCCCAGCTTGTATGAAATAGGGATTGCAATGGTTATACCTAATGGGTATTTGTGGATATGAAAAGCCAACTGATTATACAACCATATACAATCCAAAAATTCATATTATCCGATAATGAAATACTGTACCCATTGTAGCTTATACTGCCTATAGTTTATTGAATATGCTAATCCGCAACGGGATACGGGATACCTATCAACCAAGCTAGTTAGGATGGAATAGGGTATTTTTCATGGCTCAAGTGACCACATGGCTTTGTTTGAACATGGATGGGATACCCTCTGGTAAACTAACATCACTATTGAAAATGGCCCAGTCGAAATAGTTGATTTACCCATTAAAAACAGAGGTATCCCAAATTTGCAATTACAGTATTTGTATTTATATAAGCAAACAGAGGTATCCCTAATATAAGCGGTATTTATAGGTACAATGTGAGACCCCTCAGTTATAAGTTGGTTTATCAGCCCCAGTAACTATAGTTACAAGTGCCATAAACCATAGTTATTGGAGTTATTTGCATCAACTTAGATATCTTGGGGGCCTCACATTGTGGCTATGTTAAATTACCAGAGGCTATCCCAAATTTGCACTTTTGACTGGGATGAACTTTCCACATCGGTCAAACATTGGGTCCTTCAAAACAATACGGATGTTTCGAAAACCACGAGTACAGGACCCACCCAGTTGGTTTTTGTTCGTTTATGTTACCCCAGCGAAAAGTTTTTTTCGATTAATCTCCACCATAAATCCAATACTTAGATATTATATAGAAATAAAACAGTTCAATAAAGCAACAAAAACCAATTTCATACTTGGAAACCATTTATTCCCCTAGGTGAATCATCATTTTCCGATTTTCCGCCATGAAACTCCGCAACAAGGCCGGCTCGCAGTCAGGGGTACGACGTTCATGGCTCTGACCTTAGGTGAAAATTCTGGGTGAACTGAAATCGGCTGGTTGGTTCTAGTTGAAAATTCTACCCTCTGGTAATTTGACATAGCTATTGAAAATAGCCATTAATTTATAGTGGATTTATCCATTAAAAATGGTGATTTTCCATAGTTATGTTAGTTTACCAGAGGGTAACTATTAGAAATTTGGTGAACTAATAATTGGATTTGTTGAAATCTGTTAGATCAATTTCAAATGAGTTCACCAAATGAATGTAAAACAATGCCATTTTTACCACCCATGACTGGGAATGGTAAACATAGCACCTATTTATGGGGATTTGGGGGATGGTTTATGGCATTGTTTCACCCACATTATTAGAATTAGCAGCTGGTCAATCAAATTTCATTAGCTGGCTTTATGAGCTGGCTTATACCCTCTGGTAAACTAACATAACTATGGAAAACCACCATTTTTAATGTGTAAATCAACTATTTCTATGGTCATTTTCCATAGTTTTTTGTATGTTTACCAGAGGGTCACCAAATCAAATTCAAGTTCAAATTACTCACCCATAATAGTTGGTTAATCCATGGTGAAGCCGTTTTAAAACTACTAAGATAAGTTCCCAAATTGGTTAAGTACTTAGATACAATTCCACGAATGATCCAACATCTCGACTCATATAATTCTAATTCCCGTTTTATTTCGAATCGATTTATTTCACTTCATTCCCATTTTGATGGTTTACATGTCACTTTTGGGGTGTTTCTATCGGCATGGTCCAGCTGCAAAACGCCCCAAAAACGCCCAAAACGGCGATGGCTCAGGTTATAGCGGGCCGCCGCCAGCGATCTACATGGATTTCCGTGGGCCTCCGAAGCAGCCAGAGGAGCTGGAGATGCCATTGGCCGGGAATTTCAGGATATTCCCTTAATGTCAACCCCGGATGAGACGTCTCACCATGGTTTATGAAAATTAGGGGGTACTCCCCCAATAGTCATGATTTGATACTTTTTTATGGTACCTTCCCAATTAAATAGCCGTAAACGGGTTTATTAATCCAGGGTTAACATTACAGAAATAGGCCTGAGATATGCCTTTATATGGTTTATCTACCATAAACCCTGTTATATAGAAGTAGGATATATGGGAAGTACTAACTTCACCCATTTGGGAACTGTTGATGGGAGATAATGGGAGTTAAGTTGTACTTCCTAAGGAGTCAAGTTGTGTGAGCCAACCATGGGTTAATGGGTTACATAGGCCTGATATATATATATATATAGGCCTTATATATGGTAGGTATCCTAAAATAAGCATGATATATATATATATAGGCCTTAAAACTTAAAATTATCAATGGGAATAAAAAAGGATCCAAGTTATGGAGGCTACGTGTTTACGTCCCATATGTTTGGCCATATGAATATTGTATACGAATTGTGCGGATATTCCTGAAAAAATATGCCGGCCTGATATATTTTTCGGCCTTTTTCCATGGCCCGGCTGAATGGGGGTGGTTTACCCCTGATCTTAGGGGATTCTTGGAGGAGTCAATCCCAATGTTCTGTGACCGCAATCTCCAGGGAAGTGACTTGAAATCTACACCAATTTCAGTTGTGGACTTTTTAAAGTATTAAAGTTGACTTAATTAATGGTCACCTTCAGAATACTTTAATAAAGTATATAAACAATCCACCTTTTAAAGTGTTTTTTTTTTTTAAGGTCAAAATTTTCAGTTGGAGAATTGGCAACAATGTTCAACATGGGTGCGTCTCTACATGGGGTTGATCCCCCCAGATGGCAACATCTATAGGACCGATGATAAACATCATGGAATCGGGGAATATCATGGGATATCTACCTATTTTTCTGAACGGACACACCCTTTTTTCTCTACCAAAATTACTTAACTCATCAATTCACTTCAAAATTCTTCATCATTTTCCATTGGACACTTGGAAATCACCCACTCTGACAGCAGTGAGTGCTTTCGCGGAGTGGGTCACATACGGCTGATCCCAGTAAAACATCGAAAAACGGAGGTTTTTTAAACACTGGATGGGTCTGGATGGAGAATTTTCCATAATTCTGAGACACCCCCCATGGTTTACTCGCATTTTGCTTGTTGAAATTGCAGGTTCGGGGTACAAAACCATTCTAAGTGACCTCTAAATTCCTTGGTTTGAGCTCACTTAACCAATCGAATGATCACTGTCTGACCCCAAAATAGTCACCTTGAAGTGCTACAAGGTGTTATGTTTGTCGGTTTATCAACTAAGTATCTAATTCGAATCTATAGTTGCCCTCTGGTAAACAAACATAGCTATGGAAAATCACCATTTCTGATGGGTAAATCAACTATTTCGACTGGGCCATTTTCCAGTTCGCAAACTGTTAGTTTACCAGAGGGTATCTTCCATAGTTACCATAGTTAAGCCACTCACCTCGATAGGCTAATTCTCCATGAACTGAACGGTGTTGCTGAAACAGGACTACGATGGGCCGGATGATGTGACGATGGCATTCTACAACACCTGTACCTCGGACCTAATGCTGACGAACCCCGCATGGCTACCCTCTGGTAAACCAACAGTTTGCGAACTGGAAAATCACCATCTTTAATGGGTAAATAAACTATAAACGGGCCATTTTCAAGAGCAAACTGTCAAATGACCAGAGAACGGTTTCAGGTGGTTCTTTTCAGAGCCACAATCCCGGAACCCCAATGTCAAACAGCATGTTTTTTCGTAAGTAGGGGAATTACACGAATTTATTCGGGACCATGATGTATGTATTATGGGGGTGTTTTAATGAACCTGGGGGATTGGATTATGTAGAAGCATGATTGCGACATTCTGGTTTGTTGATGTTGGTTGTATTATTCATCTTATTTTCAGCCACATGGAGGTTTCGAAAAAAAATGGGGCGTACCCCAGTTGTCAAGTCATGGATGACCATGACTTAGTTTTGAACTCTCATGGTGATTTGGGGATCCCTCATTTCGAGAAACCCTGGAATATCCGGACTGAAGATCCTCTATCCCATAGGATCCATGGTGCTGATATATATGGTAACATGGATCCCATCAATATACCCCCTTTATGTTAGCATATATACCAGCACCATGAATCCTATGGGTATGATTCATGACGTGGATCCTGAATCCATTGGTTCTCTAGATATCCTGGTCCCAATCTATGGCTGCAGCTTTTTGGAAAATCACTATATGTCTAAAAGACAAATCAACCATAAATATCTATAGATATCCATTTTCTATAGCTATATTCAATCATCAAAGTTCTTTGTTTTGTTTTGTTTTGTTGGTGCCTTTTTTTGGCATCTCTTTTGTCGGCCCAACAAAAATGGCCAATTCTAGATGGACTCGGTAGGAAGAATCTTTCAAGCCAGCAGCTTTCCTGTATCTCCCAGAATTTTGTATATTTGTTTCCATTGTTTTGTTTTTTGATAAATATATATACTGGTTGGTGGTTTGGAACATGAATTTTATTTTTCCATATATTGAGAATAATCATCCCAACTGACTTTCATATTTTTCAGAGGGGTAGGTCAACCACCAACCAGTATAGAATGTATAGATACACACATTTGTTAAAACAGGTTTCACCCCTTCTTTGTGATGGTTAAAACCAAGGTTCGCAAGGTCAATTTTCCCCAAACCAATCCACAATCCATCGAACATCACGCTTTTCCTAGGCGAGTATCGCCTATTTTAGATGGTTAAATCATGTTAAATCATGTTAAATCATGCTAAATCATGCTAAATCATGTTAAATCCAGATTTTTCTTGGTTTGGCTTCTCTCTTTTAGTAAAGGGCGAGAAATCGCCAAGGTCCATACGCATGTCGTAGCAGCCAGAGCTCCTCTAACGGCTGGATGAGTCTGGCTCGGGGAACCCAGGGCGATGAAAGGGGCTGGTTGTAGATACTATCGGGAGATATTGGGATATAACCAGTGATATTTCTGCAGTTTATTGGTTTCTGATAGATATATGTAGATATGCCTATAGATGGTTGGTGGTGACTGGAACCATGGAATTTTATGACTTTCCATTCTGTTGGGAAGAATAATCCCAACTGACGAACTCATAGTTTTCAGAGGGGTAGGTCAACCACCAACCAGAAGTGATATTTCCGTTGAAAATCCGGTAAACTTGAGATTTTTAGTTCATTTTTGAGTTCATAACTCCGTAAGTCCATTGAAATGAGTGAACTTTGGGAGCACTTACAAATGTGGTGCCTCAGTTCCAAGTGGGTTTACAATCCCACTTACACTCTGGTAAACTAACACTTTGCGAACTGGAAAATCCCCATTTTTGATAGATAAATCAACTATTTAGACTGGGCCATTTTCAATAGCAAACTGTTAGTTTACCAGAAGGTAATCCATAAATCCAATAGCAAACTGCAACTTTCGACTGGGCCATTTTCAAGTTCGCAAACTGTAACAAAAATTACTAGAGGGTATGTTTGATATGGTTAACTATATATATATATATTGTTAGTTGAACCATAGTAACCATAGTTTTAACAAATTACCAGAATCTGGCTATCTCTATCACCTATTTCAACATCGCCCCGCGTCCGTGAGCCTCACCATCGCCCCGCGGCGGCCGGTGCCCGCGGAGGCTGTCACGGGCGCGTTACCTGGAGAACAGCCCGGCAAGGCTGGTGCCGCACTTCCCAAGGGTGGCGCCACGGTGTCTCGTCAGAAACCGGCAAGGGCGGGCGTAGACAAGGGGATCTCCGCTCTACTGATGTCCAAAGTTGGTTACATAAAGCCTGGTCGGTGGTGACTGGAATATGGTTAATACTGATTAATGATGGTGAATAAGGGTGTTATATGATGGTTATATGATGGTTAATGTCTGGTTGGTGGTGACTGGAACCATGGAATGGATTCTGACTTTCTCAGTTGGGAATGGAATTTCATCATCCCAACTGACTTTCACTCCATCATTTTTCAGAGGGGTAGGTTGAAACCACCAACCAGATAATTAATCATCAACCATCATTAACCATCATTAATCACCATTAACCACCATTAATCACCATTAACCAAGTAGGTCAACCAAGTTCGTAACGCAGTAGGTGGCTCAACCACCAACCAGTTACGAACTATTCAGATCATCTGAATAACTCTTGAATCATGTCCAAGGTTAGAACTACTAGGTATTCAGATTGATCATCTGAATATTTACCATCTGGTAAACTAACATAACTATGGAAAGATCCACCATGTTTAATGGGAAAACCATCTATAAATGGGTCATTTTCCGTGGCTATGTTAAATAACCAGAGGGTAACGATTGAATAACTATGGAATAATCCCATCTATTCTCTTCAAAAGGCAATCTGATGTAATCATTCCCAAGAACTCAGATTTATTCCCATCATCAACCCTTTCGCAATCGCGAACAACGAGGTGTTGGCTCTTCCGCCGGGGGAGCTCGGGCGATTTTTTGTTTTTTTGAGCCACACTTAAAAGATGGGCCATAGCAAAATGCGGATGAAACCGTCAAAAAGTGGGAGAAGTTTATCGTGATATAAGTATAATATGGGATATGGGATTTTCATGGGATATATACAAATATATAAATATATAAATATATAAACACATACAATATATATATATACATACACATATGTATGTAAGAGATATTATAATACGATATATGTGATATATTGTGATATAACCAAAAATGGGATATGATATTGGAAAACAATGGGGATAGAACACAGGACCAATCCAGATATTTAAAGTTGAATAAGTACAACCTTGAAGTTTCAATTTTGGGATGGTGATGCCCTAGTCGATCTACCATTTGCGATCGGAAGGCTTCACTCAAATACCCACTGATATGGCTACCAAAGCGCGGTGATCACATTTCCCATCTTTCTTCTCCATCAAAATCATTACCATCTGGCAAACTAACAGTTTGCTGTTGAAAATGACCCATTTATAGTTGATTTACCAATTAGAAATGGTGATTTTCCATAGCAAAGTGTTAGTTTGCCAGAGGATAGTTTTATAATATTTACTACAAGTCTCATCCTTTTTTCCATAAAAAAAAACTATAGAGATATGGAGGAAACTCCTAAAATGGGTACCACAAAAATCATCGAAGTCATAAGACATGTTTTTCATGTTGAAAGCAATGGTTTTGGGGATTCCCCCATGTTAAGAAACCCTCATTTGGTTGGTGGTGACTGGAACCATGGAATTTTATGACTTTCCATTCAGTTGGGAATGGAATAATCATCCCAACTGACGAACTCCATCATTTTTCAGGGGGGTAGGTCAACCACCAATTAGTCATATGTTTCAGGCGCCAAACTTTGATTTTTGAGTCAAGATCAGGTCCCTTCAGAAGATTCAGGACATGCTCGACAGACGTTCCAACACCGGGGTGCGACAGGGTTGGGAACTGGGAACCTATAGTGATCCCTCGCCCTTTTCGTATGAAATTCATCCAAGAAAACATTACCCTCTGGTTATTTAACATAGCCATGGAAAATGGCCCATAGAAATAGATGGTTTACCGTTCTTAAAAATGGTGGATCTTTCCATTTAGCTATGTTAGTCATAACCAGATGCTAAAAATGAATGATTCATAAAGGGTTTTAGAATGTTTGAGATCTATGAATTGGGGTTCCATGAAAGTTGGGTGATTTGTCCCATCAAATGTGACGATCCTGCCATGTTTTTCGTGGCCATCTTACTGGGATGGCCAGGGGCTCGTGCAACGTGACCTCACCCACCAAATGGATTGGGCCCTCTGTGTATTTGGAAAAAAAACACATCATTTATACAATGTGGGGCCCCCTACAGGGTGGGGCCCCCAAGATAGCTAAGTTGGTTTATAAGTGGTTTAACAATGGTTTATGGTAGATATAACTATAGTTAATGGAGGTTATAATGGTTTATAAACCAACTTATAACTGGGGGGCCCCATCCTGTAGTTATAAGTTTGTTAACAAAAGCCCCAGTGACTAGTTCGTTATTTGCGTACCATAAACCAGTTCGTGACATTGGAGTTATGTTCACCAACTTAGATGTCGAACGGGGGCCTCACATTGTAGGAGTTTAACCATCATCTAAAAGTATTTATAGTTGGCTTTAACAGTTAACATGCTTTAACCATCATGAGTCCCATGCAACTCGACCGTATAGCTTCATCATTGACGCCCTAGATACAATATCAATCCATATCAATTCATATCATAGAATCATTTCGTTCGGGCGTTCATCACAGTCTGAGAACTAACACGTTTTATTTCATCAACACATCGCGTGGTGTCAAACATTACCCTCTGGTGAACTAACATAGCAATGGAAAATCACCATTTTTAATGGGACAATCCACTATTTCTATGGCCATTTTCAATTGCTATGTTAGTTCACCAGAGGGTAAAAAATCCAGTCGGGACCCAGTGTCAACTCGACGAAAACGACGAAAACGCTCCAGGTAGAGTTGAATATCAAGTCCTTAGGCAACTTTGGCATCAACTGTTCCTCCGCCCAGGGGATGACGACTGAGAGTTGAAAAAGGTGATGTGGTATGATAGATATTTTTACTAAGGATTTCAGGAATGAATCATGGATATTCATGGATATTCATGGATATTCATGGATATTCATGGATATTCATGGATATTGATATTCATGGATATTCATGGATATTCATGGATATTCATGGATATTGATATTCATGGATATTCATGGATATTCATGGATATTCATGGATGTGATATCCATGGAATTGCGGTTACCCTAAACGGTTTCAGCTAATAGCGGGTAGCGGAAAATCCCCTACAGTCGTTCGATGCGAATTTTTCGTTGATTTGACGGATCGCCATGCTTTTGCTGTAGCTTGACACCAGAGGGTGAAGTTCGGTGGGGTTTAGATGGGGATATACTAGGGATGTGAGGCCCCCAAACGATAGCGTTCAGTTGGGGTTCACATAACTCCAATGTCACTATGGTTTATGGTACTTAACTATAGTTAATGGGGCTTATAAACCAACTTATAACTGGGGGGCCCCACCTTGTAGGGATGTATGATAGTACGGTATAGTTTTTTTCCCTCTGGTAAACATACAAAAAACTATGGACAATCCCTAAAATAAATGGAGCTTTCTGGGAAAATCATCTATTTCTATGGGCCGTTTGCCATGGCGAACTGTTAGTCATTACCAAGGGTAGCGGATCTGATTCATAATATGATAACATATGGAGGTAGCATGGATACAATTAACCGTCAATGAATAAGAAGTACAGGAAGGACCCTGGAAACTATAAGCAAGTTGGTTCATGTAAGTAGGCGAACTGCAATTTCTGATGGAGGTTAATCTACAGTTAGATGGGGCGATCAATCGACTTCTTAAAACTGAAAACAAGGTATCCACCAAATGACCATTTTAATGGCCCTGGTAATTGCAAGGCGTAAACCAGCCTGACATGAAACAACAAGACGCATCACCTTTTTTGGGGCTTATCTCTTGGGTAGAAACAACAAAGGCATCACCTCTTTTTTTGGTTCAGGACCGGTCACTACCCCACACTGAATTGTTTCCTGTCCCACCAAAAAACAGAAAACAATGTATGTGGGTATGGGTCAAAATTAGGTACCCCAAAATTATGGATGGTTAATACATGTTAATACTAAACTAGACTAACAAAAAAGTGGTCCCCTAGGTCTTCCATTTTGACCCACATCCATGTATGTATATATATATATATTAGAACCACGTCAAATCCCCAAACAAGTCACCCAATCTGTTGATCCTACTCGCGTATTTTTGGTAGTACCAGTAATGTTCAGTCCCAAAGTCATCAAAGAAACACAACCGACAATTTGCCCCCAAAAAATTGGGACCCCCCCAGTTACCGAGGCGAAGAGATTCATGGCAACTGGACAGAGATCATGGAGAAGTTTCAGTTGACCGTCTTCCCGGGAGCCCCCAGTGAGGTGCCGCATGAAACGCCGAAACGACGGTCAGACGTTCGGCCTTCGGAACCGTGGATGGATGTTTTATGGAATAAATCACCGGTACCCTCTGGTAATTTAACATAGCTATGGAAAATCACAATTTTTAATGGGAAAATCCACTATATATGGTCATTTTCAATAGCTATGTTAAATTACCAGAGGGTAAATCACCGGTAAACTGTGACTTTTTACGAACTGGAAAGATAAACTGCATGTTTAAGAACGGTAAATCAACTATCAATGGGTAAATCAACTCATATTCACCAACCATAAGTTGAAAAAAACCAAGTGAAAATCGGGTTTAGAAACCATCCCATGGTTAATGGAATTGATGTTAATTGGATTTAGATATGGTTATATATAACTATGATTACTATAGTTCAACGAATAGCTACCATCTGGTAAACTGTTACATAACTATGGAAAGTTCCACCATTTTTAAGAACGGTAAATCAACTATTTCTATGGCCATTTTCAAGTTCGCAAACTGTTAAATTACCAGAGGATATAAAAAATAGAGAAAAATAGGGTATTTGCCAATGATCTCTCATGTTTTTGAAGCCAGATCTGGAGAATTTTTGGAGTTTCTGGTGTTTTTTTCTCATTGCAACTTTTCAAAACAACATCTGGGGAGAGAACTCCCCATGATTGGAAAGTCATCTTCCTACCAAAGAAGACGGCAGGGTCGTCATGTGAAAAAAGGATGGATGGCATTGGAAGATTTACTAAGGTTACCCTCTGGTAAACTAACATAACTATGGAAAATCACTATTTTTAATGGGAAAATCCACTATTTCGACTGGGCCATTTTCAATAGCTATGTTAAATTACCAGAGGTTAACTTACACAATTTCAGGGATGGCGTGAATCATGAATCCCTTCCCCGGTTCATATGAAACACCCCTGGCCACGAAACCTTGGTTTAGCAGGGAGATTTCCACCTTTTTTTGGGGGGACCATGCTTTTTTGGGGGGGTGAAAAACTCACCTTGGTGGGAGATTTCCCTTTTGGATGCACATCGTCCAATGGGCTGACCTTTGGCGCTTTGGGTTGGTGATTTTGGGTTGAACCAATCCACCTTTTTGTGACAAAATATCAGGCAGTCCTTTGTTTCAAAGATGTTTCCTTGAAAGGCACGACTGCCAAGGACTTCTTGGCGATTTCTTCATTATTCATGCTCAAACATATCACATTTTGATCGTTTTTTTCATCCCAAATCTTGATCATTGACATATTTACATTGCTCAACCCGCTGAAAAAACTGCATTTTTCATAGGTAAAATTCTACTCCCCTGTTTTGCACAGATTGATTCATAGGTCGTACAGGCACCAACTGGTACCAGTTGCGATGTTGGGTATGCACTCAAGGCCTGGTATGTTTAAATTTGAGATGAAATCGTTTATTTCCATAGTGAAATACTTCAATTCCCTCATTTTCCATGGTAAAATCCTGAAGTTCCCCATTTTTCCGTAGGTTTTCAAACATCCGACAAAAAAGCCGAACATGTTCCCAATTTTTTCCAATTTTCCATGGTAAAATCCCACCAAAATTTCCAATTTTTTCCAATTTTCCATGCTAAAATCCCACCAAAATTTCCCAATTTTTTCCAATTTTCCATGGTAAAATCCCACCAAAATTTCCCATTTTTTTCCAATTTTCCATGGTAAAATCCCACCAAAATTTCCCATTTTTTTCCAATTTTCCATGGTAAAATCCCACCAAAATTTCCCATGTTTTTCCAATTTTCCATGGTAAAATTCCCCAAATTTTCCAATTTTGACCCAATTTTCCATGGTAAAATTCCACCAAAAATCACCATTTTTTCCATCCGTACATCGCCAGGCGATGTACGCTTTGGCATCCGTGGCCCGATCCACTCTGGTGCCCAAGGGCAGCTTCGTGGTCTCCGAGGGGGAGACTGGCGAGGTTGGAGGGGGGAAAAGCAGGGGAAAAACCATGGGAAAACCATGCCCAGATGCTCCATGTATGGAATATTTACCTACATTTGGGCCATTTTTGGGGTAAATGTAGTTAAATATTCCATACATTGAGCATCTGGGATGGGAAAACCTGGGAAAAGCCATAGAAAAATGGGAAAATCCATGGAAATCCGTGGGAAAAGCCATGGAAATCCATGGGAAAAGCCATGGAACATCATGATGAAGAACTATATTTGGTTGGTGGTGACTGGAACCATGGAATGGATTATGACTTTCCAGAAACAGTTGGGAATAGCAACTCCAACTGATGAACTCCATCATTTTTCAGAGGGATTTAATGGTGAAACGATGTTTGAATATGTTTGAATCATTTGCAGGCCAACTAACGAAGAAATGCGGACCAATTAAGATACCTCTGTTGATGGGTTATTTAATATATCTAATGGGGATTTAATAAGATAGTATCATTGATAATGGTGATTGATTGGTTAAGAACTACGGAGTTTTACTATGGTAAACCATGGTAAACCCACTACCACAACAAACTATCACCAATTATATGCTGGTTGGTGGTTTCAAACATTTTTATTTTCCATAATATATGGGATAATCCTTCCCATTGACTTTCATATTTTTCAAGATGGTTGAAACCACCAACCAGTATGGGATATCACCACATCATGGAATTGAATGGGACATAATCACCTATAATGACTTCCTAAACCCTGGGCTCAGGATGCAGACGCTCTGGTGCTGCTGGTCAGTGGTGTGGCATCGGTGCTAAAGAAGGCGCCAGAACGCCAGGGTGAGGTCGCCATGGTCCCCGATCGTTGCGGATGTTGTGCTGCCAATGGTTCTGCTGTCACACATCAGAGCGATGAAACAAAGTGGTCTGATCAGAAAAGGGCAGGCAACATACCCTCTGGTAATTTAACATAGCTATTGAAAATTGCCATTTATAGTGGATTTACCCATTGAAAATGGTGGATCTTTCCATAGTTTTTTGTATGTTTACCAGAGGGTAACTTCTAAATGATCATACTCATCAGATTTCTCAAGTTCATGATTTATTGTTTTTGACTAGATAAAGTCCAGACATTTTCTGAGCTTCCACCTATGTCTCTTCTGACCTTCAGGATGGCCCCCCCCCCCAGTGATGTTAGTTGGTCTATAAACCATTATAACATATTGTAACCCCCATTAACTAGTTCGTTATATAGTTATATCTACCATTAAAACCATGGTTTATTCAACCACTGAATATTAATCACCATTAACGATAGTTATATCTACCATAAACCATTGAATTCAACCACTTATGTTCACCAACTGAAAGCTATGAGCTCGCTCGACTGGGGGCCCCAGCCTGTTGCTTCTTTCATCCCAGTAGACCTCGGATCCTCGGCAGGTTCGAGTGGAAGATCACGTGCTGGAGCAACAGGCGTTGGCAGCGCTGACCGTGGGCCAGACGCAGACCTGACCGAAGATGGCCAGGACATCCCAACATCCCATAGTTTCGGTATCCTGTTGGTGAATTAACTATGGCTTGTGGATGTTTATGATAGATATATATATATAAGTATATATGTATACTATAGCTGGTTGGTTAACCTCCATTTAACATGGCTAACCTGGCAATAATGTCCTTTTGGTAAAAAATAGAGGAGTGTACACCCTATGGATCCAGTTGTACCTTCTGAAAGGAAGTGGGACTGGGGGTATAATTTACATTAATTTACTATTTTATTTAAGGAGGGTTATATAAGTACCTTCTCAGACAGTGGCCATGGATCCATAGGCCATAAATTCAATGGATTTGTTTTGTTGGGAACATTTTAACCGGAAAACCCCATGATTATTTCATGGCAAAATCTATGGTTTTCGGTTAAGATTTTCCCAACAAAAAACAATCCAGTGATAAATCCAATAGTATTTGTTGTTCTCGAAATATCTTTGTTGCTATGAAATTATGATGCACGTAGGATGATGTGGGGGTACAGAAGTTTGACCTATGCCAACGCCCAACAAAATGCAAGACTTCGCAGATCAGTTTCTAGCTTTCAGGGTGAATTGTCTAAATGCAAAATCCTTGAACCCTAAAATGGTTTCCATGGGAAACTCCTATTTTTTAGGCCTATGTTTCAGGGAATATCCCCACAAAATATGGCCTTATATGGTACAGTACCTCCATTTTAGGATCCTGGAATTCCCATTGATGATATGTAGAAACAAATCCAAGAAAGGTTGCGTTTAAAGCAGCACCTCTAAACCAATCTTAGTTGATCATATCATGTTTTTTTTTTTTAAATGTTGGCACTTCAATCTCTATCAGTGTTTCCACCGTCCTTGGTGGTGATTCTCCATCTTTCATATTGGTAATACACCTTCTACCTTCTGGTAACGAAAATCAGGTAGCGAACTGCAGAACAACAATTTTTGAGTTTGGTAAATCATCACTAAGCGTATACTGGTTGGTGGTTTCAAACATTTGTTATTTTCCATAATAATATGGGATACCCTCTGGTAAATTAGCATAGACCCTGGCAGATAGGGTTGGAAGATTAGTTTCCATTAAAACTAGGCTATTTTCAGGGTCTATGTTAATTTACCAGAGGGTAATCCTTCCCATTGACTTTCATATTTTTCAAGATGGTTATTGCACCACCAACCAGTATACATCATCGAGCTAAATGGGTCACCTATACCATAGCCATCGGCAAATAGGATCCCAAGGTGAACAAGAACCTTGCGAAGTTGGTGATTTTTTGGGAAGACAATGCTATCCTCAAAACAGATCTCTATCCTCAACTATCCAATGAACATGCCAAGGCCATGTTAGTTGAGATAGTTGCGGGGCGTTTAGGAAGTTTAGGGATGACGATAGCCTCCGAAAAGAAGAAAAACCACACACCACCTGGACCGCCACGCAGACTGTGGGGCGTTTGCGTGGTGGCGCAATCATTGGAGACATCAGTGGGGCAGCTCTGGCAGGGTCAGTCATCTGGAAACTTGTGCTGATCCGTCGATTTGTTTGTTTTTTTTTGTGAAAATACATATATAAATATACCCGAAATCTTCATTTATCTTGTTGATGTTTATCAGCATGCTGTCTATTAACTTGGACATGTCGGAAGCTACGCCCCATTTTCAGACAAGCCCATTTGGAGGTTTTGTCCATTTTTGTCCAGAATTGCTGGGGAAAAAACCCAACACGGTCCAGAAATGGGGGTGGCCTACCAAAAATCATTAAAAAATACGAGGGGAACAAGCTTTGATCAAGACTTGGACGGTGCTTGGCGTGCTTTTCCCGTGTTTTTTTTGGGAAAAAAACATTGGAACATCCACCAAGCAGAGGGGAATCACTCCAGGGTACTATAGGCATATCTACATTTATCTACCAGAAACCAATAAACTTCAATAAACTTCATATATCAATGGTTATATCCCAAGATATCCCAATAATATTTATTTCAATAATGTGGGTAAAACAATGGCCAGTTGATTTGTTGAGCCTTTTTTTTCGTGGCCACGGGCCGATGCACGCGGGCTGGGGATGGCTTCCACTTCACTGGAAGGATCCCATCGTGGATTATCTTCCACAGATCCTATCTGATTCGTCATAAGAGCATGGTCAGTAACTCCCCATTAATTGATAGGTTTATATATAGATTTATGATTTATCCAACAATATATCAGTTATATTGATAGGTTTTTATCCAACAATATATCAGTTATATTGATAGATGTATATAGATTATTAATTCCGGAAAATTTAGATTGATATCCTCGTGAGTTATATCAGTTTATCCGACAAATCCCATATGAATAAGTGATATAACTGCAAAGTGGGCCCCCGTTTACGATAGCGTTCAGTTGGGGTTCACATAACTCCAATGTCACTATGGTTTATGGTACCTATAACTATTGTTACTATTGAACATTGCCATTTATAGATATTTATAGTGGATTTGGCCATTGAAAATAGTGGATCATGGGGTTTATGAAAACCATCGTTACATCACTGGGGGGGCCCATATAACTGGGTGATTGTACTGCGGAATTCCATCCCCCGATTTAAATGTACCAACAGGCGGTCAGCCCGAATGATTTTTTCTACAGGGGTGGTGCCCCAGTTCGTGAATGCTAAGTTAGTTGGTCAACAGAACTCCAATTTCACTAGGGTTGAACTGCTAGAGATAGCTATAGTTGGTTTTATAACTAGTCACCTAGGTGAATTATATATATATTATAGTTTTATGGATATTTATGGTAGACACGCCTACAATGTGGGTAAAACAATGCCATAAACCTTCCCAGTCATGGACGGTTTATGCCATTGTTTTACCCACATTATTGAAATAGATACTATTGGGATATATTGGGATATGACCATTGATATATGAAGTTTATTGGTTTCTAGTAGATAAATGTAGATATGCCTATAGTACCCTCTGGTAAACTAACATAGCTATGGCAAATCACCATCTTTAGTAGGTAAATCAACTATAAATGGGCCATTTTCAATAGCTATGTTAAATTACCAGATGATAATTTGTTGCAGTTTGCTATTGAAAATGGCCATTGAAATAGTGGATTTACCCATTGAAAATAGTGGATTTTTCCAGTTCGTTATGTGACAAATTTTATTTTTCAGAGGGGTTGAAACCACCAACCAGCTATAGTCCCTATGGATCCAAACACTGTCTGAGAAGGTACGGCTAACCCTCCAAATTATAGTAAATTATACCCCAGTCCCACTTCCTTTCAGAAGGTACGACTGGATCCATAGGGAGTATTCATGGCCTTTCTATGATGATAGATGGTATACAAAACTGGCCCCTCTATTTTTTTTACCAAAAGGACATTATTGGTTCTATCAATGTTGGTCAAAAAATGGTTATGTAACAGTTATTTTCAATAGCTATGTAACAAATTACCAGAGGGTATTCATGGCCTTTCTAACCATTAACACCACGTTAGTCACGGGCCACGGCCACAGGTCTCATCGGCGCCTCCATGCCTCGACCGGCCACGGTGCGCGCCAAGACGGACGTGGAGGCCAGGGGCCCCGGTGGGCCTGGTGGTAGCACTGGGAAAATGGGGTGATGGCCCAGAAAAGGGTGGATTTTTGGATTTTTATGGTGCTGTTGCTGGGTTTTTATAGGGATTTATCAAGATTATCAAGATAAAAATCCATCCAAAAAAATGGGGATTTACCTGGGGAAAGTGGGGATTGAGCTAGGGAAAAATTGTGATTTTGCTGGAAACATAGGGATTTATCAAGATTTCTCAAGATTTCTCCATCCAAAAAATGGGAGTTATGTAGCATCATGGCACAGTTATTAGAGGATCGAAGCCAGTTGTTCACCACTTATGAACTAGCTCCATGGCCACCCTAGGTCATACTTGGAAGTTCCAGTTACAAGTGGATCTGTAACCCATAGGCCCCATATGCCAAGGTGACCATATGACATAGTTACACCCATTTGAGGGTGTATATCCCCAGATATCCCCAGTATATCAATTGGAGATCTCCAGGATCCAATTTATGGAGCTCCGTAAACGTACCAAAAATGTTTGGCCATAGGAATTCTGGGGATAATGTTTCCTGAAATTTAGGCCTGAAAAATAGGCCTTTTTTCTATGGTAGGTACCTCCAATAAATCGGATCCTGTTGCATGGCCATTGAGTATATGTAGTATAAACGTTACACCATATGGTATTTATTTTTATACAGTTGGGGTTATAGTAGACCACCCATTTGTAACCTCTTTTCTGTACCCAGAAGTAGGGAAAATGGTGAAATAATGGTATAATGTCATGGGAATATCACCGATAACTAGAACTAGCCGCTAGAAGATAGAACTGATAGAAGACTAGAACATAGTAGAACTAGTAGAACTGGTATACTTCTATCTTAATGATAACTAGAACTAGTTGAATTACCCCCCAAAAAGATAGAAGTTATAGAAGAGTAGAATCTCACTTCTAGATAGCAATAAATGTTGGTCCCAGCAAATCTGAGACCGGTTTCAATCGACCGGGGACCACTGGTGACCACTGGTGACACGTAGCCATGCACGCCCCGAAAAAACGGAACAGTCTTGGAACCTTGCTGGAACCTTTCGCTGGGTTGCACAGCTGGGTTAATTGCTGTTCTATCTTTCTGTGGGGTTGCTTTGCATGAAGAGTGTGACACCCAAATCATAGATTTTACGTAGATTTTCTATTTGCTTCGGAAGTCTTTATCAAAACGTTGGCACATGGATATCCTACAGGAAGTCAATGTAGATAATACATGATAATACTCTACATGACTCAAGGAAATTATCTACAATTGGCAGTTTCCCCAAAAAATTATCGGTACTTCACTTCACTGGATGATTGGTTTTTGCGGGAAAATCTGAGCGTTTTTCCACATCACATATAGGAGTTCCCTGTAATTTTCCCTGAAACAAATCCCATGATGGTAATTCGTAGTTTTGTTACCCTCTGGTAAACTAACATAGCTATTGAAAAAACAAATTACTTTACTTCGTGTGATCCCCACCATGACATTTATAGATTTTCTTACTGGCAAATCTTCTGGCATTCTATCTGACATATCTTCTGGCATTCTATCTGGCATTCTATCTGGCATATCTTCTGGCATTTTCTTGTGGCATTCTATCTGGCAAATCTTCTGGCATTCTATCTGGCATATCTTCTGGCATTTATCTGACATATCTTCTGGCATTCTATCTGGCAAATCTGATGCATTCTATCTGGCATATCTTCTGGCAATCTGACATATCTTCTGGCATTCTATCCGGCATTCTATCTGGCATATATTCTGACATATCGGCTGGCATTCTATCTGGCATTCTATGGCATATCTGGCATATATTCTGACATATCTCTGGCATTCTATCTGGCATCTTCTGGCATTCTATCTGGCATATCTTCTGGCATTCTATCTGACATATCTTCTGGCATTCTATTCTATCTTCGGCAAATCTGATGGCATTCTATCTGGCATATCTTCTGGCATTCTTCTGGCATCTGACTATATCTTCTGGCATTCTATCTGGCATTCTATCTGGCATATCTTCTGGCATATATTCTGACATATCTTCTGGCATTCTATCTGGCATATCTTCTGGCATATCTTCTGGCATATCTTCTGACATTCTTTCTGAACTTTCTTTTCTTCTGCACATTCTTTGTCCCATATCTTCCTACATGAGGTCCGGCAGGGAACACTTGGCGTGGATACTCGCGGTTGAGGTCCGGCAGGGGTTGAGGTCCGGCAGGGAACACTGGGCGTGGATGGTCGTGGTTGAGGTCCGGCAGGGAACACTGGGCGTGGATGGTCGTGGTTGAGGTCCGGCAGGGCACACTGGGCGTGGATGGTCGTGGTTGAGGTCCGACAGAGAACACTGTGGATCGCGGGTCGCAGTTGGACGAGGAGGACGACGAGGACGAGGAGGACGACGAGGAGGACGAGGAGGACGAGGAGGAGAGGAGGAGAGGAGGAGGAGGACGAGGCAGGAGTCAGGAGGAGGCAGGAGGAGGCAACTGACATAAAATCTAACAACCCTCACCTGGCAGGTGGTGAAATATAGATAGTGGTTTTCCCATTAAACATGGTGATGTTCCATAGTTTTTTGTATGTTTACCAGAGGGTAATGGTCCAAATTCGATTTTTTTTTTGGGATCATGACTCTCTCTTACCCTCTGGTAAACTAACATAACTATGGAAAATCACCATTTTTAATGGACGATATAAATGGCCATTTTCCATAGCTATATCAGTTTACCAGAGGGTAGGAGCTTTCCTCAACGGATCCGGTATTGTTGGTAAAATCTTCACCGGAAACCAGCGATTTTTCCCATGAAATGATGGTAGCTTTTCCTACAATGTGAGGCCCCCCAGTTATAAGTTGGTTAACAAAAGCCCCAGTAACTCTAGTTATAAGTACCATAAACCATAGTGACATTGGAGTTATGTTCACCAACTTAGCTATCGAACGGGGGCCTCACATTGTATGGATTTCACGTCCGAGGCCATAGTCTTTCCTGGCCGCTCTGTTCTGGCTGTGCTGGTAGGGACCTCGGTTCGTTGAGTCGGTGATGTTTTTGTCTCAATGGAGTGGTTTTCTTGGGAAAATCTACGCCGGAAACCATGGGTTTTACCATCAAATATGACGGGCTTTCCGGTTAAAATTTTCCCATCATCCAATTCTGTGATTGTCCCATTTTAATGGAGATTTGCCACCAGAACTGGGGAATCGATGAAGTGAATAAGATGTTTTCTGTTTTTTTTTTGGGGGACCCCTTATATAAGCAAATCCAAGTCTTTTCAGGTGGGATTAGATTAGATGTCCAAAATTTGGGATTTACCACCAAAACTGATGATTTATTGGGATCATACCCTCTGGTAATGACGAACACAGCTATGGAACATCTTCATCAAGTAGATAGATCGCACTAGATGGGCCCATCTATAGCAATTACTGGAGAATAACTCCCTTGGTGGCTTTGACCATGTTTTCCAATTTTCGAAGCCTGGGGGTCAGACATTTCAACCTTCGGGGTGTTTTTTTTTTTTCTGTAATTCAATGTGAATTTCAGGATCCAATTTATGGAGGTACGTTAGTACCATATAAGGGCATATTTTCTAGGGATATTCCCTTACATAGGCCTGAAATATAGGCCTTTTTTCTATGGTAGGTGCCTCCAATCAATCGGATCCTGTTGCATGGCCATTGAAGTTGGTTATGATATATTAGAATATCATTTACCAACTGGGATCAATCAAATCCCATATTATCCATATTATCATATATTATCCATATTATCATCCATGCTTTTAACATTGCTAAACCAGATTTAACATGATTTAACTGGGACAGAATCAACCAATCCAGAATAATGGCACTTTCATGCCCTATGGATCCAAACACTGTCTGAGAAGGTACTTAACCCTCCGAATTATAGTAAATTATACCCCAAACACTTCCTAAGAAGGTACAACTGGATCCATAGGGATGGTTTTAACCTGAAGATTCCAACGTGGTTCAATCAACCAGAACTTGAGGATTCCACCATTCGAACATTGGTTGATGAAGATGACAGCGGCCATGGGATAAATTGTCTGAACCAAATTGGATCAATTTCCAACCTCAAAATATTTGGGTCGAAATTGGCTCAACAAAATCGATGGTTGATGTTAAACATATACATACTGGTTGGTGGTGACTGGATCATGAATGGAAAACATGACTTTCCAGAAACAGTTGGGAATGTCATGATCCCAACTGACTCATATTTTTCAGAGGGGTAGGTCAACCACCAACCAGTTTAATGATACCAGTCATTGTACTATAACTAACCATTATGAACCATTATCAACTGGTACAGAACTATCATTGCATCCACTGATAGTGGTTAATATATCATTATCATTCTATAGTTCTATACTATAACAATCATGATTAATAATCATAATATGATATATTAACCAGTTGTATGATTGATTAATATATAAATATATAATTCTCATCTACCCTCTGGTTATTTAACGTAGCCATGGAAAATGGCTCATAGAAATAGATGATTTTCCCAGCTATAAACCTTCATTTATGAGGGATTTTTCATGGCTATGTTAAATACAGGATGGGGCCCCCCAGTTATAAGTGGGTTTATGAACCATTATAAGCCCTATTAACTATTAACTATAGTTATATCTACCATAAAGCCACTTAAGGCAACTTAGCTATCTTGGGGGCTCCATCCTGTACCCAGATGGTAATATCTGTGGTCCCTTCTGTTTTTTTTTATTTTCGTGGCTTGACCGTCTTGACCGATCCCCAGTGCCTCCCAGGCCGCTTTCCCCACCCTGCTGAACCCGGCCACGGATCGCTTGGTCGACACGGCCGAGTGTATCAAGGAGCTCCGAGTTCCCGGGCGAGTTCTCGGGCGAAGTCTGGAACTGGACTTCGCCCGGAGTTTTTTGTTTCTCGGATTTTTTCACATGATTTTTACCATAGCTATGGAAAATGACCATTTATAGTGAGTTTTCCCATTAAAAATGGTGATTTTCCATATTTACCATAGCTATGAAAAATAACCCGAGGGTAAATCAAACATTGTTTATGGGAATGTGTGTTGGGAGATTCATTGGGATACAATATGATATAATGATATGTATATATATATACATGACATGTAAGGTTCATTTGAATGTATGTAAGTGGGTTATATGTGTGTCTGAAAATGGGGAGTACTACACCGTAGGAATGGACCCGAGCCATGGTGTGCCGAGAACAAGTGCTCGACGATGCCGAGAACAAGAATGTGAAATCGTAGTATTTGAGGGACCGGCATTTTGACATGCACCATCATGAACCCTACACTGACTGTATAGCAACTTCAAAAAAGATGGTACTAAGTACTATAGCAAATTTCTAAGTAAGTTGTCTTTCTTGTAACTTACTTTGCTATCTTTTTCGAGTTTTTTTTCTTTTAATAAACACCAAACCTGTGGAGGTCTTGGGGTCTTACCGGTCTCCGAAACCGCAGGAGCGCTTGTTGACCAAGACCGAAGTTGCGAGCTCGTCGGGGTGGCCTGGGATGAGAAAGATGGACCTGTGATAAAAATAGCACATAATAATAACTATTATAGAGGTGTTATCATTTATCATAAATATATAGTTGATAATATGATATATAAACATAGAAATATATTGTTATTATTGGATATTATAATATATTATTATAGTATGTTATTATATTAGTGTATATTATATATATAGCAATCTATATATTTATCACTATTAGTATAGATGTTACTTTTCTATCCTTTGGGTTGCTGTTATAGATGAGCCAATTTTGCGTGCAATTTCAGCCCATCCGGACGCAGGTCAGTACTGAAATTGGGGGATAAAACTCGACCAAGAAAGGACCTGAATGTGTTCACGAACCCATTTCTTGAAAACGTAGAAACAGTTTGAACCTCATGTTTTCCTCAGTTCCTCATGTCTTCCTCTAAGTTAAGACATGTTGAAACTGCCTTTTGTCCTCGCCTAACTCGCTGAACCCCCCGAGTTTGAACCTCTTCTACGGTTGCGATCTGGGCTTCGTGAATGATGTGGCCAGCAACGGGGCCTCGGCCTCAGAAAGTGAGACTTCACCATGAACAATGGGCTGATTTAAAGCTTAAACAGTGAGACTTCACAGTTAAAATTGGGTAAAACAATGATGGTAGACATACATGTACATATCATGTTATATCATTTTATATCATTTTATACCACATAAATTTCTGGTGACTTGAGGATGGTGCAAATTTATGGCATTGTTTTTTTTTCCACATCAACCATGGCGCCATGCTGAAAGTCGTCTCCCTATTTAGGCCCTATTTATGATTTGGTGGTTTCTCATTGCCACGCTTGTCTCATTACCGAAGGGTAATACGATGGTTGCAGCTTTTATTTGTTTTTCACATTGATCTTTAAAGAAAGGCCAAGCTCCTGCGCAATATTCAGTATGCTTCGAAAGTGCAGCATTTCTCACAATATCTGGCATTCCTGGAATAGAAGCTTTTTGGTTAAAGTAAAATCAATCATTCTCGGTTGCACTCTTCCTTTAAAACAATATACGTAGTGTTCCTTTCACGCTGAAATACCTCTGGAAATTACGGAGTATTCCTGCAAGTGCTCCAACCTTGTTTCCTTGCATAGTATTGCAGCCTTTCAAAATGCTCCATTTACCTTCAGGATGGGGCCCCCAGTTGTAAGTGGGTTTATAAACCATTGTAAGCCCTCTTAACTATAGTTATATCTACCATAAAGCCACTGAAATAAGGCAACTTAGCTATCTTGGGGGCCCCATCCTGTTGTATCGTATCCCTTTTAACCTGGCCGGCTTTCAGAAGAATTGCCCGTTTAAAACAATTCCATTGGAAGGTGATTTTCACTCATATAAATCGTGTGATTGCAGTATCTATTACCCTCTGGTAATTTAATAGTTTGCGAACTTGAAAATGACCATTTATAGTGGATTTACCCATTGAAAATTGTGATTTTCCATAGTTATGTTAGTTTACCAGAGGGTATTTGTAGAAATGCTCCATTGCCATCTGAGACTACCAGAACCAAGCAGTGGTACCAGGAATTTATGACTTTGACACATAATTTTGATTAGTTTCAGTATATCTTCAAAGAACCATTCAACCAAACAATGACCTGTTCTGTTTTTGGTGGATTTGGTTAATTATTTGAACAATTTATTAGACCCTACATATTCCAACTGCTAGAGTGTCCAACTAATATTCCCCCAAGAATATCCAAAAATTAGAACAATCCTAATTTCCCACATATTCTAATTGTTCACCCTGAGATTGCCAACTATTCCCCATTAATATTTCCAACCGCCCGGGCGGATTTCCTTTTTTCGTCCCTTTTGGGTGCGACAAATTTTTCGCAGTTCCAATGATGGGCCACACCGAGGAGCGCCGCTTGCTGTTTGCTGGAGAGACAGTGGTTCAGCAGGGAAGTACGGTGGGGACGCCAAGGCGTTTGCTGGGGCGTGGCCATGTTGGGCCTGGGCCGTGTTGGGCCGTTGCTGGGAGAAGACACCCCTAAGGACCATAGGAAAACAGGATCATACAAGGTGGGGCCCCCCAGTGATGGAACGATGGTTTGTAAACCCCATGAATACTATAGTTATAGGTACCATAAACCATAGTGACATTGGAGTTATTTGCACCAACTTAGATATCCTAAACGGGGACCCCACATTGTATGACTATCTATGACTCATGAGTGGTTAGGAATCATGGTTATGCATTGATCAATGGGATAAGCGATGACGAAATGACGATTGTTGGGGATCTGGGATTCGACCTTGGAGATCCAACCCATCATGCTATGGGAATATACCCGGCCTGGTATACCATATATGTTGGTGGTTAACCATCTGGTAAACATACCATAGGCTTTTAATAAAGGCCATATATATGGTAGGGATATCTAGGAATATACCCTCTGGTAATTTGTTATAGTTTGCGAACTTGAACATGGCCATTGAAATAGTGAGTTTTCCCATTAATAGCATGGGGATTTTCCATAGTTTTTTGTATGTTTACCAGAGGGTAATGGGCTGTACATGACCCAGAGTGACTCTGGCAACTGAAACTCAGAACATGATCTTTTGAAAAAACCAGCAAAAATTCAAAGTGCTCTTTTTTTGCACCTTGGTCACCTAGAATTGATCCCATATGTTCGGAGACATTTCCTTGGCCATAGATGGGTTGATGACATGCTCAGGTGGGAACCCTCTTTGTCTTGGAGCACGGCAGGGTCAGCATTCAGGCCTCGGGGTCTGACCCGGCCGGGCTGACCTCACGTCGCAAGTTGGACGGGATGAATTCTGGGTGCTTTATGGTGGTAAAAAGCCTATGGAAAAATGGTGATTTTAACCGTGGCTACCCTCTGGTAATTTAACGTAGCTATTGAAAATGGCCATTTATAGTGGATTTTCCCATTGAAAATTGTGATTTTCCATAGTTATGTTAGTTTACCAGAGGGTAAGTTAAATAACCAAAGGGTATATCAATTTTTACATGAGGCTTTCCAATCCATAGAAAAAACCCCAGTTCTCATCCATGTTTGGGAAAATCACCCATTTTTTAACCATCCTGGATGCTCGCTTGGGGTACCCCCATGACTATGTTTGGGGTGAATCCTTGATCCAAAGATCTCCCAAAACAGCCATACAAAGTGGGGCCCCCGTTTACGATAGCGTTCAGTTGGTGCAAATAACTCCAATGTCACTATGGTTTATGGTACGCAAATAACGAACTAGTTATTGGGGCTTATAAACCAACTTATCACTAGGTGACTGAGGTGACACCTGACACCTTTCACCCTGTCCTGTTACGAAATTCATCACCGTTGACAAAAAAAAGCAACTGGTACAGGGTGGGTGGGGCCCCCAGTCGAGCTCGCGTTCAGTTGGTGAACATAAGTGGTTGAATTCAATGGTTTATGGTAGATATAACGAACTAGTTAATGGGGGTTACAAGGGTTTATAAACCAACTAACATCACTGATAACTATATAACTATAGTTAATGGGGATTATTTCATGGTTTATAAACCAACGTTCACATCACTGGGGGGCCCCATGAACGGTACCGTTGTCCTGTGAGATCTCCGGCGTGGGCACGGTGAACGAAGTGCCGGCGGGGAACTGCTTTGGAGCTGGAAACTGAGTTACTGAGTTCCCAAGACGTTCCTGGCATTTGGTGAAACCACCATACCCATATGCTCCATGGTGCTGGAATATTTACCATCATTTGCCCGAACAAAATCACCCAGTTTTGTAGGTAAATATACCATACATGGAGCATATGGGATACGTTTCACTTGAGATTTGGATATCCCATGAAGATCAATGGATTAAGGTTTTCTTGGGAAAATATCTAGAAACCGGAAAGCATCTAGATTTTCCCATGAAGATAAATATGGGGTTTTCCGGTTAAAAATTTCCCTTAAACCAATCCATTGACTGGACGGATATCCAAGTCTGGTAGGACACGGCTGGAAACTCCACCCATTGGTGCTTGTAAATGGGATTTTACCATGAAAAGATTTGGGTATGGGTCAATACCTATAGATACATTTTTAGTGGGATGAACATCCATTTACCAGCTATGACTTGGGGTGAACAGAAGGTACCAGGGTTTTGACCCATCCCCATTTCATAATTTTTTGGGAAAGGATTTTCAATTGCCATGTTCACGGCAAAAAAATGAGTTTGGTACTTGAACATGTTCGGAAAACGACAGGTTGAGTAGCATTTTTTCCCCTATGAACATGGCAATTTGGGTGGTACATCATGGCATATACCATTTTCACCATATGTACTATAGAGATGGACCTAATAATCAAAAACTATAGAGATGGACCTAATAATCAAAAATTGAGATTACAACTGATGATACCCTCTGGTAATATGGCGAAGGATTGCCAGGTTTGATTTTCAGAGAGCCATATGACGGCATTTCATGGCTCATTGGAGGAGGCGTTGCCTCACAATTACAGGCGAGAACTATACCCACAAAACATCACAAAACCAAGATGCTGCCGTGAATAGCCGAAGTGCCCGATGTATCCTAACATACTGTATCCTGCCTGTAGTTTTGTGCAACCAGAGTTGCAGCAACCCCTGAATTTCAACAGCGCAAACTTAGCCACCGCTAAAATAGCAACTGAGTTGCAGGATGTGCATCCCAGTTACCCCACGGGAATAGCCTTAGCCCAGATATAGGTATTGTATGGATTATACTTATACAGTTATACAGTATAATTATACATGAATTGTACGTTGGCTTACTATAGCCATTGAGATTCGATCGGACCTCAGGGGACCTGAGATCGTGAACTGAGCAGACTGAGCAGCTCAGGGCTTACTATAGCCATGTCTCGGAAGGAGAAGCTGCTTGTGACCTGCAACTTGCCTGTGCCGTGTCCTCTTCGTGCAAGAGGTTGGTCCTTCGTGTCCTCATCGTCATCATGGTGGCCGAACATTGTCCTTCCAGATGATGTGGAGGACTGTTCCAAGCCAGGGATGGGGATAGAGTGCTGATCTGTGGCCGTCAACATGTGGATACGCATCTTCTCAAGGTCGGAGTTGTTGCGTGTGAAAAGCTGGAGATCAGCCCAGAAGCTGTCTACGTGTGCCGGAAACGAATGACACTGCGCGGACAGACTGGCGCTGAACTCACATTCTCTGAGGATGTAAGCGGATACAGCCAATGCCTTGTGCTGGCTGGAGATGGAGGAGCTGTGGAAAATTTGAGAGTCCTTGGCAAGCTGCGCTGCCCTCTTGAGCAAATCTCAGGAGACTGGCAAATCAGCAAGTGTACTATCAGAGCTCCCCCCACACCAACTTGGGATGCTTTCACTGCCTCAGGTGGTAGCATCGTGTTCCAGACCATGTCATCTTAGATCGATGCGTGATTCAGGACGGGTGCTTTAGTGGAATTACGGTTGGTGAAGATACCTCCTTGGATCTCCTTGGTTGCAAAGCGGTGCCTGGTGATGGTTTTAAGGTATACTTTTTCTTTTCAACATTTTTCTTTTCAGATTTGGAGTGATGATCCCCACCAACAATCACCAACATTCTTCAGGGGGGTTTGAAACTACCATCTAGGTGTGTGTTTTTGCGCAACGGACGCAGTGCCTCACAGCCTCACATCGAACTTTTTGCCTTGCTCACCTTTGCGCTGCCGAGATGCATCAAGTCCCACATTGCTGACTTCATTGCACCGGGGATGGCAGCACAGCTCCACTCACCCGTTTCGACCACGGACCCGCTCCGCCAAAAAATGGGCTGCGTGCTTCAGCTCTGCAACGGGGCGACCGCGGAAGTTACGAAGTGCCAGTTCGGCGCCAACGGTGTTGTGGCTCACACACAGTTGAACGGTCCATGGTTTTTCGGTGGCGTGCTGATGCCCCTCACATCCTTGCGTCAGAGAATGTGACTGCTGACGGCCAAGTCCAAATTGCCTGTACATTGCTCACCGCCGCGACACGCTTGCTCGGCTGGAAGCTCACCGTGACCGCGAGGGAATGGGACTGGCTCTGTGGGGAGTCTCTCCAGAAGAAGAGCGAGAGATTCTGAGGAGGGAAGTCGAACGTAATCAGCCGCCCTGGTTGGAGGAGTGAATCTGCTCCTGTCACCAATCGACTATGAAGCACTATTATTGCGTTTGTTTGTTCGGTGGAAAAACTATGAAACGCTTGAAACCTGAGGTGGAATTCACGTATGTCTTCGAGTTTCTAGTTCATGCAGGCAAACTTGTGGGCAGAACTCCCAAAATTCTGGGAATGGCTCAGGATGATTCAAAAACAGAAATCATAGAGGATCTTTGAATCAGCTTCAAGCTTAAAACCATGATCAAAAGTTAGAGGCCGACATCAAAACCTGAATCTCTAAAAAGAAATTTAGGATTCATTGGGAATTGGTGATGTGGGTTTGTCTCCAATACGGGCTTCCTCCAACCAATAAGGTTCACCATGATCTGTTTTGACTCATTCAATAGTTCCACTGCTTCCAAACGTCCCAAAAGTTCAACTGATATCAACTGATGATTCTGTAGGATTTCTCCAGATTTTCCACGATTTTTACCAGGTTTTCCCATGTTTTCCCAGCCTTTCGCGGCGCGGAAATCCCATGGGATTTTTTCAGCCATGAGGAACGCACCCTGCTGGGGATCGCCGCGGAAGCCAATGCCACCGTGAGGGTGTGCCACCGGAAATGGTGGTTTAACCATGGCTTTAACCATGGTGAAACACATCGGAAAAGGGGGTTTCATAAGATCGATAAGATATCAAGGATGGTTTAATTATATGGAAAATAGTGATCTGAAGAATCAACTTAAAGTTGATTTAAGCATCAAAAAAGGGTGGTATCATACCATCAAACATGATCAAAGATGGCGGTCTGATATGGTTTAAGCATCTTGAAATGTGGATATCAATACTATTAAAATCTATTAAAGCGGGGCCCCCGAATGCAGAGATCCAGTAGTAAGCCAGGGGTTGGTTTGTTTCCAGGGTGGTTTGATATTAAGGGATCATTGATGATAATGACACTTTAATGCAGTTTGAAGTAGCCACAATTTTCCAGATGTTTCTCTTTTGGAAGCTGTCACAGTTTTAAGACAGACCTGGGAGACTTCAACTGATTCGTGGTATTTTCAGCCATTACTGGTTGATTGGTTGGTGGTTTGGAATTATTTTTCCATTCAGTTGGGAATTTAATCATCCCAACTGACGAGTTTTCATATTTTTCAGAGGGGTTGCAGTCAACCACCAACCAGATTTTCCATGGGACCATGATCCATGAGCAGAAAGCTTCTCGGCTCAGCCGAGCATCGCTCCAGGTGGCTACCCCTTTTGCTTTGGCCTTGGCCATCCTTCGAACGGCCCTGCACAAAGCCTTGAAGAAACATCCGGTGGAAGTCGCCCGAAGCTCAACGAATCGATCCGGATCTTCCAGTCCAGTCCTTGCGGGTTTTTCAGTTGGGAAATCCATGGGGAAATCCATAGAAACATGGGAAAAACCATGGAAAATCATGATGAACAACTATATCTGGTTGGTGGTTTAAGGAACATGAATGGATTATGACGTTCCATTCAGTTGGGAATAGTAACCCCAACTGACTAATATTTTTTCAGAGGGATTGAAACCACCAACTCCAGATATATATATATAGATAGATAGATAGATATTCCATCATATCCCATCACTTCCAATCTGAGGATTTCATGAAATTTCATCCAAAGTTGAGTAGATGGCCATTCTTTTTTCTACAAGGTGGTGCCCCCCAGTGATGTTTGTTGGTTTAACATAATTATATATATATATCACATTTTATATTTGATGGTTTGTAAATAATATGGTATATAATATGATGTATAGCATATAGCACCATGTTTCACCCATCTACACTAGCTCGTGATACCAACCATGCACCCAAGAGTTCTCGTGAGTGTGTTCTAGTCCAACTTAACGAACTGGAAGACCACCTTGTAGTTGTTTCCTTTTGAGACATCAAATCCCAAGTTTTTTTCATATGTTTACTACTTCCCCTCTGGTAAACATACAAAAGACTATGGAAAGATCCACCATTCTTAATGGGACAATCAACTATTTTGACTGGGCCATTTTCAATAGCAAACTGTAACAAATTACCAGAGGGTAAATATCAAAAAATCACCAGAGGGTAATATAAATTACCAAGGTTTTTTCATATGTTTACTATTCAATACAGGATGGGGCCCCCCAGTTCTAAGTTGGTTTATAAACCATTATAGCCCCCATTAACTAGCTCGTTATATCTACCATAAACCATAGAATTCAGCCAGTTATAAACCAACTGAACGCTATCTTGGGGGCCTCACATTGTATATATGTTTATTACTTTATACCATAGCATTTTGGTACAAATTCCATGGCCCAGCGTCCGGAAGGAACATTTCGAGAAGCTGAAGACTTCGCCGCAGGGTGGAAGAATCTCAGGGAGCAAGGCGCGGCGCCTTGGAAAGCGCGGCGCGGCGTGTTGGAAAGTGGCGATTTTTTCCATTGCGATATGATTCTTGGTGAGTTAACTAACAGTCAGGTGAGTGGAATTCTGGAGAGTTCCATCACTTAGGATTGGTAAAACACTATGTTTTAATCATATAAACATAATATATTAACCATATCAAAACATAGAATAGGTGCTTGGGGTGTTTAATATGAATGGGGGATGGGATTATAAATGGAACCCCAAGTAATATCTGGTTGGTGGTTTGGAACAAGATTTTTATTTTTCCATTCAGTTGGGAATGTCATCATCCCAACTGACTTTCATATTTTTCAAGATGGTTAAGACCACCAGCCAGATATGTATATATGTCTGGGTAAATTTGATCACTACCTCGTGACCGAAGCCTGGAATCATGGCGAATGTATAGGGGAATTGTCCCAATATGGTCTTATTTCAGGTTAGTGAAATATTATAAGTTGCCCAGATATGTATATATTTCCTACATCCATCAGGATGTGATGTAAGTGGACTGGTTTGTGGTTATTCATCACACTCATCAGAGAAAAAAGCTTCCGGCTTTGAGTCTTAAACTTTCAATGATCAAACGTAGATCAACACATCAATGGATTGGTTTGTTGGGGAAAATCTAGAAACCGGAAACCATAGATTTTCCCATGAAGATCATGGGGGTTTCCGGTTAAAATTTTCCCTTAAACCAATCCATTGAACACAGCATTTGAAGTGTGCCATGCTTGTCACGTTGCAAAATTCGGGGGGATTTTCCGGCCAATTTTCCCATGATCCATGATCCACATCGTAATTCTTTTCCAAATTTTTGTACTTCTTTAGCGCAAAAATGAAATCTAGTTTGATCTCTATGTGTATATATATAAATTAAATAAACTAGATATGAAATATATGATATATGTTCTATATTTAAATATGAAGTTAACACATATATATATAGTTTAGTTTCATAATATCATAAATTAAATGATCTTTTTCGGATCTCCAAATCAAAGCAGTGTTGTTTGTATCGTTTTATTATCCTGGGGATAAGAGTTTTTCAGCTATTCTGAGATGAGTGAATTATAGTAGCTTATCATAGTCTATCCAGATACATCATGATGTTTTATTTTCTGTATTTTACCCGCTATTCTATTGCCTAAATCCACACTTTGGGTTACCTCAAATTTCATCCCCCATAAATTAAGGAACAGACGTAACAGAAAAAATCAGTGAACATTCATCCCGCAAGAAACTGTTCAAAGAATCAACAATTTTTGGGGGAACAAATAAACATTTCTCTAACCCCTCGTCGCCCAAACTGGGAAAGTTAACGCATGCCACCCAAATATCGTACTCCACATACCTTGGAGTATGGGTAAGATTCTGGTAGAATTACATCCTTTTCCATCCTTTTCCAGAGTTTTTTCCGTCCTTTCCCACTGGGAAGGTGCGGCATGTTGAGCTCTTCAGGGCTTCTGGGTGCGCATCAGCGGTGAAGGGAGCGACCCAAAAATGGGGACCCTTTTGGAGCTACGCATGGAGTATCCCAAGTACATAATTATATTTAAATGGTCAATCGGCTAGGGTTTGTTTATTATTTTACCGTTTTAGGTTTTTTTTGGGTATTTTCATGTATTTTCAAGGGTTGTTTCTGTTGTGGACGATCTATTTTCAGGGCAACAATCCGGTTTGAACGCTATATACATCACGCCTGTTTTTTTGTTCATTTCTTGCGACCCTTTCCTGTTGGTGATTTATGTCATAGTTTAACCAGAACTAGGGTATGTATATATATATATTTCTATTGTGGAAGGTATAAACGAAACCACATGAAATCCGCATTGAATCGCCATGATATGATCATAAAGCCACCTAATCAGACCAGCATTCAACCGCCATTTGGAGGTTTCCAATCCATGGGGGTACCCCCAACCACTCATCGAAATCTTGATCGGATTTTCCATGAAATAAATCATCCAGCGATTTTAAAGGGGTACCCCCCATTACTATGGAAACCCCCATGAAACCTGGATGATTTCATGGCGGCCCACGGTGGGGGAAAAATCTTCCATTCACAGTCGCCAGGACCGGATTTCTCGAGGCCTTGAACGCAAAGGTCACCTCCGCCATGTTCCTGTCCACTGTCCAAGTGGTGGGCTGGCTTTTGGGCCTGGAACAGCAACTTACTGTGGAAGAAATCCTATGAAATCCTGGTTGAGACGTCTCACCATGGTTTATGAAAATTAGGGGGGGTACTCCTCCAATAGTCATTTCATCTTATATAAATGGTATCCCCCCAATTATTCACAGCCGTAAACGGGGTTTATTAATCCAGGGTTGACATTACTGTGGAAGAAATCCTGCACCAGTTGCTGACTATTGTATGATATGCATTGATATGCCATCTACCAACTGGTGAAGGATTTTTCTTCCACAGGAAGTTGCTATGTTGCTGGAAAAAACACGTTTATTTTGTTGGTGTGATCTCTTGAGAATCCAACTGGTGAAGGGAATGGCCGCTATCTGTGCCGAATTTGGATGGTGAATTAGTCCATTTCTAGGCAATAGGTGGTAAACATCCCATTATTTTGTTGGGTTTTCTACCATTCCAAGTGGTGCAGGATTTCGCAACCATCCACAGTATCTCATGAAAATTCCTAGGATATCCTGAGTTCCTCGTAAGAATACTAGGTCAATCTTAGATGGATACAAACTAATCCTAACTAATCTTTTGGTATGAATGGGAATATCTACGTTCACCAGCAAAGAATTTGGTCCATTTTTTGCAGGGTATCTGGCTGATTGGCAATGATTTGAGCACATATTTTACCTAACCAAGGTGACCCTGGCGGCTATCAGGGGTTTGCGAGCCTGGATGCATTCCCCCCCAAAAATCAGTCATCGATTTGGTCACTTTCTGAACGTGGATTATCATGGCTTCTCCCAGAAGGTTTCCTGAAATGGGGGTACCCCCAGTTCTCATCATAAGGGGGTTTCCTTTATTTTCGGATATAGCATCCCCCCAATATCGTATGGGAAACCCCCCTTATACATGTTTATAGATGTTTTCTTTTCGGATTTTCCAGTATAAACATGCATAAGCCATCCAATGCTTGGGGTACCCCTATGCTTTTGTGGAAGCCTGGCTCATTCCAAAAGGAATCGAAGCCCAGGCACGGTCAAACCATCGTGGTGGAAGGATCCTACGAGGAGGACCCGGCCATGTTCGTTCTTTCAGGCCCTCAGAATCGAAGAGAGTGAAACGATGGAAAATGATGAGTTGAATTCCAAAAAAACTGCTTGGTGGTGACTGGAACCATGGAATGGATTATGACTTTCCCATCATAGGAATATCAATATGGGAAATCCATAGAAAAATGGGAAACACCATGGAAAATCATGATGAACAACTATAAGTGGTTGGTGGTTTAAGGAACATGAATGGATTATGACGTTCCATTCAGTTGGGAGTGTCATCATCCCAACTGACGAAGTTATATTTTTCAGAGGGGTAGGTCAACCACCAACCAGCTATAAATCTAATGAAATCCACAAGTTTTCTAGGCTGACATCATAATTCTAGATGGTCAGATTTTCCGGAACATCTACCATCTGATAATTTAACATAGCTATTGAAAATGGCCCATAGAAATAGTTGATTTACCCATGAAAAATTGTGATTTTCCATAGTTTTTTGTATGTTTACCAGGCCGGGTAGGGTGTAGGACGGGAAGGAGATGGAGAAGTTTCCGCAAAAGCCACAGACCACCCCCCAGGTTTATGGTTTTTCGAGGTTCGTGTACCCTCTGGTAAACTAACATAGCTATTTACAAATTAATGGTGTTTTAATGGGATATATGATGGTGATTCAATGGGATTTAATGGGATATATGATGGCTTACCCTCTGGTAATTTGTTACAGTTTGCTATTGAAAATGACCATAGAAATAGTGGAGTTACCCATTGAAAATGGTCATTTTCCATATTTATGTAAGAGTTTACCAGAGGGTAAGTTCTTTCTTATACAACTCAAATATTCTCATAATATGCACAGGCAATATCAAGGGAAATCACTTTCTTAATTTGATAAATTTTAAGTCACCGCTCCCCACTGTGAAGGCGTGTTAAACCCCCACTGTATGGACCTAACGCTCCATGCGGGAAGTTTGTTCTTGGCTAATCTTGATCGTAAAACCCATGAGATTGTCAATTAAGATGATTAACTACTACTAATTGATCTAATTGGTGTTAAGTATCATCATGTATCATCAGTGATTGTAATTGTTATCATTATCATGACTGTCCTTATGATTAAGCTTATTTGTGATTAGTGTTATTATTGTCATGCATATTATTGCTATTCCTATCATTTTCAGCAATGGTAATCCATACAAGTAACAATACTATTGTCAAAAAATATACAGGGTGGGGCCCCCAAGATAGCTAAGTTGGTTTATAAGTGGTTTAACCATGGTGTATGCTAGAGATAACTATAGTTCATGGGGGTTATAATGGTTTATAAACCAACTTACAACTGGGGGGGGCCCATCCTGTCATGTGGGTAAAACGATCATAAACAATCCCCGAAAATCACCATTTTTATAGGTGCTATGTTTATCATTCCTAGTCAGTCATGGGTGGTTTATGACATTGTTGTACCAACATTACAGGATGGGGCCCCCAAGATAGCTAAGTTGCCTTATAAGTGCCTTTATTGTAGATATAGCTATAGTTAATAGGGCTTATAATGGTTTATAAACCCGCTTATAACATGGGGGCCCCATCCTGTAATCACATGATTGTCATAATTAGAGATGATAAAATTGGTACAAATTGGTTGGTATGCAAGTCACGAACAGCAAGTCAACCCTCCAACCAATGTGAAGCCCACTTCCAACAGTCACATGAACCCTACTGTTCAAAGCAGTGGAAAATGGGATTGGAGGTTATATCATGGAGCGTTCAAAGAGTGCATTGGTTAAATCACGAAAAAAACAACCATCAAGCACCATCAAGCACTACCGGAAAATCTTGGAAATCACACCATGAAAATCACCCCCATTAAATCCATAAACCATCCATAAATCACTCACGGCTGAAAATCATGAAAATCACCCATAAAAACCATCTGTCTCAAGTTATCACCATGGCTAAAAATCGCGAAATAAAATCTCAGCCATGGTGATACCCTCTGGTAAACATACCCACAGGACGAGGGGTTGTCCCGAAGGAACAACCCCTCGTCCTACGAGGGTATGGCCCTCCGGGCCATACCCAGAGCGGAGCTAGCAACCCATTGGTTCCATCATTCCAGTGCCAGGGGATTTCCTTGTCATAACATTTCCTTGTCATAATCTCCCGGCCCCATGGAACATATACGCATACCTCTATTAGGGGTTTCATATAGGGTATAACGTAAGTTATAAAATCCCCCGGCCCCATGGAACATATACGCATACTTCTCTTAGGTGTTTCATTTAGGGTTTACATAAGTTATAAAATCCGGACTCGCCAAAAAAGTCGAAAAGATTGAAAAAGTGGAAATGGCCGAAACGCGTGAAGTCCGCAGAGGGTTCACTTTTCTGACTGATTTTTCCAAAAATTCGTCTTAGACCACGCTAACTCACAGATGTACCAGAGTCATAAAACACTGCACCTGCGCAGAGAAATGAGCCTCCCACTGACGTTCATACGACCATTCCGGGACAACCCTCAGTCCTGCCCGTAAACATACAAAAAACTATGGAAAACCACCATTTTTCATGGGTAAAACCACTCTATTTCAATGGTCATTTTCAATAGCAAACTGTTAGTTTACCAGAGGGTAGGTGGTATAAATCATTCCCAAATGGGTGGTTTATGACATTGTTGTACCAACATTACTCACATGATTGTAATAATTAGAAAACTGTTAGTCATAACCAGATGGTACATCAAAAATGAGCCACCCAAAATGGCCTTGGATGGTAAATAGCTATTGAAAATACCATTATTAACCATGGAAATCCCATTAGAATCCCATTAAATTACCAGAGGGTAACTTGAGACAGAGACCGTCCTCCGCGGTTCCTCCCGAAGAGGTGGCATTGTAGTGGCGGAGCGCCACGGCCACGCCATCGCGCGCATCTCTCCGGGGGCCACCTTTGGGGAGTGCCTTGGACGGCTGGGAAAACCCATGGGATAGTGATGGTTAATAGTGGTTAATATTGATTAATAGTGATTAATAGTCATAGTGTTTTATATAATGATGGTTGTTATAATGGTGATTATAATGGTGATTAATAGTGGTTAATAGTGATTAATAGTGATTATTGATAGTGATTATAATCCCATGAATAGTGATTATAGTGGAAGACCATGGGATATTTTTTTGGTTGTATCGTGAAAACCCTATCATAGTGATTATACAATAAACCCATAGTGATTATATAATGATGGTGGTTATAATGGTGATTATAATAGTGTTTAATAGTGTTTAATAGTGATTAATAGTGTTTTATAGTGATGAATACGAATTAATAGCGGAAAATAGTGTTTAATAGTGATTAATAGTGATTAATAGTGGTGAGTACGAATTAAATAGTGATATAGTTTATAGTGTGTTAATGAAAGTAATTAATAGTGGAAAATAGTGGATAACAATGGGAAAAACAATGGGATAGTGAATAGTGATTAATAGTGATTAATAGTGATTATATTAATAGTGAATACAAGCCATGAATAGTGATTATAGTGTCTTATAGTGGTTAATAGTGATTGACAGTGGTAGAAACTAATTCATAGTGGAAAATAGTGGATAACAATGGGAAAACCCATGGGATAGTGATCGTTAATAGTGATTAATAGTGATTAATAGTGATTAATAGTGATTAATGGTGATTAATAGTGATGATAATCCATGAATAGTGATTTATCACCCATTTTTGGATGGTTAATAGATTAATGCGGGTAAAGGAATGTCATTTTTACCACCCATGACTGGGAATGGTAAACATACCACCTTTAAATTTATGGTGATGCCTATGGGTAGTTGTCAATATCTATTTTAGCTAGTTACATATGGATTGACAACTAACTATGTATACATATCTATGTTAGTTGTCAATCTACAACACTGTTCTATGGGTAGAAACTAATCCTTGAACATCTTTTGCAATAGGAATATCTACTTTCACCAGCTAAGAATGTATAATTTCTTGCAGGGTATCTAAGATTGGCAATATAAAAAACTGGGGTCTTGATGGGTTTTTCCGTGCCAGCTGGTCAAACAGCATACTGAGCATACTGACTTGCTCCAGCCACACCAGAATGGCGGGAGAAAGGGTTTGTCCTTGAGTTTTTGATGTTTTTTTTTTATCCTTTGATGGGTTTGGAACAGTTTTTCAGGGTTTCTGATGGGTCAATGGATTGGCTTAAAATCTTCCGAAACCATGATTTTGAAAACGAAACAAAGAGGATTTTCCCTTACCAATTCGGGGAATGGGTTTGGATGTTTTTGCCATGGTTTAGATTGGTTGTACATGGGTTTAGATTGGTTTAGACGAGCTCTAGACGGGCTTTAGACGGTTCATATATGGTTTAGATGGGATTGAACATATGGATACATATGGGGTTTTAAACAACTCAATAGATGTAGACGCAGCGCATATATATATATATATAAATTGTTTACGCAGCAGACTTTAGCAACCTCGACGTTGCTGGACCAATGGCTAGAAAAGGGTACAAGATGGGAGAAGGGGAACCATTTATTTTAAGATATGGTGTCATTATGTGTTATTTCACCATAGTTATACCCAATTGTTGGGAATATAAACCATAATTGGGATATAAGCCCTATAATCCATGGATTATATCTGGGGGAAATTATAACGACCTCACTGTTCTCCCGAAGCCTGGAATAATGGTGAGTGTATAGGGGAATTATCCCCTTTTATGGTCTTATTTCAGTCTGTCAGTTTAGTGGATTATTAGAAAATTTGCCCAGATATATTTTATATTTATATATTGCTTTTATTCTACTGTATATAGAGAAATTATTAGTGTTGTAAAAGTTTTCTCAATGTCACTTTCATGATCGCGGGAAGGAGTCAAATGTCAAACGCACGGCCAGGACCTACAGATTGATTGCCATTTCTGGACACAACGCTATCCAGTCTCCATTCCCTCCAGATCCATCCAGAGATTCGGAAAATCCTTTCCCACTCAAAAACCCATGGCCACAATGTTTCGGTTTTCGGGTATCTCATCCATTTAACGAATAAATATACCCTCTGGTTATTTAACATAGCCATGGAAAATCCCAACCATAAATGGAGGTTTATAGCTGGGAAAATCATCTATAAATGTTTTTTTTTTTTCCATGGCTATGTTAAATAACCAGATGGTACCTTATGTTGTTTTTGTTGGTGCTCTCCATTTGTTTTTCTTAAGAGAAGGCATGTTGCGTTGGGGACGACCTCTCAACGGCCCACGGAAATTGAGGCTAGCAATGCTGGGGGTATCACCAGAGCGAGCTGTCACCATTCGAGCTGCCCTGCCGGCATAGTTGCTATGCAAAACCACCATTTTTCAAAGGTAAATCATCTACAAACGGGTCTTTTCCTATTGCTATGTGAGATTACCATACAGGATGGGGCCCCCCAGTTGTAAGTTGGTTTATAAACCATGAAATAACCCCCATTAACTATAGTTATATCTACCATAAACCATTGTTAAACCACTTATAAGCCAACTTAGCTATCGTTTGGGGGCCCCACTTTGTAGGGTATTTCTTTGAATTCCTGATTTGGTACAGAAGTGTTTGACTGGATCTTTTTCAGTCCATCCGGCCATTTTTTCCACAGCGACTGCTGTCTTTTTGCCCAGCACCCTGAGTTGACCAAGAGGAAATTTCTGGATTTTTGTGGGAGGAATGGTCCATTTTGCCATGAACATCGTGAAATCTGATAGGAAGTGTCCCCCAAAAGGATAGGTATTTTAGTTGGTTCACTAGCTCAACTGTTGGATTTTATGGCCATAGTTGGGGCTATCAACCCACTGAAAGGGAACGAGGGGAGGGTCCGTCATGAAATCTTTAGGTTCTCAGTTCTGAAGCACTTCAGTGCCAGGTGACTTTGTGCTTCATCATGAGCATCCAGTCGTCAGCCTTCCATCAGGCAGTTCTTGCAGAACCGATGGAACTCCGGGCAGGGGATTCGTAGATGAACACGTGGCAGATGGGATGTTTGAACTGGTTGGTGGTTTAAGGAACCATGGAATTTTATGACTTTCCAGAAACAGTTGGGAATGGAATGTCATCATCCCAACTGACTTTCACTCCATCATTTTTCAGAGGGGTAGGTAGCCTCCACCAACCAGTGAACTAATCATCAACCATCATTTACCATCATTAATCACCATTAATCACCATTAACCACCATTAATCACCATTAACCAAGTAGGTTAAACACCATTAATCACCATCATTTACCATCATTTACCTCATTAATCACCATTTGTTACAGTAGTTACAGTATCTTGATCCAGATACGTCACGGCGATGTCATGGATCACGATGGCAGGCTTTGGAGAAATTCCCGGAAGAGAAGGAGTGAGCTGCTGGCCACCCTGTGCTCCTGGAAGTTACTGTATATAGATGGACGGTTTTCATGCCAACCCCACCTGCTTCCCTTCAGCAGTCCAAGCTGGGTAGATGGTAGAAAGTAAGCCCGAGGAATTTCTGGATTTCTTCAAAAACAATTCCATCCCATGCTTGAAGCCCCCATTTTTTCGTTAAAAGATGGCCATAGCTTCAAATTGATGGAGCCCATGTGATCCAAATCGCAGACGAAGCGCAAGCGCTTCGCTTGCTTCGCTAGGAGCGCTTTGATACAGCGACCAGCGGCAGTCACAAGGAAGGGCCACGGGTGGTGTGGCCGTGCCTGCGAGGCGAGATCGGTGGGTAGGGGGAGACCATCCTGCGGAAATTTCCATTAAGGCCATCTTGGGTGGCTCATTTTTGATGTACCATCTGGTTATGACTAACATAACCATGGTATAGATGGCCCATAGATTTACTGGGATATATATATATGATATATGATGGTATACCATCTGGTTATGACTAACACAACTATTTACCCATTAATGGTGTTTTAATGGGATATATGATGGTGATTCAATGGGGTTTAATGGGATATATGATGGTATACCATCTGGTTATGACTAACAAAACCATGGTATAGATGGCCCATAGATTTATAGATGGTTTACCGGTTCACCTATAAAAAATGGTGGATCTTTCCATGGCGAAGTGTTAGTCATAACCAGATGGTATCAATTGCTGCAGTGATCTGCAGTGTGACAAAAAACCGAGCCCAGGAAATGGCTCATGTCTTCAATTCAAATAGTTCTGGTTTGTGTTTTCAAACTGGAAATGGATCAATGGGATGATGCTCCCCCAATTTTCCGAGTATTTCTTCGGAAGGTCAAAGAGCGCCAACCAGAGAACTCCTCCTTCATTTGCCACAGGCGAATCCTCTCGCTTGCTGTACCTTCTGGATCTCTATGCGGAGAAGTTTTCATGTCGAAGACCTGGATACCTGGGCCTGAGGTGTAAATTCCAGGTCTCTGTAGACAGGCTATGGAATCCTGTTCTTTTCCATTCTGACGAACAATTCATGTTATACCATGTTATGTGTTTCCATTTTTTCAATCAACTTAGCTCTTTAATTATTTAACACAAGTGTAATGATAGTTTCATGATGTTTAATGATTTAACAAACGTTTAATTATAGTATATTACAGTTTCATTATTTAACCATTGTTTTTTTCATCATTTTTTTCAAACATGATTTTGATGACTCATTCCGCATTCAGTTTCAACCGGGCCACGGGCCCAGGTCTGGCGGGTGATCGTCGACTGGGACATGCGCCCTTCAACGAGGCACCGAGAGACGTGGGGATCGTGCTCCAGGGTGCTCCAAATTTGGATGTCGTGAAGTTGGTCTATCAATGGCCATTTCAGGGAATATTCCCACAATTCAATGTCCAATATGTCCATTTTGTTTGGCCAACTTGAATGTAACTTGAATATGTCAATGTATGTTAAATAACCAGAGGGAATATTCCCACAAGTGTTTATTAATATATAACACTTGAGTGTAACTTGAGACATACCCTCTGGTTATTTGTTGCAGTTTGCGAACTGGAAAGATCCACCATTTGTAAATATTTGTAATAGGTAAATCAACTATTTTTTCAGGGAGTATCCCCACAATTCATATGGTCTTACATGGTACTAACGTACCTCCATTATACCCTCTGGTTATTTAAAGTTTGCTATGGAAGCCATGGCCCATAGAAACAGATGATATAGTGGTTATATTAATAGTTTTTATAGTTTATAGATCAATGATGATATGGTTTATATAACTACCCCATATCTCCCATTCATATACTGGATGATTATATATTATACTACAAATCAAGATATTAACCATTAGATAATATTATACCATATAATCAATGGCCATTTCAGGAACCGATTTACTGGAGGTACCTACCATATATAAGGGCTATTTTTCAGGCATATTTTTTCAGGGCATATTACCACAATTCATATGGCCAAACATGGTACTAACGTACCTCCATTTTAGGATCCTGAGTTGTGGAGTGCGTTGGCTTCTTTATTTGCCATTTCTGTAAAATCCAGAAACTATTTCTTGCACAGGTAGAAACCATTTGCTAAATTCTAGAGACCATTTGCTAAATACTAGAAACTATTTGCTAAATACTAGAAACTATTTGCTGCATACTGGAAACTATTTTGCTAAATACTGGAAACCATTTGCTAAATACTAGAAACCACTTGCTAAATACTAGAAACTATTTGCCAAATTCTGGAAACCATGTGCAAAAAACTAGAAACCATTTGCTAAATACTAGAAACCATCTGCTAAATAAGTAGGATATGTAGAAACTTTTTTCAGGTAAAGTAGAGCATGTAGAAACCATTTGCTAAATCATGTTGATTTCCCAGAAACCATTACTTGAATCAAAGGGGTAATATTTGCAAGTAAAAGTTGATATTGACCATGTTGTCAGGGCAAACCTGGTCAATCTTGGAACACGCATTTGCCAATGGTAGTTTGTGGTGAGAAAGAACTAATGTCTTTACCGCACATGCCAGTTTAATAGTACTAGAGCCTCCTTCACCCATGGCTCACCACACTGAAACTGTTTACGCTTGAAACTTGAAACCATCTAGAATCCAATTGGGAGTACTATCGCGCCATACCAGTTGCAATGCTGTTTCAATCCAGGAAAGGGTGTGTCAAACAGCAACATAAACACATACCCTGTCCCAGCGCAGTTTTTGCCAAATGCACCATACAACGCCGCGAATAATTCCACACGCGATGCCCACAAGTTGTGGGATCAAAAAAAAATGCTCCCCAAACAAAACCATGTGGCTGATAGCCTTTGCGGGTGAGTTGGGGGATGGTGTTAGCAGGCCTTTGCCACATGGCATTTTAGACACCTCAGAGGATACCCAAGTCAGGGGTTTCCCGCAAAAGTCCGGACTGGTGTCTCTATTTGTCAAGGTCTGTCGCGGGAGCCCGGGGGGTCCGGTTTCGTCGGGAGCCTACCAGCTTAACCTTCCTAAGAGGTAAATATGAAAGGAAACTATTTCTTAAATCCCAGAAACTATTTCTTAAATCCTGGAAACTATTTCTTAAATCCCAGAAACTATTTCTTAACTCCCAGAGATTATTTCTTAAATCCCAGAAACTATTTCTTAAATCCTGGAAACTATTTCTTAAATCCTGGAAACTATTTCTTAAATATTTCTTAAATCCTAGAAACTATTTCTTAATCTGGGCCCCAAACCCAGAAACCATTTACAAAACCAGGATTGCTTTTACCAATCCCAACCATTGGACAAGGATAGCAGTCAATCACTTAAAGTCCAGAGATTGCCCCAGACAAGTGAGCCATGTTCTCACCGAGAGAGAGAGGCTGCCACGCAGGCACCCTTCATTCTGTTTCGATCTATGTTCATTCTGTTTCGTTCTATGTTCTTTGACTCCTCATCTCAGAATCAGTCACTGTTTCTTTCTTACTTTTCAGTCTGTAAGGAGTTTCAATATGTCATAATGTGTCTATATGTGTCTATATTTGTCAACTTAGGTTTTATTTATCTTTATTGGTATATTGTCTTGTTGATGATTTAAGGCACAGTAAGGGTATCACAGAAACCGTTTCAAACCGTTTCCCGCTACTTGCTAGGTAATAGTCCGAAACCGTCCGAAACCGTTTCCTACTATCTGCTAATTCACCCTGGCAAAAACTGCAAATAGTTTCAAATAGTTTCAAATAGTTTCAAATAGTTTCTGAGAATGGCTAATTAGCAAATAGTCCGAAACCGTTTCAAACCGCTTCCCGCTACTTGCTAGGTAATAGTCCGAAACCGTTTCAAACCGTTTCAAACCAATCCCTAGAAGGCGTAACTTGAATTACTTTTTTAGTGTTTTTATTAATGCATTTTTTGGGATATTTTTCAAAAGTTTCCAAAACTTTGATTTATTTAGGAAATAGTTTCTGCAAATTGGGTTGATTTAAGAAATAGTTTCTGTAAATTGGGTTGATTTAAGAAATAGTTTCTGTAAACTGGGTTTCTTTAAGAAATAGTTTCGAATAGTTTCCCACTTTAGGGTTGATTTAGGAAATAGTTTCTGTAAATTGGGTTTATTTAAGAAATAGTTTCTGGCCTCCACAGACAAAGAGGCCAAGGCACTCCCCAAATCCTGAGGATATAACTTCCATATAACTACACGGTTTATGGTAGACAAGTCTAAATAATCGGGGGATGCTGCATTTTTTTCCCTTAAATTAACCCATTGATCATCAAACTCCATCATTTCTGGATCGCACCCCCCATTTGTTGTTGGGTCACTCCTATGTGTTGGTCAGATCAATTTTTTGTTGCGCAAATCCCAATTCTTTCTCTGTCTAGCCTCTAGAGTAAACATACAGTTTGCGAACTTGAACATGGCCTAGTCGAAACAGTGGATTTACCATGATTTACCCATTAATAGCATGGTGGATCTTTCCAGTTCGTTATGTTAGTTAATCACCATTTTTCATGGGAAAATGCACTATAAATCACCATTTTCCATAGTTTTTTGTATGTTTACCAGAGGGTGTATAATCCCAATTCTTTCTTGGTCAAATTTCCATTTCTCGGGTCAGCTCCTACTTTTCGAAAAGGTCAAATCCCACCAACGTTTCTTGCGCAAATCCCAGTTTTGTGGTGAAATTCCAATTTCCAATAACTGGGTTTGATCCACTCCTATTTTTTCTTGTTCAAATTCCAATTTTAACCGTTCAAATAGGACAAACAGGTAAGAAATTCATGTTGCTCAAAATCCAATAGTCCATTAATCTTCCAAATTATCAATGGATTATTGATTGATCAATGGATTATCAATGGATCATCGGTTTATTTCATTTCGGAACGGCTGGACCTGGACCGCTGCCGCGTCCACGTATTTTTCGAGGCTGCCATTCTGATTTTGGAGGGCGAGATTTCCGTCCTGGATCCTCAAGGTCGCGATTCTGAACGGCTGGGACGTTGCCCAAGGTTCTTACAAAGTGGGGCCCCCTAGTTCGATAGCTAAGTTGGGGTTCACATAACTCCAATGTCACGAACTGGTTTATGGTACCTATAACGAACTAGTATTCATGGGGTTTATAAACCATCTTGTAACTGGGGGGCCCCACCTTGTAGACCCTCAAAAACAATGGTCTAAAAAAGAACCTGAATAGGTCAAACATGTTTAGACCATTTAGATATGTTTAGTGTCTTTTTAGGATTTCAATGGTCTAAACATATCTAAACATATCTAAACATGTAATCTCGGAAAAATGATGATGATCTAGTATAATTTTAGGGATTCCCTATTTTTAGACAACCTCATTTAGATGTGGTGATTTTTTGACATTTCATCGGAATAAAGGTGGAAACAAAATACATTCGTTTTCGGAACCAGACTCAAAATCACTCAAATAGAACCATGCAGAAAGCATGTTTGCTGTAAGCCATGTGTTCCCAAGACTAGAAACCACCCATCTTTCATGAATATTAAATATATGGAAACACCATCCGGAAATTGCCGATTTAAATCGGCACACACGCAGACCCTGACGTGGAAATCGGTTGACTAAAACAGGCAAGTCATGTGAATCATTGTGGAATGGGCTGATCAGGTTGGATACTGTCCGAAACCGCCAGGATTCTGTAACTCCCAAAATATGGTTCTTCAACATTATACCAGAATAAACAAGATACATGCAGAAGCACCAACACTAAGGCCGTTTGATTTCTAGAGTAATGAGAAACCTGACCATCGATCATGTGTTTCTTTTGAAAACTGAGGCTCTAAGGCTCAGAAAGGCCTTAACCCTATGGAAAACTCTTCGCTCTCAATTTATTTCGGTAAATGGATGACTTATAATTCCAGTCATATACGTTCATGACATTTCAACATGTTTAACCATTACAAACCATAGTTCGTTTAATCATATAGATCAACCACTATTAGCTTTGTTTTAGTTTGTTTTAACCACCATCCAGTGTGGATGACTGGGTGATGCTGCCAGGTCGAGAATTGGCGGTTTTAACTGCTGGATGTTGCTGGAACGAGAGAGTAGGGGATGCTCAGAACGGCCAGCTGCGACTGCAATAGCTGTTTTGGGCGGTGGATTATGAAGGGAAACCAGGCGATGTTCCATATTCATCCAGAAAATGTTTCTATTGTTTTACTATATCATATGAATTATATATGATCATATGATTCCATATCCATATGATCATATATACAATGTGAGGCCCCCGTTAGATATCTAAGTTGGTGAACATAACTCCAATGTCACTATGGTTTATGGTACGCAAATAACGAACTAGTTACTGGGTTTTTTGTTCGCCAACGTTCACATCACAACGGGTGGCCTCACATTGTATATATATTTATATACAATATATGTCAATATATTATAATATAGCATAATGTATAGTATAAATACACTTATATAATTATATATATATATATTTATATATTTATTAGTATTATTATCACTAAAGGCATAGAATCTCCACCTATTTCTTCTTCCTCACATATCAATGTCCATGCCGAGATCCTGGCTGGAGCTCGCGCCGAGCAGACAGAAAGGCTGCTGCCCATCACCAACTGTGAGGCGGTCAGCGGTGCGTTTCCAGTCTTCGACGGTGGATGAGAGCGATATTTTGATGGTAAACATAGAAAAACCATAGGAAAACCATAGGAAAACCATGGGGAAATATATGAAAAATGGTGTTTTAATGGGATATATGATATTATATGATGGTGATTCAATGGGATTTAATGGAGGTTTACTAGAATTTCCCAAATGATTGGTATATTTCATCGAAATTCCTATTAAAATGGGAACATCATAGGTGATGTATACCCTCTGGTAATCTATATACCCTCTGGTAAACCAACAGTTTGCTATTGAAAATGGCCATAGAAATAGTGGATTTTCCCATTGATAGCATGGTGGATCTTTCCATTGTTTTTTGTATGTTTACCAGAGGGTACATGTTTTTTTACCACCCTTTAAAATGGAAAAAGACATGGGCATGGTTTGAATTGCTTTACTATAGATGCGGAAAATCCATGGGGAAACCCGTTCGGAAAGTGACACATAATGGTGGGTAAACTCTACATTAGCAGAATCCACCATGCGTGATCACACATCGATCATAAAATCGCACTTTTTGTTGCTCAAATGGGTTTCTAAGCCCAAACAACATGTATTTAACCAACAAACATTGAGATTTATCATGATACCTTAGTTGGTTGAATTACCTATTGGTAGGCTACTTGGTGGTTTATCCTACTTCGTAAGTGGATTAGTTCGCCTCTAAAGTGGGGTTTGTCCACTTAAAACTACCTCGGATGCTTCCCGTTGGGAAAGGATCCAGTTTCCTGCTGGCTTTCCTACGCATGTGGTGGAGCCAATAAGGAACAATCCCCGGGGGTTCTGGATGGCGGTATAGCCTCATGTAAAATGACCACCAAATGGCTGATATGGCGATGTTGAAAAATGGCGTTCTCCCAGTTGCTGGATTTACTTGGAGGATCAACCAACTTATCGTCACTGATTACCCTCTGGTAATTTGTTACAGTTTGCTATTGAATATGGGCCATAGAAATAGTTGATTTACCTATATTAAAGATGGTGATTTTCTATAGCAGACTGTTGGTATACCAGAGGCTAGTATACAATTGTGGTACCCAATAGAAGGGATAGGCCCTGCATCAGGGACTGAAGTAGGCTTATTCACCACAAAAAAAGACGGGATGATCCTCCAAGTAACCCTCCATTCCATCTGGGTAAATTACAACGACCTCACTGTTCTCCCTCACTGGAATCATGGTTAGTAAGGGAAATCATCCCCAAATGGCCTTAATTCAGGTTAGTGAAATACTATAATTTACCCAGATTCCATTCCTCTAATATTAGGATTGGATCTAGAAGGGCTCCCATCATGGCCATTTGAGGCTGCACGACTCACCAGGGCCAAATGGGGGCCATGAATTTTTGGTACAGTGACACGTCACTTCTAAGTGGCTTATACGGTATTACACAGTAGTATACACATATAAAGATCGTATAACATAGTTGTAGGGATGATATCCCAACTTATGTAGGTTATTACCAAAGGTATACCTCAGTTATACCCAGAAAAAAAATCCAGGGCCTGCACCCCCAAGTCGCGTGCGCCTTCTGTGCGTGCCAGGTGCGCATCGTGAACCGCGAGACCTGGGGGAAAGTCATGGCCGAGTTCCCCAGCGATCTGGGCAAAGTGCGGGCTGCGATCCTGCGCTACATGGGAGAGCAGGTGCCGGTTGATGGGGGGTGGGATGGGGGTGGAGGTTGTTGGAGGTGGAAATGATATGGAACATGCTGGAAAATTCTGGGAGATGCATGGAGATGAAGAGAATTTCCTGGAAAGTGGTGAACATCATTAGTTGACTGGCGTAAACATCCTATTCATAGGCCAATCACGGTTGCACAATTACACATCCAAGCAAGTAAAGAAAGGGGAGGGCCTTGCAGCAAGGGTTTTGAGAAGTGGGACATCTATTACGGGGTCAGTGAGGTTGAGGTCAATTGCTGTCAGGATGTTTTGACAATGCTGAGGGGCATTATACTGGCTCAAGATCCAAGAAACTCCGAGAAACTCTTGGCTTCATAGTGGTCAGATGGCTCTTCAGAAAGACCATGAATCTCTTTCAGTGGGCCATGCGCGGGACCTGCGGCCGAAGGTTGAAGCTGTGCCTTCACCAGCACCAGTTTTCCAGGTACTTGCAGCCATAGACCAGAAGACAGATTCCAATGGGCGAAATCTGCATTGAACAAGCTGCGGCCGGGATGGGAAAGCAACATCTTCAATGATGTGGCATTGGCATGAAGCAGAGTCGAAGGTGCGCATTTGGATCGAGGGCAACGTGTTCCTTGGATTTTCTGGGTGGATTATTGCTTTTTTTTAAATAAAAAAATGGTAGACATCCATCAGAAATGGGGAATCTCAAATGTGGAATAGAACATCACATTTTTCCAGTAGATTGATCAACTATCAACAACTTGTCAAATGAAAAACGCAATAATAATAATAATACCTGGTTTGTGGTTTGGAACATGAATTTTATGACTTTCCATTCAGTTGGGAATAATGATCCCAACTGACGAAGTCATATTTTTCGGAGGGGTAGGTATACCACCAACCAGATAATCATAGCAGTTGCAGCAGAATTGGCTGTTCTTTGCCACCTTTGACGCAAATCCCAGGTTGCCTGTTTGATTTTTTCAGGAGGGCCGGGCTGCAAAACAGCCCATTAGCCAAGGCATTAGCCAAGTCCTTTGGCATTCCATGTGTCTTGGCAAATCCGGGCAATGCCACATTTGTGACCAGTGAAGAACACACACAACTACCCTCCGGTAAACTAACATAGCTATTGACAATGGCCATTGAAATAGTGGATTTATCCATAAAAAATGGTGGATCTTTCCATAGTTTTTTGTATGTTTACCAGGCCGGGTATTAGCGCTTTTGGTGATCGAATACTGCTTGAAGAGAAAGTCCGCAATGATCCTGTTGGATGAGATGGCCTTTTATGCAAAGGATGAAGGATTTGCTTCACCGGGTTCGATTGTAGCGGAGGAACATGCTACCCTATACCCCAAAAAAACACTACAGGAAGCAGTCAACTGGTTTCCGAATTGAACAGTGTCGTGCCTTTTGGGATCGAAATGCCCTGTGTCTCAGTGAAAAGGATCGAGAGGTTTTGGCTAAACATTCCACAGGCCTCTCACCACGTGATTTGCAGCTCTCTTTGCAAAGAGTGCTCCTTGCAACGTGTTGGAAAGCCAGGGTAGAGGACAAGACTCCAGAGACAATGTCTTTTCCAACCTTGGATGACTTCATGGCTTTCATCAAGCCAGCGGAACAAGTGATTGTGGACATGGAGTTGCACGAGGCTCCATTTCCAGTGCCGCATCTCGTCTCGCAGCGGAACATCTCGGAGAAAATCAAGCTGCCAGGCACTGCTAGGTTTCGTTGACGTCCACTGATTTGATATACCCGCTGGTGAACGAACATATAGCTATAGAAAATCATAGAAAATCACCGTCTTTAATAGGTAAATCAACCATTTCTAGGGGCCATCTTCAGTAGCAAAGTGTAAGAAATTACCAGGCCGGGTACTCACTACACATCCAGATCACGACACCATGTGGGCGACCAAAAATCTTCTCCAGCCGGAATCGGCGTTTCCCGAGCCCGGAATGCCCGGAATGCCTGGAATCCCAGGCAGAGAAGCGCTTGGGCTACGAGTCTGGAAGCCAGCAATGGATCTTTTCTGGGTCGAGAGTTGACCCAGTGATGTTAGTTGGTTTAGATTCGTTATAAGCCCCAGTAACTAGTTCGTTATAAGTACCATAAACCATAGTTATTGGAATTATGTTCACCAACTTAGATATCGAACGGGGGCCTCACATTGTATGAATTATGCAACTGGAACGACTGGGTTGACATGCTACACTTATGTAACTTGATATACCCTCTGGTAATTTTTCACATATGGAAAGATCCACCATAATTGTAAATATTCGTAAGAGGTGAATCAACTATTTCTATATATGGGCCATGGCTACCAGTTCGCAAACTCTTAGTTTACCAGAGGGTATATGGGATACCTTAAAGGGATCAGCCGATTGGTGGACTCACCATTCCCTACAAAAAATCACCACGATCTCTGGCATGATCCTCCAGGTTCAATAGCTACGATACCATGGGGGAAGGACATCGATTTAGAAGTTACTGAACGCACGGAAGGGTACCAGAGTTTTGACCTCTTAGACCCAAATCAAGATCGAACGAACACATTTTTCAGCATGTTTCTTGGCCATTCTTGGCCCTCATTCACTATCCGCTGGCATCACGCATGGGGGGACAAGCCAATCTTTGTGTCTGACAATGGCAGATCAATCGGTGATGGAGAGGGACGATATTGTGTGATTCAGATTTGCTTCATCTCACTCCATGATGATCAAGGCTTCATTTCGAACTTATCTCTCAGATACCCAATGGCTTCGCCATGTTTCGCTCATGCTTTTGCAGCTTTATATTTTTTTTGGGAAGAATATTAATGTTTGCATCTGATTAGTGTGAGGGCCCCCCCCCCCTAAACAATTTGAGGATACTCTATAACTCGCACTTTTTTTTGCCCCCCCCTCAACATTTTTTTGGTCAATCAACTTAAGAAAGGATTTCAATTTACTTTCAATTGATTTCAATTTACTTTTAATTAATTAATTTACTTTCAATTGATTTCAATTTACTTTTAATTTACTTTCAATTGATTTCAATTTACTTTCAATTTACTTTCAATTTACTTTTAATTTACTTTCAATTGATTTCAATTTACTTTCAATTGATTTCAATTTACTTTTAATTTACTCTTAATTTACTTTCAATTTACTTTCAATTGATTTCAATTTACTTTTAATTTACTTTCATTTTTTTTTTCACTCCCAAAAGTTGGTGCTCACAATAGAGTACCATCCAAACAATTATATTATTGAGTAACTGAGCCACTCATGAGGTACACCCTTGAAAAATTGTCTGGATGCTGTTTTTTAATAAGGGTTTAATAAGGCATCTAATTATTTGGGAAACCTTGCATTTTAAAGTTTTATCACAACTATGGCTTTCTAAAGTGAAAGGACCAGCTTTACCCAAAGAAAGGTGGAGAAAGGGTTTCGTTTTTTTTTCACTCCAAAAAGTTGGTGCTCACAATAGAGTACCATCCAAACAATTATATTATTCAGTAACTGAGCCACTCATGAGGTACCCCTTTGAAAAATTGTCTGCATGCTGTTTTTTAATAAGGGTTTAATAAGGCATCTAATTATTTGGAAAGCCTTGCATTTTAAAGTTTTAACACAACTATGGCTTTCTAAAGTAAAGGGACCAGCTTTACCCAAAGAAAGGTGGAGAAAGGGTTTAGCTTTTTTTTTCACTCCCAAAAGTTGGTGCTCACAATAGAGTACCATCCAAATTATTATACTATTCAGTAACTGAGCCAGTCATGAGGTACACCCTTGAAAAATTGTCTGGGTACTGTTTTTTAATAAGGGTTTAATAAGGCATCTAATTATTTGGGAAACCTTGCATTTTAAAGTTTTATCACAACTATGGCTTTCTAAAGTGAAAGGACCAGCTTTACCCAAAGAAAGGTGGAGAAAGGGTTTCGTTTTTTTTTTTTCACTCCAAAAAGTTGGTGCTCACAATAGAGTACCATCCAAACAATTATATTATTCAGTAACTGAGCCACTCATGAGGTACCCCTTTGAAAAATTGTCTGGATGCTGTTTTTTAATAAGGGTTTAATAAGGCATCTAATTATTTGGAAAGCCTTGCATTTTAAAGTTTTAACACAAATATGGCTTTCTAAAGTAAAGGGACCAGCTTTACCCAAAGAAAGGTGGAGAAAGGGTTTTGCTTTTTTTTTTCACTCCCAAAAGTTGGTGCTCACAATAGAGTACCATCCAAACAATTATATTATTGAGTAACTGAGCCACTCATGAGGTATCCCCTTGAAAAATTGTCTGGGTACTGTTTTTTAATAAGGGTTTAATAAGGCATCTAATTATTTGGAAAACCTTGCATTTTAAAGTTTTATCACAACTATGGCTTTCTAAAGTGAAAGGACCAGCTTTACCCAAAGAAAGGTGGAGAAAGGGTTTCGTTTTTTTTTCACTCCAAAAAGTTGGTGCTCACAATAGAGTACCATCCAAACAATTATATTATTCAGTAACTGAGCCACTCATGAGGTACCCCTTTGAAAAATTGTCTGCATGCTGTTTTTTAATAAGGGTTTAATAAGGCATCTAATTATTTGGAAAGCCTTGCATTTTAAAGTTTTAACACAACTATGGCTTTCTACAGTAAAGGGGCCAGCTTTACCCAAAGAAAGGTGGAGAAAGGGTTTCGTTTTTTTTCACTCCCAAAAGTTGGTGCTCACAATAGAGTACCATCCAAACAATTATATTATTGAGTAACTGAGCCACTCATGAGGTACCCCCTTGAAAAATTGTCTGCATGCTGTTTTTTAAGAAGGGTTTAATAAGGCATTTAAAATAAAATTAAAAATCTAATAAAAATCTAATAAACATAAATAATTTGATTTTTTTTTTTTTAAAGTTAAAGCATTTGGAAAAAGAAAATGAAAAAAAAACTGGAAAAAAATCTCATCTGGAAAAAAATCTCACAATAGAGTTCCCCCCCAACAATTTGCATGTGACTGAATTAGGAGCAAGAAAGTTCTCACAATAGGGTACCAGGACACTAATCGGGTGCAAACATTAAGAATAAATACAAAGACATGCAAAACATGCAGAGTCGACGTGCACTAACCATCATTTGTATTCCTGGTTGGTGGTGTGTTTTTTTCCATATATTGGGAATAATAATCCCAAGTGACTAATATTTTTCAGAGGGGTTACCACCAACCATTTTTAGTTTCCCATTGCTGAATCCACTAGTGAGAATCTACTGGGAGCTTTGCAAAGTCCATCCTCATGGGGAGCTAAGCCAAGCTACGTTTTTGAGTTTCCCAATCGCATGATAGTATAACTGAGTGATTTAAAAGTCATATTTTAATTTACATTATATATATACACATATAATTATATACATAATATATATATATATGTAAAACATATTCAGTTCAAACTTACATGATAGATTATAACATATTATAAATGAATACAAATGGGTTGACCATCCTGAACATCATTGGTTACATGCATCTATACATAAATTTGGAGATGTAGACCATCTATTAAATGTAAATATAGATGTGGTAAAATACCACCATACAATCATTTGTCGGTTGATATCATTTGACAATTCATTATGATCATTATGAATCATTTGAAATTAATGTGTATACATATATATAATAAACACATATACACACATCATTTTAAAATATATTTTATTAATACAATCAACTGAAAGGTGAAGAGGACTGACTCAAACCTTCTGTAAAATTAATACAATATATATTTATATATCTGGTTGGTGGTTTGGAACATGAATTTTATTTTTCCATTCAGTTGGGAATTTAATCATCACAACTGACTTTCATATTTTTCAGAGGGGTAGGTCAACCACCAGCCAGTATAGTTTCACCGTCAAAATTCAACACCATCAAGCCAATTGGGATTTTTGTTGGGTAAACAGACCCCAGTTACTAACTAGTTAACTAACTCCATGGCCCATCTAAGTAGAGAAATATGGGAAAATACAGGGATCCCCATGTTTAATAGACAGTATATGGATCTGTTAATACAGTATATATTTATATATATATATATTTATTAGTTATTATGAAACTTAGTTATTGGAGTCAGAAACCAATCTAATACAGTATATATATATTATATTATATATTATATATTTTTATTGGATTTGTTGAAATCTGTTAGATCAAATGTGCTAGTTACTGAATAAACAAAATATGTGACTGTATATGTTTATCTCTTTTCTTGTGACAAAAAAATGGTGGATCGCGAGGCCTGGCTCCTCCGCGCTGCTGCAGCAACGGACCGCCTTCTTTTCGGCCGTCCGGGGACATGGGGACACCCCGCGGGTTTTTCGCGGACGGGGAGGGGTCTCGGAAACATCGAAATCTTAGGGGAATGTTGAGAGCGAATAGGTGATTTGGGGAACAATACTTCACAAAAATATCCTGTTTTTTTTAAAGGAGGATTTAAACTAGTTGTGGGGTTCACAATATGGGTGATGGGTCTAAGACCCGGGGTTTTCCTACAGATGAACTGGTCTATTTTTACTATCAACCATCCAATTTCAGAAGTAGCCAATTTTGACTCATACCCAAATGTATTTGGGTCTGGGTCAGAACTATATACTGATCTTCAAAAGTTTTCTTGGTTTGTGACATATGAAACTGAGGATAGTATGTGAGCTATCCAATCCCACATGCCTGGTGCTGAAATATTTACCCTCCGGTAATCAAACGTGGCAATTGGAAATCCACTAGCAATGGGGGGGCTTCAATAGAAAAATCACTTATAAATAGCTTGTATTTTCCAGCACGCCATGTTTGATTCCCGGAGGGTACACGTGTTTTTCCACAAGAACCGACAGAATCTCCCAAATGGCTTGGTGGTGAAGAGCGGTCGAAGTTAGGAGCTCTCCAAAATGGCGGGTTTCAGATCCAAAAAGAAGCAAGTGTATATATATATATTGGGCTAGCATTTGGAAAAAATGCCTGGATATTTTTTGGAATATCCAAGTGTATATTGTTTCGATTATGGCTGGGTTCAGATCCCCAAAGAATAAACACTTTGGCATTTGGATATTTTCTATTGGAACTACCTGGACCAAAGACATCCAAAGACTGGTAACTTTAGGATCTGAACACATTTTTTGGTTTTGGGGGTTTATGATGTGGTTTTTGAGGATTCTGATACATTCTGGTTTACATCATTAGGATCATTTTTTTGGGGTTGATGATTCTGATACATTCTGGTTTTTCCAGTCTCGAATGAATGATGGATGGCTCAAAATCAACACAAGTGGACGCTCAACCCATCAAGACATGTTTTTTTTTCCGCACGCATTTGTGGACTTCAGCCATCTGGCAATCGACACGTTGGCTATGTCACGTTTTGGGCTATGTCACTGGTTGTTTGTGATGGGGGACTTTGACCAGCGCGACTTTGGGATGCTTGGGGTATGGCATTTATGGCTTAAGAGTTTTGGACCGGCAGAAATTGTCCTATCTTAGTAAGTGGGTTATAACCCCAGTTATGAGTGGATTAACCCTACTTATCCCATGTAAATCACTGGGGTTATATCCCAGTTACGAGGGGATGAGCCACCAAGTACTGTCCCGTCATGTTCCATCCTCACATGGTTTTTGGATGTTTTTGGGAATTGTTCATTGCGAAAAGCCGAGGTGTTTCAATCACGGATGCCAGATGATGCCACCATGTGCATCGTTTTTTTAGATGTTCACTGACCTTCAAGCATCATCAACCATCACTGGTTGGTGGTTTCAAACATGACTGGATTCTTTTCCATTTCATTAAAAAGGGATGTCATCCGAAAACCATTGACTTTGACTCATATTTTTCAGAGGGGTAGCTAGGTCAACCAGCAACCAGTATTGTTATCACGGTTATCCCATTATTATCCATATTAAAGGGATATAAAACCATATTAAAGCCATATAAAACCATATTAAAGCCATATAAAACCATATTAAAGCCATATAAAACCATATTAAAGCCATATAAAACCATCATTTTTCAAGATGGGTAGGTCAACCACCAACCATCATCCCCAACAACTTCCAGCAGGTTTCCAATGACTTTGCGAAGCAAGCTCGAGCGATGGCAGAGACCAGGAGGGAGGGCCAAGGGTATGGGCCACAGGGCGTCATCTCCAGGATTTTCCCGGAAATTGTCCGCTTGTTCTTGGAGGATGGGGCCCCCCAGCTATAAGTGGGTTTATAAACCATAACAAAACCCCTATTAACTATCCCAGAGGATCCATGTATGGAATATTTACCTACATTGACCCCTAAAGTAATTTAAAATAATCCCAATGTAGGTAAATATTCCATACATGGATCCTTAGGGTATAGTTCTATCTACCATAAAGCCACTTATAAGGCAACTGAACGCTATCTTGGGGGCCCCATCCTGTGGAGGAAGCTGTCAAATTACCCTCTGGTAAACATACAAAAAAACTATGGAAAGATCCACCATTTTAATGGGAAAATCCACGAACTAAATGGCCATTTTCAATAGCTTTTTGTATGTTTACCAGAGGGTATGTCACATTGATGGCTTTGAATATGCCGTGATATCCAATGCCTATCCGATGTTCACCTTCGGTGGTTGGAATCTACTTTCAATCGTTTGTGTTGAACATCCATGCAGGATGGTTCCTTCATGGGGATTGTAACGGTGACGTAACGGTGACATGACACAGGGATTGCAAAGACCGTGATGCAACTGGTTTGGGTTTCCATGATTTTTAATTGACCAGTTGGGGAGAGACATCTTAGCTATAGGAGTTGTCAGATCAAAAGGTGAAAAAATGGCAAGGCCAAAGGAAAAAACCGTGAAATTATTGAAAGATTCTAAAGTTATGCTAATAGCTGCTAAGTGTGTGATTACAGCATTCTGCTCGGGATCCCAAGATGAGAAGTTTCCTGAGCCAGAAGTAACTCCTTTTAAACCCAAGTGACGCTGGGAGGGGCCTAAACTTTTAATCCATATCCATCCGTATCCATATTAGAACCTCAAAACCAATTTCAATATCCATACATGTATCCCATTGGTTAATACCAAATAGATACCCAGTTTCCATAGATTCGCTAAACTTGTTTGAAGTTCCTGTGCTTTTTAGCTTCAAGATTCCCCGTTTGTGACTCAGCAGAGTTCCCGGCTACGATCCAAGCAGACGATTTTAGGTTGACCGGTGACCAGTGGACCAATAGCCTACCTGGGTGACTGGTAGTGGGAGTCCCGAAAAAAAAACCCAAATGGCTGTTTATAAACCATGGTAATAAATAATCCGGGGTTGACATTAACAAATATGTTTCAGGGAAATCTGATTAACATCTATTCATGCAACAGACCAGGGTCACAATAATCCGCAATAACACTCCCGAATGTTATGACAAATTATGACCGAGTTGGTACCATCATAGAACAATTCCTATCATGGGATGATAGAGGGCTTTGAATGTCATTCTACACATGTTTTGGTTCACCTTCAGGATTTTGAGATCCGCTAACATGTCTTGGTTCATCATGATGATTTCCACATTGTGACTGAACATCTTTTGAAGAAAAGGGAATGAGGAAATCATGAGATGTTAGCGGATCACAATAATTAGGGATTTTGATTGGGGATTTTGAACCATTTCATCATGAGATCCTTGAAAAGGGGATCCCCAATCTTTTTCCAGGGAGGATTTGACAAATTCCTTGTCGCAGGATCGTCGAGCCTGGCTGTGACATCGTGTTGAGAGCCCCAGTCCCGGGATTTCGCTGGTAGACATGGTTACTGCTGAAAGCATGTTTGTTCGCTGGTACCCCTCTGGTAATTTAACATAGCTATTGAAAATGACCATTTATAGTGAGTTTTCCCATTAAAAATTGTGATTTTCCATAGCTACGTTAAATTACCAGAGGGTAATTGATACATATTCTCAAACAAACAATGGTTGATTTGTTATGCAATGGTGATTTTTAACTGTCATTTACAAGGATTTCAGCATGCTAAATCTCCGTGCAGAATAAATCTACAGTTATTTATTGATAAATATCCGTTGGCGGATGAGAATCGGGTAGGCGCATAAAATCTACACTTTTCAAAAAACAATGAGATTGAAAAAAACGCCCCGTTCATCGGGGAAGTATCCAACCATTATGGGATTTTCCAAATAGACTCTTGACACTACTCCAAATCATCGAAGCTATTGGCCGGACCAATCGGGTGAAATGGGGTACTCCAGTTGACAATCAGACAGGAGCATGCAGGTAAGCATGGGAGTTTCATATTTCCCTGTTGCTACCCTCTGGTAAACTAACAGTTAGCGAACTGGAAAATGGCCCTAATCGAAATAGATGGTTTACCGAACTTAATAGCATGGTGATTTTTTATAGCTATGTGAAATTATCAGAGGCTAATGCAAAGTGGGGCCCCCAAACGATAGCTAAGTTGGTTTATAACTCCAATGTCACTATGGTTTATGGTACCTATAACTATAGTATTCATGGGGTTTATAAACCATCTAACATCACGGGGGGGGCCCACCTTGTGGAAGGTGATGGAAAGAATCTGGCATCTCTTGAATTCAGCCGTTTCTTTGATGGGACCTTTACCATAGCGATGAAATCAGCCGCGATTTCTTGGCGTCTTGCCGCTTGGTTGCCACCTGCAAGGCCCGAGTCGTTGGTGACGGAGCTGGTGGTGCAGTATCCTGGACTTGCAGCTGGTGTGATTTTCCCGTGGCTTGATTTTTTTGATCTACCAAAAATGAAGAATCTGTTAGGATATATACCCTCTGGTAAATAAACAGTTCGACCCTGAAAATCACCAATTGTTAATGGTTTCACAAGTCTTCCAACCCCTATCTGGCAGGGTCTATGTTAGTTTACCAGAGGGTGTATATATATGTATTATATTCATTGATTTTACACATTTTACATTTATGGGGCTCCAGAACATTGATGATGATGATGATGATGATGATTCAGAAATCTATAGACATGAATCAGATGGTGATATTCGTGAGTTTTTTTTGGTCGGGGTGACGGCCGGGTGACGGCCCAGGTACGGCGATAGCGAGAACAACGACAAGTTGCTGGGATTTTGGGCCTTTTTCCATTGCTTAATCCACCAGAAATGGGGAATGGAGTGGGGGAAGATTCGAAAAATTACAGTGGCCCTTTTCCAGGAACCGATGTATTGGAGGCACCTACCATATATATATATATCCATATATAAGTCCTATGTGCTACATGTCAAGGATTTTTCAGCAAATATATACTATAGACCCCAATTTTTATGGCTATATAGATAATATAAATAATATACATATATATATATATAAAATATTTAATATAATATGATATAATATAATATAATATAATAGAATCCAATATTATATTATATCATATAACATTATATTATATTATATTATATAACATTATTTAATATTATTTAATTTTGTATATATATAGTGCAGAACCTCCAGAGGATCAGTTTTCAATGGCCACCTTTTTTTGTTTTCGCCCGATCAGCTAAGGTTGCAGTTCATTGAAGCAGGTGCCTCCCATGACAACAGCCAAGATGAGGCCGAAGATGAGGAGGAGGATCTGGTGCAGGCACCACCAGGGTTCAGAAATGAGAGATGCTGTATACCCCCTTTAAAAAAAAAAACACACACATTTACCCTCTGGTAAACTAACATAGCTATTGAAAATGACCATTTATAGTGAGTTTTCCCATCAAAATTGTGATTTTCCATAGCTACGTTAAATTACCAGAGGGTAAGAATGGCGAGTATGATGATTGTTTGGTGGTGGATATGTTGAGAAATGGGTAATTCACACCAATTCACGATTTCAAAGGTGAATTTTGTTCTAAAACTATCCCTTCCCCTAATATAAAACACACCCTTAGAAACCATGGTTTAGTGGGAAATTTTCACATAATTTGGACCATGCAATTGGGGTGTTTAATATTAGGGCGATGGGATTATTATCATGGTTGATTGAAGGGAAACCAGTGCCACAAAAATATTTCAGATATGGCAATATTGGGAATACACATAATATTGGTAATCTTGGGAATATTTCAGAGCACTGCAATAGTGGCAATGAAAAATTGATATCACATATTTCAAAGCATTGCAGGAAGCATGACATCATTTTTTTCGTAAGCACCCATGGGTTGTGATCTCCAAATAAGGCACCCCAAGATCTCTCTTGAGTTAAAACCATTTAAAACCTACTTTTCCCCACTCAAAATTGCCACAAATTGGCGGAGAAACATACATAGATTATCTACAACAACATAGCTAACGATCAAAATTACCACATTGTGGGTACATCAGCCATCATCCCCTGGTTGTGGGATTCCCTCTCCTATCTAAGCATCACCGGAAGCTCCATGGGCAGTTTCCCAGTTTTTTTCAGGAGTTGTACATCTTCCTACAAGGCGATGCCACCCTCACGTGCGCGGCTTCCCAGCTGCGGAGCTTTCTCCCATCCCAAAGGATGCAGGTTGGGATATTGGTTCCCAAGGGCTCCCAATATCGTAGGATATTCGTAGAATAGTTGTGTTTTTTTTAAACTACAAGGTGGGGCCCCCTAGTTATAAGATGGTTTATAAACCCCATGAATACTATAGTTATAGGTACCATAAACCATAGTTATTGGAGTTATGTTCACCAACTTAGCTATCTTGGGGGCCCCACCCTGTAGTTGTGTTTTTTTAAAAACTATACACAACAATTCTAGGCCCATCGTTTTCCCCTTGGAATTTGGCGGATAGCAATGCTGTGGGAAAACACCAAAACATGGCCCTAGGATGATCCAAAAAGCGGTTGGAAATGCCAAGATGTGTTGAAAATCACAGCAATATGCCCCAAAAAATGAATGAAGGGTTTTGTTTTCTGATTGATGGATAAAGCTTGAATTTTCCATTTTACGGTAAATCTATGGGATTTATCCCATGGCAATTCGACGATTTCCTCAGGTCCTTTGACTGGCGAACGAGCCTGGCAGTGTGGCGAGGTCAGAAGAAAATTCTCCTGCAGTGTGGTACCCCGAAGGTCATAACACTATCATTGGATTGGTTTAAGGGAAAATCTACAGGAAACCATGGTTTTTACCATGAAATATAGGGCTTTCCTGTAAATTTTCCCATCATCCAATTCTATGACACTACCATTTCCAACGGCTAAATTGATTATAGCTGTAGAAAATCTCCATTTTGAGTGGGTAAATCAACTATAAATTGCCATTTTTGATAGCTGATCATTAAATTACCAGTGGGCTAAGCTGGTTTGTAACTAGTATACCTGTTGGGTGTATGTATGGTGGATCATGATATATCCCTAGCATTCGCAGTGAAGGGTGGGTTAAAAACCAACTTAGAACCTCATTCTTGGGTTCCATAATGGTGGCTTTGTGGGTCAATTTATTCTCCACTTCAACGATACAACCTTGTTGGGGGTTGAAAACAATACTTTTGAATAGGCTTGATCAATAAAAGCTTTTGAAAGCCAGAGCCAAAGAAAATTGATATCTATTTGGGTAAGCACTTGAACACATCATAGTTATCCAAATAAAACATAATCGTAGTACAGAATTTTCATCTCTATTTTCAAGCCTGATCCCTATGATCAGATAGTTATTCTGGGCTGGAAGCAGCAGCTGGTAGGATCAGATAGGTCGGGCACCCAAGTACCCGCTGATCATTTAACAGTTTGCGAACTTGAAGCCATGGCCCAGTCAAAATAGTTAAGATGTACCTATTAAAAATAGTAACTTGGCCATAGAAATAATATGAAGTAATGAAATAGTTAAAATTTACCGTTCTCAAAAATGGTGAATCTTTCCAGTTCGCACAATGTTAGTTTACCAGAGGCTACCAAGCATGAAATTTTACCTGAGCGATCCCCGAAAGCTCTATATGGTACTTGGAAAAAAGGCTCAGACCCATGAAAGATAGAGTAATTCATCTTGTGAAAACAATCTTTAGACATGTCCATATATTCTATATTTAAATGGTGTTTTGCCTATTTTGAAGGTGATTTACTACTTTGACAAAGAGTACTTGTCTTGCGATTGTATTCGATGTACGTTTAATTTGGCCCTAAGTCATAATCCCTACGGTTTTAATGACAGATACATCATAACAATAATACTAATAATGAGTGTGGCTAAAAAATCTAGTCTCAAGTCAGACTATTGGGACAAAACCGTTCTAACCCAATTTTTCGGTACCGTGCTTATTATAATCCCAAATCCAATGACAATAACGGTGATTGTTTCTTGCATATTTGAGCTTTTATGATCATCATGACATTTTTGTAGTGTTCTGCCTACCCTCTGGTAAAGTAATACTTTGCAAACTGGAAAACTAACATTTTTAATGGGTAAATCAACTATTTCGACTGGGCCATCAATAGCAAACTGCTTCTGGTTGGTGGTTTGGAACATTTTTTTTCCCATTTCATATATGGGAATAATCATCCCAACTGACTTTCATATTCTTAAGAGGGGTAGGTATACCACCAACCAGTCAGTTTAGTGGATTATTAGAAAATTTCAGTGGATTATTAGTACCAACATTTTTAATGGCTAAATCAGCTATTTCTATCCCATAGGATCCATGTATGCTATATATGGTAACATTTACCATCCATATACCCCAAATGTTAGCATATATACCAGCACCATGGATCCTATGGGTATGGCCATCAATAGCAAACTGCTTATTTGTTTGTAGACCCCCCACCAAAACCAGGTGGAGGACATGTGGAAAAAACGCTCTGCAGAGGTCATGGGAGAGTCGCCCTTTGCGGGCACCACAAGGTGCCGCGGTCGAGTTTTCAACACGACTTGGACATGTTAAAATCGGTAAAAAGTCCGGGAAAAAATACAGATTCTTTTATTATTATCTTGTATTATCCAGATGATTCATTTGATTTTCGACATTTTGTGGAGAAGATGTCTGAGAACTGGCTTCGAAATCTCATGGACCTGATGGGGGATGGAGATTTGCTGCTCACACCACCATAGCTATCACCGTAACATCATGATATTCCCTTATAATATACTCTGGTGGTGGTTTGGAACATGAATTTTATTTTTCCATATAGTGGGAATAATCATCCCAACTGGCTTTCATATTTTTCAGAGGGGTTGAAACCACCAACCAGTATACTTCTTGCTGGTGGAAACTCCAAATGAGCGTTGGTCGACACATATTTTTGCAGCTTTCAAGTACTGAGATAGGCCATGGAGTTATTGGTTAAAGCCTGGGCTGAATCCTCTTGTGGCTTATGGTGGGCTCTAGCCGCTGGTCAACCACTAACAGATATTTAACAGCTTTGGTTTATAAAGACCGCATAGTACCAGGCTTATTTAAGGACTATAGACTATATATATGACTAGGCTTATTGAAGGCGCCTATCATATATCCATAGTATCCCTAGGGTATGCTGTTTATAGTATTTTTGGATCCAAAGACCGCTTTTTTTAAAGGTACTGAACCACCAGAAATCATAGAATTCACCAAGTGAACTGTGCGTCAAGTAGCCCTATGGCCAGGCTTTATCCAGCCAGAGTCACGGCCAACACCGTGTGCTTAGTCCAGGCCCTGCGATTTTGGGGGCTTTGGGAGGAGCTCTTGGGAGTAGCGATTTTTCAATTTTGTTTGGACTTGTGGAAAGTTCATATTATATAACTAATGATAGATTATATGACCTTGGAACTATATTATAATAGTATTTAATCACTTATAACTGATTATAATAGTACTAGATTATATTTTATATTCCAAACGATATTATATAAGTGATTAATGGTTATATTATGCACCATATCTATTTGGGTCCACAATAGTTTTATATTATAGTCATGATGTTTCGGACCCAAAAGGGATTTGCATTCTTTCTCAAAAAACGTTCTCCTTGGGTTCTTTTCTTTTTTGACGCAGGCATTGGCCCATCCCAAAATCCACGAGGAAACGATCTAAAACTCATGGATGGTTTTGAATTGGTGGGTCATAAAGGATTCTGAATCATATTCAAAAAAGTGTCTTTTAAAAACCAATGAGTTTTTACCCATAATATGATAAAACCAATGGGAATTGACCCATATCCATGGGTCATATTCTACCCCATTCTAATTCTATCATATGAAAAAACGCATCCCCGGGCATCGAAGTTCCATCGAACTTCTCTGGTTGGACTTCCCATTGATCACTGACAATGGAAAAGAAGATGAAGTCATCGGCTAAATTGGCTGATTTCATTGGCGTTTCAATCCTGACAAGTCACTGGGTCACTGGGCTTTAGCTTTTCACAGATTCGAATGGATTTTCGCAACCTGACTAGCTGACCTTACCATGTCTGGTTGGTGGTTTGGAACTTGTTTTATTTTCCCCAATGGTTGGGATGATGATCCAATCTGACGAACTCCATCATTTTTCAGGGGGTAGGTCAACCACCAATTAGATGTTTATGATGGTTTATTCTTATATGATTCATCATCCCCAAAATGCTAGCCCTTTCTTACGTTGAGGAATTCTGACGAAATTCGCCCAGATGTACTCTACTTGGTGGCTCATCCCACGAATCGTAAGTGGGTTAGTTCACCCCAGTTATAAATGGGATTTTTGTAGGGTTAATCCACATCAATCACTGGGGTTATAACCCACTTACGATTCGTGGGATGAGCCACCAAGTATAATGTTAAATTATAATGTTCATCCACTCAATCCCAACTAGTCTGCTCAAGTGGAGCTCCACGCGAATCCAAGGACTGCTCCGGAATTCCATGTCCTTTTCAGAAAGGTTTGGTTGATTTTTGAGGGTTCCCCCTGATGAAAAACTAACCTTTGTTGGTAGATAACACCAGATAAATTGAATATAGTTTTGTCGTAGATATACATAGATAACATACATTTAATTCAGTGTGCCAGTTTGGTTAGATAAGATTAGATAATACGCCCGAACTTCAGTTTTCCGGACATGTTAGGACATGTTAGGACCATGCTACTACTAGCGTCAGGTCTATAAGAAGAACGAGATATTCGAGGCGATGGCCAAACAGGAAGGACGCGACCGGGAACTGTCAGATGACCCAGGAGAGCTCGCTCTGGAGGTTGGTTTCGAAGATGATTGTCTAATATTGTCTATAAATATCAAAATATGAATCAACTATGACTAAATTTATTTTTTTGAATCTCATTCTCAATATATAGTCAGAAACTCCACATTTTTTTTGGCAAACTAAAAATATTTGGATAATTTCTTTACCCTCCGGTAAACTAAGATTGCTATTGCAAATTGACCATTTAGTTCGTGGATTTACCCATTAAACATGGTGATATTCCATAGTTTTTTGTATGTTTACCAGAGGGTAACATTTTTCCGCATGCAGCTGCTCTCACTTAGAAGACGAGCTGAGGCTGCAACGACTGGTGAACGAGGCAGCTGTTGATTCACCGCGCGTGTTGGTGGTTTATCGGATTTCGCAACCGTCCACAGTAGTAATAACTCATATATGATAATAATATGAGATATGATAATAAGTCATAACTCTAACCATAATATGAAATATAATATATATATAATAATAATTATTGATAATAATAATATGAGATAAGTAATAACTCTAACAATACTATGATAATAAGTCATAACAAGGCTCAAAAAAGGCGACCACGTCTTGATAGGGGACAAACACCATGGTAGAACCTGTTGGGCTTGTTCCTTCAACCAATCCATTGACAGTTCCTTCCTTCTATGTCTTCTTGTTTGGGGTTTTAGGGTTGACAGATCCCCTTTAGATCAAAGACATCTTGTCTGCGGAATTTCCCAAAATCGGAGAGAGATCTTCCAGCATCTATAGGTCTGAGTAAATTAGAACGACCTTGCTGCGACCTCACTGGAATCATGGTTAGTAAGGGAAATCATCCCCAAAGGGCCTTAATTCAGGTCATGAAGAATTATAATTTGCCCAGGCATATAAAGATGGTATAACATAGTTGTAGGGATTATATCCCAACTTACGGAGGTTATTACCAAACGTATACCTCAGTTATACCCAGAAAAAAAAAAAACGCAGATAGGCGAAAGATCAGTACATGAGGAGTCACACGAATATAGATCCATATGATTGGATAGAAGACCAAGCCTCGTGCGTCCTGTCATTTAGGCAGTTTTCTCCTCTGACCCGTGAAACTTCCGAAGATCTTTAGGTGTCCCTTCTGTGCTTGCAGAAAGTGGATTGATCATATTAACAGTGGATTCAAATGACTGGTAATCCTATATAGCTATGCCATAATAATACCATATAATGTTGTATACCATATGGCTAATGTTGTATTACTGGTAATACCATACTAATCATATAGCTATCCATTTTCTGGTGATGAAAAAGCCGTGGAACATCTCCGAGATGCGGATCTCCGAGCTGCATCCCATTTGTTGAAGGAGAGTACCCATGACGGATCCATGGTGCTGCCATATATGGTAACATGGATCGCATCAATATACACCCTTTATGTTAGTATATATACCAGCACCATGGATCCGTCATGGGGTATGGCAAGTTTTGATCATTTAAGACATTACATCATGTTACGGCATTCATGTTATTTTTGTTGGGTGTTTTATCATTGCCATCTCCAAGCTGCCTGAAATCTCCATCGAACCCTCCAACTGACCAGGCTCAACCGTTTGGGCTCTCGCAGATGCGAAAGAGGTGCGATGCGACATTTCCCGTGGAGCATACAAACTTTCTGTGGCTAAACGTAGGGAATGGATGGGTTGCTGGGGGTTGCTGTGATGATTATTACTAGTGATGACTGGGATCATTCCCGAAAATTCCCTGCGTTTAGCACCAGTAAGAAAAAGTTTGGCCCAAGAGAAGTGGGTGACATAGCTCAGGTTTCGACCGATTTCAGCCTGTTGAAATGGTAGAGTAAGACCTAAGTATAGCTGGATACTTAGATGGGCCATGGAGTTAGTTAACTAGTTAGTAAATGGCTTATTTCATTGGGATATAGAAAGTTATAACCCCAGTTACTAACTAGTTAACTAACTCCATGGCCCATCTAAGTATGTTGATAGTTCTTTTCTGGAAGCCCATGATTGTAGCTATGCCCTACTATTTTTCTTCGCTCCCTTCCAAAAATCATCAGCTTTGTGACGCCGTGACGCGCCACTCAGATCTCTGGACTATTAACCATACCCTTTAATGTCCTCAAATGACAGAATGGCATAGAAAGACATAGAAAGACACAGGATGGGGCCCCCAAGATAGCTAAGTTGCCTTATAAGTGGCTTTGTGGTAGATATAACTATAGTATACTATAGTTAATAGGGCTTATAATGGTTTATAAACCCACTTATAACTGGGGGGCCCCATCCTGCATAGAAAGACATAGAAAGACATAGAAAGACATCAGTTTAATTACCAAAAATGGGCACTATTATAGTTGATAAATCCATTTTTCACTCTCCCATCCCATTATCACCTCCCATCTGCAAACCCTGGTGTTTTTAACATTGGAGGCCCTCACCCCGTAGGTTGCAACGGAGCTTCTCCTTCCGCAACGCCCATGTGGCGTTTTCCAGTGCTTTGGTGAGGCCTGCGACGGGTTCATGGGCACAGCATCGCTGGTCTGGTTCCTCCCCAGTGATGTAAAACTAGGTATAACTATATAGATATAGAACCATCCAGATGAAAATATGATAAAATATGGATGAATATGGAATTTTAAGATAGAATATGGAAAAATCAAAAACATATCCCACTAAAATGGGAATCATATTGACAATTCCATATTCTATCTTCTCCAGGATGACTAGATGGCTGCTGGTTTGAAATGATGATCCCAATTGATTTATGCCCTTGTTTTGCAAGGCCTAAGAGGGTCAAAAGTGCACCACTATGGAGCCAGGACTCAGAAAAATTATATAGAAAGCTGCACATTACATGGTGGAATCTCCTGCTCCGTATACATTAAATCATATCAACTCCATATTTTGTCATACCCTCTGGTAATTTAACATAGCTATTGAACATGACCATTTATAGTGGATTTTCCCATTAAAAATGGTGATTTTCCATAGCTATGTTAGTTTACCAGAGGGTATATTTGTTGATCACTTGACCAGTTTTGATGCTTCAAATCCACCATTTTTGGATTGCAAAGCCGTCCCCATGGCTTTGCCCATCCACCATTCTTTCACCAACCCAAAAATCATATTTTGTTAAAACATGTTATTTTTTTATGTCAGAAAACCTAGCCATCACATTGGCTTTATCACATGTTCCTTGTGAAAAAAAACAATATGGGCGTCAGGGTCGACCCAGTCGACCCAGTACCAGTCGCGAGGCTTCCGGATGTGGTTCTCTTCCCTCCGAACCGCCTCATCACCGAGCAGGTAAAGTTTCCGGGGAACTGGAAAAGCACCACTTGAAAAACGCTAAATCAACGATTTTTTTGGAATCGCAACAGATTGAAGCATTACCCTCTGGTAAACTAACATAACTATGGAACATCACCATTTTTATTGGGAAAACTCACTATCAATGGCCATCTATACAATAGCTATGTTAGTTTAGAGGGTACCTCTTAGATTTTTTTTTAGCGCCAAGAAAAATGAAACATGTTTCTTAGATACTTCTTAGGTCTTATTGAAAAATGTTGGCACGTCTTGAAAAGAATTTTGCCGTGCTCAAGGATCAAACGTGACCAAAAATCATGTCCGATTCTCCAGTTTGTACTCATTAAGAAACACACACACACAAATTTCCTCAATGGGAATTTCAGGATCCAAAAATGGAGGTACGTAAACGTACCATATAGTTTGGCCATATGAATTGTGGGGATATTCCCTGACCAGGGAGACGAGTGCAAGTTGGGTGAGAGCCAATTCTTTCTGGCTGGGCCCCTCAGGGCGGCTTGTTGGGAAACAAGAAACCACCACTCATGGGGGGGTTCAAAGATGTTTTTTGTACTATAAACATCCCAAATATGGCGGTTGTATTGGTTGTATGTATTCTGAATTGTTGCAGAATCTCACTCTAAATGTATAGATTCATAGATATATCTATATATGTTCTGTATTTCCCATTATTTCTGAATTATTGAGTTGTGCGTTACATACAGTATTTCCCATTCTTCTGTTGAACATAGAATTATGATTCCAATTGACCAACAGTTTTTCAGGGGCAGTTTTTGAGCAGCGATTTGAAATGATTTTGTTTCGGGGACATCTTCCGGTAGAATGATTGTGGCATTTACTGGGATTTAAGGGGTTTATAATGAGATAATGGCTATATTAATTCTTTATCATTTTTGCTCTGAAGCATGCAGCCAACATTGGCCAAATACTCGTCATCAAATTCATAAACGATTGGAAACGTGGCACCATCCTGCACCATTTCTGACCCAATTTTCAGGTCTTAGTGGGAAGAGTAAAGGTGGCGGGTGCAGCAGGGGATCTCAGCCGAGATTTTTGAGTCACTGGTGAAGGGCAAGCCTAACTAGTCTGCTGGGGGTTTCCCCAGCAATAGACTAACATTTTTAGAACATTTGAATCATTTGGATTTAACAAAAGTTTTAAGCAGAGAAAATTGACATTCAACAAACAGGGATAGAATTTTTATTGAATGATTTTCTTAAAAAATTACCTAACCTAGTAGACTAACATAGCTATGAAAAATCACCATGTTTAATGGGAAAATTCACTGTTTCGACTGGGCCATTTTCAATAGCTTTTTGTATGTTTACCAGAGGGTAACCAACCTAAATAGTGATGTTTCTGGTAATCATCATCCCATCCACAACGGTCACAACGGTCTGCTACCAGTCGTCGGATGTATCCCCATCCACCATGCTTGGAAGGGGGTAGCAGCAAAAAACAGCGGATTCAATGTACAAAACAGGGATAAACCATCAAACAAAGGGGATGTAACCAACAACAAAAAAGGCTGGTTGGTGGTTTGGAACATGAATGGATTATGACTTTCCCATCATATTGGGAATGAATAATCATCCCAACTGACTTTCACTCCATCATTTTTCAGAGGGGTTTTGGTAGCCCCCACCAACCAGATGTGACACGGTGAGTACCAAGAACATGAAGAAAACGTTCCAGAAACGCAGAAATCTGGGTTTTTTTCACTGGAAAAAAGGGAGAACAAGTTTGCCCCGCAACCGCAACGGACGAAAAGGGCAACTCGTAGGAGAGATTTCTAGGCGATAGTTGAGTTCTAAACATACTGTGCAGTATTGGGATATATATATATAATAATAATAATGATAATAATGATAATAGTAATAATATATATATACATTATGATATAATATATATATATGTATATAAATATATATCATTATATCGCTATCTTATACATATATAACTATTTCTCTATCTATATGATTTCCAGTGGATTTAATTTCATCACGACTTCACTGTGACATCACTAGAATCATGGCGAATGTATAGGGGAATCATCCCCAAGATAGCCTTATTTCACGTTAGTGAATTATGATTGTGATAATTTACCCATATATATAATTATTGTCATTCTTATTATTTATTATTATTTTTGTTTATTTTTTATTTTCTATATTATATAGCTAATTCTCTATCTATATTGGATCCTATATTAGTCTCCAATCATACATACATATGATAGATGAGAACAGAATACAAAAGATATGTCAAAGATACACACACAAATATATAATTTTGATTCAAATAATATAATATATATATATACATATGTATGTATATTGTGACAAATCAATGTATATATATATATCATGTACATGTGTACCCTTTGTTTGACCCTAGGTCGGCACTCTCTTCAGCATGGTGGGAGCTGGCCAGGCTACTTTTGGAGGATCCATGGAACTTTTCTGCTCACTTGGTAGGTAGTAGATGATCCATTGATCAATATTGATGTATTTTAGTTTCACGAGTGTATTTAGTGAATATTAGTTCCACCACTTGGTAGTTTTTTAGTGAGAATATCCAATAATGCTCACTTTGGATGAGTATATTGATGTATCGCTCAAAAATATCCATATTAATCATATATTGGTGAAAGATCAATTTGTTCAGATCAATTTGCTATTTCACCAATATTTGATGATAATATATGATGATATATGTGGATATGGAAGAAATATGGAAGATACTAACATAAATCTGGATGAATTATGAACGACCTCACGTCGAATATCACTGGAATGATGGTTTTTATGTGTGCAGAAGCATCCCCATAGCTGGCCGTCGCAAAGCGGATTAAATTGCCAGAGGGTATTGAGATGTATCCAGGGTGTTTCAAAAAGTATTCACTTTCTTTCCACTTTCACGGCATTCAAAAGGTCTCGCCTGTGCAGCCTATGCACATTCTCGAATTAGGAAAAGACTCCCAATCAACCTTGAACATCTTCAATTCTATTCCTTCGTAAAGTCTCATCATTTATTTTATTTATGTCACATCCATTGAGATGTATCCAGGGTGTTTCAAAAAGTATGACACGAAGAATCACCACTGAGGAGCACGAGGTTTCTTTTGGGTTTTTCCGTATGTTGACATATCCTTCTCATGCGATGGTCTCAAATGATGTGTCTATTGGTTTATTAAGTGACATGCACATAGCATTGCTGGTTAAATCCTCATAAGATGATCGAAACATTCCTTGGATTTTTCGGAACTATTTTTTTCCGATTTATTAGTTCCTAGGTTTTTTTCCTATTCTCTTCAATCTAATTACTATGGTTTTCCAACGAATTCCTATGGTTTTCTTACTCTTACTGTAGTTTTCCAACTCATTTCCTATAGTTTTCCTATGATCTTCCAACTCATTCCTATGGGTTTTCCTTCAAAATGTGTTTTACTCATATTTTTTCAAAAAGTTTTTCACCACCATTTCCCCTTGGATTGTCCTTAATTTTTTTGTTGGTTCCCTGGTCCATGCCACGCCGCGTTCCGCCAGGTCTTCGGAGAGGTGGGCGCCTTCGGCATCTCCAAGCGGCGCACCGCCAGCGCCTGCACCTGGCAAGAGGGCTACGTGAGTTGCCTGCGCTTCACCGGGGCGGCCCGGGATGCCTGGGGGATGCCGAGACCGGGCCGGGCTGCTTAGATGGGCCATGGAGTTAGTTAACAAAACTAGTTAGTAAATGGCTTATTTCATTGGGATATTGGGATTTTTTGGGGGTTATAAGCCCAGTTACTAACTAGTTAACTAACTCCATGGCCGATCTAAGTGGGGATTTCGGTGATTTCGCCCAGAAATGGTGATGTCATGGCAGAAACACTGGGGGGTTAGGGTTTTTGTTGGGAAGTGAAACCAAGAAAAGATATGAAAAACCATGGTTTTATAGGACTGTTTGATGACTGAGAAGTAGAAGAAGTAGAATGTGGTGGATTTTAGCATGAGAAATGGTGATTTCAGCAAGACATAAATGAGGATTGAAGCAACAAAATGAGTGGGGTGCAAAAGGGATGGTGTTGGGTGATGATTCTTCCGGGGAAAAGGAGGGTTGGGGCAGGTAAGAAGCTTGAGCTCTGGGTGTGGGGAATTTTCCACCCATGATCCTTGGATATCACTGGTCACTGGCCATATTGTTTTTTCCCCAGCATTTCCCAGCTATATTCCACATTGAGGATCCAGTTTCGGCCTAGGTCCCAATCCCTTGCCTTTCTCCCTTTCTAAGGTGGTGCGAGCAGCCGTTAATGAGCAGAACTGGCATGTTGAATCTCAGCGTGTGTGCTTCGTGAAAGGTTGGTATTCATTGGGAGACAGCTACGAGTTCAACATCAGCCATGATACCCGGCCTGGTAAACTAACATAGCGAACTGGAAAATCACCATTTTTAATGGGTAAATCCACTATAAATCACCATTTTCAATAGCTATTTTGACATAGCCAGAGGGTAGATGTTTTCACTCCATGGATTTGGTGCTGATTTGTTTCTCCAGGTTTAGGTCACCCAATTTTTTTAGATGTCCTCAGTCATAATGCGGATGTAGTCCAACTACATAACTACAAACTAGTGGTTACAAATCTATCGTTGCTATGTTACTAATCCAAATGTAATCCTGCCTATCGAATTCATTGATATTCATTGATATTCATTGATAATCATTGTAAAAATAGAGGACCCCTAAAAATGTTTGTGGCAAAGAAATTGTTTTCCCTTCTAAACCAGAGGAGTGTCCATGGTTTGATCTTTCAACCATAGATAAATGGGGCAAACATCGCGTTTCTATTGCTGGCTTGTGCAACCATGATTTTAAGCTGTCTCTATCTGTCTCTATATTGCTTGTCCCATTGGTTGATGTACTGTGTTGTCTTGGTATGGTTTCTAAATCGACCATAGTTATCAACTAGTGATTATTGTTTCTGGTTGGTGGTTTGGAACATTTTTTATTTTTCCATATATTGGGAATATTTGGGAATAATGATCCCATTTGACTAATATTTTTCAGAGCGGTTGAAACCACCAACCAGATTTGGTATTTCTAAGCCAACCATGATGTACTTCTGGTATTTCTCATAATGCCAGATACCATTATTATCTGTGTGAAATACCATTGGTTGACTTCGAAATACCAGAGAATATTGTGAAGTCAACGACCAGTGATTATTCTCTTGCTACCTGACCATTGTCAATGGCCATGCTGGCCAGGAACCGATTTATTGGAGGTACCTACCATAAAGGCCTACCCTCTGGTTATTTAACATAGCCATGGTATAGATGGCCCTAATCGAAATAGATGGTTTACCGTTCTTAAACATGGTGGATCTTTCCATTTAGCTATGTTAGTCATAACCAGACGGTATATATATATACATAAATATACACAATATTACTATGGTTGTTAATAGTTGTAAGTTAATAGTTGACCACGAGAATTGGAATGACACCACTATTGGAATAACATCAGCAGTATTTATCATGGAGTAATGGCCTCAATTTCAGGGAATCTTCCCCCTTGACCTTGGACATTGCTTAAGTCCCTTAGTCCGTCCCCTTTTTTCTGGGCGACGCATCGCCAGGTTCCCGTTGGACCGCGACAAGCTGGCGCAGATCTGGAAACGCACCGAGGTCATGAACCGCAGCACCGAGCTGGAGCGCCGCGAGTGGATCAAGGCCATAGGGGGACACCGGGACCGTGGCCCTGGCGTTTGGCGTTTCGGAGGAGGTATGGCCTGGGAAAATCGCTGGGAAATGGTAGTTTTATATATGGGAAATGCCAGTTTAATATGGGATTATAAATCATTATGATCAGTTATATGGGATTTAATAACCATTATGATGATGTTTTTTCTGTTTTAACTCCTGTAAATAACGTTTTTGATAGGTTAAAAATATCATTCTAAGCTATAGCTATCCCTGTTAAAGGCTACCACCGTGATTCGTTGCAGCCAAAGGCGAACATGGGGTTTAACATGGCTGACATGTATCAATTCTATGGTGATGTAACCAAGATAATCTGGAATATGATGGAATATGACCATCAAACATATACATGTCTGGGTAAATTTCATCACGACCGAACCCTGTTCTCCCGAAGCCTGGTTCATCATGCTTTAGATATAGGGAAATCATCCCCTTTTATGGCCCAACAATTCAGGTTTGTGAACTATTATAATTTGCCCAGATAATGATAGGAATAACTATATCCCACTAACATTTGAGGCTATTTCCCATGAATATCCCACTATAACTCACATTTAAATCCCATAAATAAACTTAGTATCCATAATATTTCACTACAAGAACATCCATTATTAGATGGATAACCACATCAAACATGGGGAATCTATTGGGAGAATATCAATACTATATAGCCATATATTATATAGACATATGTTTTTTTTGGATTTTGGGATCTGGTCAGTGAAATAAATGGTCAATTCAGCAAGTAGACAATGGGATATTAATAAATCCATGAAATTGCTGCTGGTTTGCTCAGAAGTCGGGTTTAACATGGCTTATATAAGTTGCCACTAGCCTCTGGTTATGACTTACATAGATAGCTATTGAACATGGCCCAGTCGAAATAGATAGAAATAGTGGATTTACCCATTGATAGCATGGTGGATCTTTCCATAGTTTTTTGTATGTTTACCAGAGGGTATCATATGTTGTTCTTACGGAGTTGATTTTTTATGTTTGAACAGCAAATGGGGTGAAAGCTCTGCTGCTTTCAGAAGGGGAGTTAGTTTTTACCAATCCTGGTTGGTGGTTTCAATGATTTTTATTTTCCATAACAAAAATGGGATAATCCAATCCCTTTTGACGAACTCCATCATTTTTCAAGATGGTTACCCTCTGGTAAACTAACATAACTATGGAAAATCACCATTTTTAAGGGTAAATCAACAAACTGTCTATGGTCATTTTCAATAGCAAACTGTAACAGTCATTACCAGAGGGTAAAACCAGCAACCAGAATCATTTCATTAACCATTATTAACCATTACTAACCATGGAAATCCCATTAAAATCCCACCAGAATCATTTCATTCATTTCATGGGAGAAAAAATGGGACATTTTAGAACAGGATGGGATCAACACACCCTTTTTTTTGGCTATGACTTTTAAGTCATTTTACGGGCTATCCGGCCTGGTAGACTGTTACATAACGAACTGCAAAGATCCACCATGCTATTAGTGGGAAAATCCACTATAATCACCATTTTTAATGGGAAAATCCATTATAAATGACCATTTTCAATAGCTATTACCAATCAACGAACTTTCTATGTTCAATTACCAGAGGCTACATGTTTGCACCGGCGACGGGCCACAGTCCCCAAGGTCCCCAATCCCCAAAAGGAGGCGGCGAGCCCAAAGCACCATTTGTTTTTACACATTCTCCACGTGGTTTCTGGTGAACACCATTTCCAGATTTCGTGAAGCTTACAAGTGGTTAGTTTTCTGGCAGAAAATGCACCATTTCCAGAATTGGTGAACCTTGAAAGCGCTCGGTTTTCCAAAAAAATGTGAACATTGGTTTTCTATGTAGAAGTCAATGTGTAGCTATCCAGTAGAAACGTAGATCAAAGTGTAGTAGTCACATTTCTATGAACGTTGGTCAAACCTGTAATCTTTGAAAGAGCTATTGGAGGTGAACAGCTTCAGTAGGGTCAGCCATAATTGAACTATCAATTGAACTGCTTCAATTTACAATAGTCAATAATGCTTCTATTCTTCTCCTATAAACGTTGGTCACCAGCAAAAGTGATTGGTGAACAGCTCCAGTGCTCAGACCACGGCCATCCCTGCGCTGGCTCAAACGCCTCTCTTGGGTGGTTGCTGGCGCCTCAGACATCAACGTTGTTGGTAGCTTGGTGTCCAATGATAACTATAGTTAATAACATTGTAGGATTATAACATTTATAAGATTTATGAATCCATTTGTAACATTTATAACATTTATGATTCCATTTATAAGATTTGATAACTGTTTCCTCTTCCTGTCGAATCTGAATTCGTGATTTGGAGCATCTTAAAGTTGTGAACTTCCGGTTTCACAATGATTTTTTGATCTTTGGATGATCAAAATCATAGATGTCCTTTCCCCATTGGTTGGTTGATTAATAGAGGGGTTTGTTTACAGATGGTATACCAAACTGGCTCCTCTATTTTTACCAAAAGGACATTACCCTAATATTAAACACCCCAATTGCATGGTCTCAATGTGGAAATTCCCTGCATCCACCATGGTTTCGTTTTGTGGGTGTTGAATATGAACAGGGGAAGGGATTATCTTTGGATGATCAAAATCAGGGGTTGAACATCACTAAAACAAGTATCTGTTGGAGATTATATCCCCTTTTTGTTGGGTGATGTGAAAAATTAGGGCATTTACCAAGCCCTGAAAATGTTCCACTTCGTGGATTTCAATAATCATATATATCCAATCCACTTGGTGGATTTTCTGAAAATATACAGAAACACATCATATACCTTCTGGTAAACATACAAAAAGCTATTGAAAATGGCCCAGTCGAAAGTTCGTTGATTTAGCCATTAATAGCATGGTGGATCTTTCCAGTTCGCAAACTGTTAGTTTACCAGGCCGGGTAATCAGAAATCGCCATAGAATCAGAAACCACCAACGGTGAAATCTTTCTGTGGCCACGATTTGAGGTCCACCGTCCTTCTTCCATAGCCTGTCTGTGCTACTTCAGGACTGCTGAGACGTTGCCTTGGGGACGATGATCACTGTTGGGAACATAACCAACCACTAAGTAGTCGAATCGACGTTTTGGAAGAAGCATTACATGTAATTCTGATGCTGTTGGGGAAGCTTTGTGGCTATGTTTTAAAATGCAGCATATGAATAAACTGGGCTTTATACAAGGTGGGCCCCCCAGTTACAGTATAAGATGGTTTATAAACCCCATTAACTATAGTTATAGGTACCATAAACCATAGTTATTGGAGTTATAAACCAACTTAGCTATCTAGGGGGCCCCATCCTGTAGTCTTGTCAGTCTGGAAGATGTTTGATGTGAGCGCAAGTTGTGTGGCGCCGTGGTGGCATACATCCTACCCGTGGTGGTTGACACATGGAGGTAGAACGGCACTTGCTGATCTTACAGGGTGGGGCCCCCAAGATAGCGTTCAGTTGCCTTATTTCAGTGGCTTTATGGTAGATATAACTATAGTTAATAGGGGTTATAATGGTTTATAAACCCACTTATAACTGGGGGGCTCCATCCTGTACTGTGTTATTGAAATATATTGAGGGTTTCCATAACCCATAGGATCCATGGTGCTGGTATATATACTAACATTGGGGGTATATTGATGGGATCCATGTTACCATATATAGTATACATGGATCCTATGGGTAAATGGTGGTGAGCAAAATAGCTGGATGTTTTTTTTTGGGAAAATCCCAATCTAAAATAGATGATAACTGGGGGTACCCCCATTTCAGGAAGCCTCCATGTTGAAATCTCAGGCAGTTAAATGGGCAGGAAAGGCTTGAGGTGACTTTTTGTTCTGATTGATGCGCTGTTCTTTCCCCAGTCATCAAATCAGTATGTACATATCTGGTCGTAAACCACTTTTGATTTGCATTTACATCATTTACCCGGCCTGGTAAACCAACAAAAAGCTATGAAGAATCACCATATTTTTCATAGGTAAATCAACTCTCAATGTCAATTTTCAATAACTTTATCTCAAATTTCAATATCTCAAATATCTTAAATAGCTATATATCTTAAATATCTTAAGTGGCTATATCTTCAAAAAATCTGGTGGCTACTTCCTATGGCGAAGAGGCAGCAACAAGGCGTTGCTTCCGAATGGATCGCTGTTGATAGGACATCGGAATCACGGAGCGCTGTTGATAGGACAGCAACTCATCGAAGTACATATAGAACAGGCGATTTAACATGCTGTAAATCTATGGACATCTGTGGACAACTATTTTCCATTAGCTATGGAAATCTATGGAACATGCTCCATTTTTAGAGGATTGATGATGATTTACCATGATTTACCGATTAGAAACATATTAGGTGGATCTGATTTTCCAGTTCGCGAAGCGTTTTTTCGAACCGCTAATTGATGGGGAGGATTCCAGTGATTCCAGTTTTTTTTGCAGGCCATGTTGAATCGATATAGGAGCAACTCTACAAGTCAAACTCGGAAATCGTGAAATGCGGCCGGGGGCCTCTAGGTGGGGCCTCTGGGTGGGGCCTCTAGGTGGGGCCTCGCGGAATGGCTGGCTGATTGTCATTGGATTGGAAAATCGCGGAAAAGCCTATACCCTCTGGTTATGTCAAAAAAGCTATTGAAAATGGCCATAGAAATAGTGGATTTACCCATTGAAAATGGTGGATCTTTCCATAGTTACGTTAGTTTACCAGAGGGCTGGTTGGTGGTTTGGAACATTTTTTATTTTCTATAATATATGGGATAATCCTTCCCAACTGACTAATATTTTTCAGAGGGGTTGAAACCACCAACCAGAGGGTAATTGATGCTATAGCGACCATGGTTTTTCGGTTTTCAGATGTTCCCTTTTTTCAGATGCCATTGCTGCAAGCGTTGTTGCTTGGACCACGACTCTGCTATGCTTTGACAAAATCCGTTTGCCTCCAGTAATTGAAGACTGCTTTGTTTGGGGAGGGAGACTATAACTGGTTGGATTTAACAAATGATCCTTTAACATATTAACCTTCAACCAGATAGATTTAAATCTTTGTTTGTTCTGATATTCTGATTATAGCTTGTTGGTGGTTTGGAGCATTTTTTATTTTTCCACATATGGCTATGAATCAATACCTATTAATACCATTTTTAGTGGGATGAACATCCATTTACCAGCTATTTTGATGTGAACTACAGGGGTACAAGGTTTTGACACACTGCCATATCTGGAAGAATCATCCCAACTGACGAACTCATATTTTTCAGAGGGGTAGGTCAACCACCAACTAGCTATTAACTACTTCGATATATCTACCATGTGAGGCCCCCCAGTGATGTGAACGTTGGTCAACAGATTCGCCCCAGTAACTACTAGTTCGTTATTTGCGTACCATAAACCACAGTGACATTGGAGTTATGTGAACCCCAACTTAGATATCTGGGGTATCCCATTTTCAGTTATAAGTTGGTTTATAAACACCATTAATATCCATTAACTCTAGTTATATCTAGCATAAATCTAGGGGGCCTCGATACATTGTACCATAGATCTACCAGCCAACTTCGCCAAGTCACCGAATGGCTTCACCCAAAAAGCAACGGGCGTCGCGACGGAAGCAGCGGTCACCAAGGGGCAGCAAAAACCATGACTAACTTTTGGTAATTTAACATAGCTATTTACCCATATTCATGGTGTTTTAATGGGATATATGATGGTGATTCAATGGGATTCAATGGGATTTAATGGGATATATGATGATATACCCTCTGGTAAACCAACAGTTTGCTATTGAAAATGGCCATAGAAATAATGGATTTACCCATTAATAGCATGGTGGATCTTTCCAGCTCGTTTTTTGTAAACGTTTTTTTTAGGCCGGGTAACTTTTGGCGGGCTCTAAGGCGACAAACTGGAGCACATGATTCTGTTGGTGGCTGCAACTTGGTGATGACATGTTGGTGATGGAGTGAAGGTATCATACAACAGACATACCTGATATAACATACCCCCAAAAAAAGAGATATGCCATTGTAGTTATATGTATATATGTTGGTATGTGAAGTTTGAGTATTTGGAATGTGTCCGGAAATATGATTATAATCCATATTCCACGATTTGTTTGGTTTTGGAATGTTTTGGACTGTGAACTTTGTGTAAATGATGTCAGATTGCGTTTGGAACTGAGTTCGTAAAATGATCATGATGTAATCTATACTAGTGTGGGGCGTTTTTCACCTTTTTTGGATCCAGATGATCACCACGATTTCCATGATGGTGAAAGTCCAGCTTTTGATGGTTTAGATCACATCATTCTCCTCCAAGTGGAGGTTTCCTGCAATGGGGGTATCCCAAATATCCCCTAATCATCTAGTCTGGTTGGTGGTTTCAAACATGAATGGATGATTTTCCAGCTCATCAAAAAGGGATGTCATCCGAAACCCATTGACTTTCACTCCATCATTTTTCAAGATGGGCACATTGCACCACCAACCAGTATTATTATTAACCATCATTAACCATTATTAACCATTATTAGCATTAACCATTATTAACCATTATTAACCATTATTAACCATTATTAACCATTATTAACCATGGAAATCCCATTATATTAACCATTAAAATCCCATTAGAATGTCTTAGTATTGAAACCCATGGTACTTTGGGATCCTCCATGACTCAACCCTGAAAGTCGTTCCGTCCCTGCAGGGCGCCGCGCAACTGCGCACACGCGTGGGGGACGACATCGGCATGATGCGAAAGGGCTCCATGTTCGGCGAGGCATTGATCAAAAGCCATGGAAGTTGGCAGCTGTGAAAACCCTTTGAAATAGATGAGCCAGTAAAGTTATACCCTGATGGGTAGCTAATAATTTGGGATTGATACTCCTATATATATAGTTTATTGATGTTTATTGGGGATTATGAAAACCCATATAGTTAACGGGAAAACTATCATTCAACTAGTATGTTCTGAGATGGGATAGGGGTATCTTTAGCGGCCCCGATGATTCTCGATGGTTTGGGTCAATCATATGGCTTTGGTGCCTGAAAACAATGGGAAGGCCTCCAATGTTGCAACTATCAAGTGAAAAAATGAGGCCCGTACAGGATGGGGCCCCCCAGTTATAGTTGGTTTATAAACCATAACATAACCCCCATTAACTAGTTCGTTATATCTACCATTAAAACCATTGAATTCAACCACTTATAAACCAACGGTTCACGCTATCGACTGGGGGCCCCAGCCTGTAGTACCGTAGTGAGTTCCTATCAAAATGGTGAGACATGGTGGATGGGGTACAGACGAAACACATGTCTTGATGGTTGCACTTATGTGTGTCGTTCAACCAATGATGTTAAAGAAATGGTGTTATCCTACCAAAGTTTCAATCTTCCACCTTGGATTTTCAAACGAAAACATACGTGGGTCCTCAGAATTTTCTGTTTTTTTTCCGCTGGTTTTCGTTTGGTCCTCAGAATTTTCCAGGATTTCCAAAAGTTTCAACGTTTCATTCCAATTGGTTTCATTCCAATTTCAGAGTCTTGGCCCTGGTTTTTTTCCGCTGGTTTTCATTGGGAAAAAAGGGAATTCCCAAAAGTTTCATTCTTCCTGGTTTTTTTCCCAACAGTCAGAGTTTTGGTCACGTGGGTCCCATGAAAATCCCAGGATTCCAAGATGGGGCCCCCGTTGTACCGAGCGTTGTTGCGAGCATTCAGAAACGCCTAATAAAAGAATTAACATGGCTGAATGAACTCAACGGTTTATGGTAGATGTAACATGATGTAACTACATATAGTTCATGGGGTTTATAAACTAACATTCACATCACTGGTTTTCCCATGTTGTCCCCATCCTGTTGGTCCCATGATCTTTTTTGCCGAAGTCCAGTGTTCCATCGCAGATCAATGCCCTCGGTTTGTTCAACTACAGCATGGCTACAGTCGACGGCTCAGCCACTATGATTCCATGGGCCAATGGCGAGGATAATTTTTTTTCGGGTCGGAGTCATCATCCCAAGAAACCGCGGAGTTCCCATGAGAAAGTGCCTAGAAAATACTGATTGGTGGTGACTGGAACATGAATGGATTATGACTTTCCATTCAGGAATGAAAAATCATCCCAACTGACTTTCACTCACTCACTCACTCCATCATTTTTCAGAGTAGGTCAACCACCAACCAGATAATTAATCATCATTTCACATCATTAACCATCATTAACCACCATTAACCACCATTAACCACCATTAATCACCATTAACCAAGTAGGTCAACCAAGTGGCTTCCGGGCGACCAAAACAGCTGCGCTTTCGCTGCGCTTTCGCTGAGATCCAGAGCACCGAAAGGACGCGACTCTTGGTCCTTCCACATGCAGCGATGAAACAGGTGGGAACCGGGAATTAAGGAGTCGAAATTTCATGAATCATTGGATTGGTTTACCCTCTGGTAAACATACAAAAAACTATGGAAAACCACCATTTTTAATGGGAAAACTCACTATAAATGGCCATTTTCAATAGCTATGTTAAATTACCAGAGGGTAAGTTTAAGGGAAAATCTACACCGGAAACCATTTTTGTTTTTACCAGTAAATATCAAGCTAAGGGCTTTCCGGTTATTTTTTTTTCCCATCATCCAATTCTGTGAATGTTCTGGGAAAGCCTCCCAGTTTGATGATTGAGAACATATGAACGCAACATGATGAAGGATTGTGGTTGAATTTCTGTGATGTTTTTTTCCCTACCGGTTGGTGATTTCATTTCTTTCCCTTTCAATCACATTTGAAGATGATGATTCCCAATTGGTGTTTGGTACCTGAACAAGCAGGGACAACCCCCAAGTCCCATGGTTTAGACAAGAGTTTTGCCAATGATTTCAAGGTCATTCTAGAAACTACGAATTGGGTTAGAGGACCGAACCTTGCAGAACACTCAGTGTCTTCCCTTCAAACATGGTGGCTCAAAGGGACCGAACCTTGCACTAAACTAGTTCTGGCATCGTTGAGAAATCTAAGTGATGTATCAAAATGTCTTGCCTTCAGATATACCAAAATCCTTCAAATATGGGGATATCACCAAACGACCAATGAGGAAATGAGGATGGACAATCAAGTGGTTGGCGATGTGCAGCGCATCCCCTTGGCTCTGCCACATCGCCCTAAAGTACTACTACAATCAAGTGGTTGGGTGGTGTTTTCTGCCAGAGATGATGCTCCAATATTTAGGATGAAGGACAAGCGGCAGTGCATTTTTTCAAGCTGTCTCTTTTTGGGTTGGATTCTACTTGATGTTTACTTGATGTTTTTGCATGTGTGAAATTGTGTGAAATCCAGGCAATCAGAAGCAAACTCACTGAGGTTAACAAGTTGAGACTCTTGAAAGCAACCAGGTTCTGTTGCAAGATGCACCCTTGGATGCTTTGGACTTCCCTTTTTTTTCTCCAACATCAATTTAGCCCGTTAAGACCCGGTTGATCAATCTCATGCTTAAACCCGCAATCCAAAATTTGTTGATGAGCAAACCAGTAATCACAATTTTTGTTGGTCATACTCCCATGAGATATAGAGAATATCCGCACGAAATGGCTGGTTTAATACGGTCTAATACCCTGATGCTTGACTAAACTCCCGATCCAATTTGTTGAGCCCCATTGATGTTTCTGATTTCAGCCTCTCCAACACTGACATTTTCTCTGTTTGACATTCCCCCTTCTGGGATTTTCTCGTGCAGTGAGGCGTTAGCATCTCCTGCTGCCAAGCAAGAGGACCCCCGGAAGTGGTGGATGGGATGAAACAACCCAATGATGACTGGGAAAATCGACTGGGGCTGTTAAACAAATGAACGATGGATGGGATTGGTCCAAAACTAATCAAAAATACCTTGGATACCAATGAATGGCAATGCTTTTGGGCAAGTAGCCACCCACCTGGTATTGAATTGTTGGTTGCTAAATATCCTGGATCGTGACTTTGCTTGCTACAGATCTGAAATGACTGGTTCACCCAGCAATGGCTGAATGCTTCCGTATTTTCCTCGCTTCAATCCTAAGTTGTGGTCATCAAAAATTACTCGTGATGGTCAAACTATGTTTTTTATGGTCGAATTTCGTGAGTTCGTGTGCGAAAAAAAAGGCAATCCATATCCCATAGGATCCATGTATGCTATATATATATGGATATTTATGGTGACATGGATCCCATCAATATACCCCAGTCATGTTAGCATTTTTCTCCCAGCACCATGGATCTTATGGCTATGTTTTTTTGCATTTCTGGCACCAAAATCCCCTCCCGTGATCCTCCTGAAAGCCTTCACTTCAGGGCATTTGTGTCGCTTTTCAGAAGTTGGTGGATGGCAGATACGACCAGGTGCCGGGGATATCCTAAGCGGTGCAGCTGAGAAAATTTGGGATTTAACCATCAAAAAAGAGGATTTAGAACTAGATTTCACTGGGATTTCAACATGAAAACTGAGTTTTTTTTTTTGGTTTTGATCAGCGAACATGTTAAACGCGCTGAATTTGGGGATCAGTTAATCGGAACAGCAGAGTTTCGCTCCTGTGATCAGTGGGTTTCAACAGGAGCCTATCATGATGGGAGAATCATGATGTCTACCTGACAATTTGATCTGAGTAAATTTGATACCTCACTGTTCTCCCGAACCCTGGAATCATGGTAAGTAAGGGAAATCATCCCCTTTTATGGCCCAACAATTCAGAGTAGTGAAATATAGTAATTTATGGTGATTTGATTTTTACAACGTCCATCAAACATTTTCAAATTTGTCACAATGGGGGTATAATAAGGAGATCCCAACGGAAAAAACATGGAATGAACTTTGAATAACCAACACTATGACTCACTATGATTTGTGGGCGTCTCAAGCCATCAAGCACAATGGCATTGGGTATCCTATTTTCAGTCAAGATGCCGAAACCGGAGATTGGCTATACAATACCATTGTCCAGAAAAATAACTCAGCTTGCAATTTTATTTGGAGTCTTACCCGGTATATCATCATTTTCCTTTGTAAACTTGCCATGTTCTGCATTTTGTTTTTTTGGGACATGATCATATTTCCACGAACAGTCCAATGTTCATCCCAGTCTGCTTTGCAGCCACACAGATATCAACATGATGTTTCCACAGTTTTATTGATCATGTTTCCACTCAAAATTCCAATGTACATCCATTTTTCTAGTGATTTCCACCAAACAAATCCAACTTTAATCATTTGTTCTGGTGATGTTCCTCAATCCAATTCTCATCGATATTTCTAGTGATTCTCCGAAACAAATCCAGTGTTCATCGACTAAATCCAGTTTTCATCAATTTTTTCCTGGTTGGTGGTTTAGAACTTTTTTATGACTTTCCCATCATATTGGGAATGTCATCATCCCAACTGACGAACTGAAGTTTTCCATCATTTTTCAGAGGGGTTTTGGTATACCACCAACCAGATAAATATGAAGAACCCATCATAAACCCATCAATTAACCATCATTAACCCATCAAACCATTTCTGGTGATTTTTCTTGGAAATCATCATCGCCCGAATCGCCATCGCCCCCCCTTTTTTTGCAGCGACGGAAACAGGTGGACCGCGGCGTGCCATTGTGCGGCATGGGCATCACAACCCAAAAAGATGATCCGCGGGTGCGAGCGATTGTCCGAGGCTCAAGAATATATCTTGGAGTTTAGCATCAATGGGGGGGTCATTTCTATACACGAAATATAAGATATACATCTATACATATATCATATATATATATATTATAATAATAATAGTAATAATGATGATAATGATAATAATAGTAATAACTAATAATAGAAACTAATATTAATAGTAACTAATAATAATATTCACAATGATAATAATAATAATATCTAGATGTCTACATACATATATATATATATACATACATTATTTACTGTTTTATATGAGATTTCCAGGATTTGATTCATCTTGAAGTTTTTTTTTCAACAAAGAGATGTACAAAGAGTGCCATGGCTGCCATAGTCCTTTCACGCATTCCCATGGGATGACCCGAACGCGCTGAGGCTCTGTTGGCGGAACGAAGGGATTTAGAGCTGGAGCCCCCAGATTCAGCCCCAAAAAAGAAACGCCGGTGATGTTCCCAAAGTTGGTTCCTATATTCATAGAATTGGATGACGGGAAAATTTACAGGAAAGCCCTATATTTGATGGTAAAAACCATGGTTTCCTGTAGATTTTCCCTTAAACCAATCCAGTGATATATTATATGTTCCATATGTTTCAAAGTGGGGCCCCCAAACGATAGCTAAGTTGGTGAACATAACTCCAATAACTATGGTTTATGGTACCTATAACTATAGTTAATGGGGTTTATAAACCATCTTATAACTAGGGGGCCCCACCTTGTTCCAATATTGGTTTACCCTCTGGCAATGACTAACATAGCTATTGAAAATTGCCATAGAAATAGTGGATTTACCCATTGAAAATGGTGATTTTCCATAGTTATGTTAGTTTACCAGAGGGTAGTTTCCATGTTGGTTCCCAGTGTTGGTTCCCATCCAACTGAGGAACAATTGCGAAAAAAAATATCCTGGTCTAATTTCTTGATCGGCCCAGTTGGCGCAGTTGTCCTAGTGAATTTTTAGCCAACACTTAAAGCTACAAGGAAGGCCCCCGCTAGATAGGCAGCCGTTGGCTTGTAGGCTACATGGGATCTACCCTCTGGTAATTTAACATAGCTATGGAAAATCACCATTTTATAGTAGTTTTTCCCATATAAAATTGTGATTTTCCATAGTTTTTGGTATGTTTACCAGGCCGGGTATTTTGTATTGACCCAGTTAAGGGTGACTTTCGAAAACAAAGAGTGAACACTTTGGATCCCCGAAAACGCGCCATGGTTTTGTGCCATGAGTCAAAAAAGGCGGGTAAGTCATCCAGCCATTTTCATACAATGTGAGGCCCCTGAGGCCCCCCGAAACGTGATGTGAATGTTGGTTAACAAAAGCCCCAGTAACTAGTTCGTCATAAGTACCATAAACCATAGTTACTGGAGTTACTGGAGTTGGTTACTGGAGTTACATTGTGGGCATAAGGGAACTGCCAGGGGACATAGGTTTCAACTGTCATCATCCCATTTCTGTTGAGATGTGGTGTGGTCCTGGGGGAATCCCAAGGGAATCTGGTAGCCCCAAGAATACTAGTTCGTTATTTGCGTACCATAAACCAGTTCGTGACATTGGAGTTATGTTCACCAACTTAGATATCTTGGGGGCCTCACATTGCAGATATGCCGATATTTACTGCGGAGAAAAATCCCCTATGACATCTCCATCCAACGTGACCAAAAACCACTGACATTGCTCCCATGCAACTGACCCTTTGGAGGATCATCCCCCACTTGGTGGTTGAGAAGCCTAGTTCGCTCCGTCCCCTTTCTGAAAGTGGCTTATCCCGTGTACATGAGACATTTACAACTACTTAGATCGGCCATGGAGTTAGTTAACAAGAGTTAGTAACTGGGGTTATAACTTACCCCAAAAAAAACCCAATGAAATATGCCATTTACTAACTAGTTGTCACTAACTCCATGGCCCATCTAAGTACGGTTACTAACCACTGAGAGGTGGGATGATCCTCCAAGTAGTGCTTCATGTTCAACGATTGATTCTTTCCATTGGTACTATAACGGGGGGCCCAACGTGAAGGCTAGTTGGTAAACGGTAAACATAACTCTGATATACTCTGATATGATTTATGGTACTTATAACGAACTAGTTTCCGGGGTTTATAAATATTTATAAACCAACTTATAACTTTGTGGGGGCCCAGTAACTATAGTCATAAGTATATACAAAAAACATCACAAAACCATAGTGATATTGGAGTTATGTTTCCCAACTTAGCAACTAACATCAATCAGCTAGATCCTTATACATCCCATTAAGGCATAAGGCCCTATATTCTTCTTGGTTTACTATGAATCATCAAACAAATCCCATAAAATCCCTATAAATCACTATAAATCATTATGAATTCCTATAAATCCAATCCCTATATCATTATAGATCCCATAAAATCCAGTTAAATCACTATAAATTCCTATAAATCCAATCCCTAACAATGTAAATCCCATGAAATCCCTATAAAATCAGCCTAACTCCAGTGCTTTTTGCCCCAGGGCGGGCGACGAGTGGTGCCCCGTGCCCGACTCGGAACCCGCCGGGCCCTTCTTCGGCGTGCTGGTCTCCGGGCGCGTCATGGTGGAGATTGGCCCGGTCGGTGACGCCCAGGGGGGCCTTTTTTAGGGAGAGGTTTCGGGTGGGTTTGTAGAGGATATATATATTATATATATATATATATCACAAAAAAAAAACAGGTATTAATATTATTTATATATACAAAAACAAACATGATATGATATGATAACTATATCTGGTTGGTGGTTTGGAACATTTTTTATTTTCCATAATATATGGGATAATCCTTCCTATTGACTAATACTTTTCAGAGGGGTTGAAACCACCAACCAGTATATATATATCACAAAAAAAAACGAAAAAGCGGTTATTAATATTATTTTTATATATACAATATATATATAACCATCTTGGTTTATAGAAAATCTCTCTAGAGGTTTCTGCTGGTTTTAGAGGATATATCACAAGATATAGCTATATTCTATGTTTATAGGAGTTTCGACCGGGTCAAAGTCTTAGTTTACTGGATGCTAATTTGATTGGGGATGGAAGAATGATTCGCGCATATTTCCATCAATGAAGTAGGAATACCCTCTGGTAATCGTAAAAAAACACTATGGAAAGATCCACCATGCTATTAATGGGTAAATCCACTATTTCGACTGGGCCATGGCTTCAATAGCTTTTTGTATGTAAAAACCAGAGGGTAAGTATAGATATATCCCCTATAGATTCCCTATAATTCCCTATAGACTCACTATTTTTCAGTGCTTCCCATCTCACTGCCAGGAGCATCACATCGTGCTTCAGCTAACTTCTGGAGCAATCTTCCCGGAGGTGGTCCAAAAAACCATTCCCTGGGTCACTTAAATGTGACGACACTCACTGGAGAATCACTTTTTTGGACATATGAAACATGTTTTGAAGTTCGGTCAATCATCATGTTTATCATGGAACCAAGTGGGCTACTGCTTCCAGTGAATGTGATTTAACAGTTTGCGAACTGGAATCCAGTTCGCAAACTGTTAAATAACATGAAATCACCAGATGGTATACACAGTATCTTCCTACCAGTTATAAGTTGGTTCACAACGCCGAAAAAAAACGATGGTTACATCCCCACAATACTTAGATGGGCCATAGAATTAGTTAACTAGTTAGAAACTGGGGTTTGTTTGCCCCCTATATCCCAACTATAATCCATTTACTAACTAGTTAACTAGCTAGTAAGTAACCCCCTTTAATCCATGTACTAACTAGTTAGTGCATTCCTTATTTCATTGGGTTTTTTTGGTGGTTATAACCCCAGTTACTAACCAGGAATCGCTAATCCTATGGCCCATCTAAGTAGTTAACTGTAGATTATCAATGATTATCATACAACTTGGGGCCCTCGTTGACGATAGCTAAGCTGGGGGCTACATAACTCCAATGTCACTATGGTTTATGCATGTTTATGGCACTGGGGGGGCCCCACATTAGCTAACTGGTTAGTAACTGGGGTTATAACCCCCTATATCCCAATTATAATCCATGTACTAACTAGTTAACTAACTCCATGGCCCATCTAAGTAGTTCATGAGTCTCTTACGGATGGCCACCCTTCTCCCTCTCCCTGCAGGGCCTCCTGGCCTCTTACGGTGCAGTCTGTCGAGCTGAGACGACCTGTGAAGCGCCTGGGAAATGCGAAAAAAAGGGGCTGCCTTGTTTAACCACCAGGTGTGTTTGTTGGTTTATAACCACCATTGACATACAGATTTACATATGATATATATATATATGCATAATAAACTATAGAACTCTAGATGCTTATAACCACCATGAACTATAGTCGATATGTGTGTATCATAAACTCTTATGTTTGTTGGTTTCTGACACCATCAATTTCACTGTGGTATCACCATGAAGCCACCAGTTATCCTAGTGGTGCTCCCCCAGTGATGTTTGTTGGTTAAAAGCCACCATTACTTTTGGATATATGATGAATTATGATATATGCATTCCCAGAGGATCCATGTATGGAATATTTACCTACATTGACCCCTAAAGTAATTTAAAATAATCCCAATGTAGGTAAATATTCCATACATGGATCCTTAGGGATTGTTAAAACCCTAGTTATTGGATATGGATCCAGTCGTAGCTTCGAAGTTTGACTGGGGGTTGAGGTTTTTCGGGGTGAGGTACCTTGTCAGGTTGCATTTGGATCCATAGGCTTTGGTCGTTTCTTACACGAAGTATATCTAGCCAACAAAATTGGTGGAATATTGTTGACACTTCATGGGATATTCTATGGAATATCAGCGGGATATGAAGGGAATATCGGTGAATAGCCTCTGGTTTTTCATCAGAAAATTCAGTTTCCAGGAATGGTTCGATGATTTTCCCAGCGAACCCATATATGTAAAGCTTTGTTGAACATTGGCACAGGAGGCTTGTGGGTCTATTTTTTTTCAAATTTAGATGGAGACCAGAGTGATGGATAAGTGGAAGTGCAGTTCCAGTTATAAACATGTGTACCCTCTGGTAAACTAACATAGCTATTGAAGATGGCCATTTGTAGTGGATTTACCCATTAAAAATGGTGATTTTCCATAGTTATGTTAGTTTACCAGAGGGTATATACAACCGTGGTAAAAAAGCATGTTCCAATGACCATGGTGGTTGATGACCATGGATGACAATATATTCATTTCTAGCGTCAGCTACCCCCCTAAGTACGCATACCCTGACCTTCCAAATTACTTTACCATTGATCCATTAATGTTAGTTTTTGTTTCTGGATAGGTAGGTTGGATCTGTGCTGGATATGCTCTAGTTAGATGGGTGAAACTACAGCAACACACGTAACTGGGGTGTCCCTTCCGGTATTTATCCTTATCAATAGCACTGGTGCCCAGTCGATCATTCTTGGATGGCTCCACCAGATAGCCTCACAACACGAATAATGTCAACCCTGGATTAATAAACCCCCGTTTGCGGCTGTTTAATTGGGTACCATAAGAAAGTATCAGATGAAATGACTTTTGGAGGAATACCCCCCTAATTGTCATAAACCATGGGTTAGTCTCATCCGGGGTTGACATTATTAAATTCCCAGTTGATTCCTACCATGAGTGCCATGTTGACTCCATTACAGCATGTGCTGGGTTCGTCGGGGTCAACCAAAACATCAGGGCAACTAAGCATAGTTAGAGGAATTGCCTTCAACTGATTGATCTACGAACACTGGGAGAGTTTATAGGTTATGGAAAGGGCTACGAGGCTACGAACCATTCATCTCATCTTTTCGCTTAATTTATCTGAATCATCCTGAATCCCTAAATTTGGTAGAAACTGATTGGCCCGGATAGATCAAATCATCTGGTAGAAATTTGGGATATTGCCTAAACTATATCCCCAACTAGTAATAGTAGTCTACCAGTAGATGACCATAGTTGATAGTGTTGTCTAACTATACCCATAGGATCCATGGTGCTGCTATATATGGTAACATGGATCCCATCAATATACCCCAATCATGTTAGCATATATATACCAGCACCATGGATCCTAGGGATATACTATGACTATATACTGGTTGGTGGTTTCAAATTTGTTTTTCTTTTCCATAATATATGGGATCATCCTTCCCATTGACTAATATTATTTTTCAAGATGGTTAAAACCACCAACCAGTATACTATGGTAGAAACAACAGAAACTCCCAGAAACTCACAGTCTCCCAAGACTTTTCGAAGTCGTGGTCGTGGTGGTCGCTGTGAAACTAAGGCATATCGCGTTCGATGGCATGACTTTTATATGGCGGTCAGAGTCCCATATATCGAATCAATGGCCATGCTGGCCAGGATCCGATTGAGGACGGAGGTACCAATCCCATAGAAAAAAGGCCTATTTAAAAAAGGCCTACCCTCTGGCAATGACTAACATAGCTATTGAAAATGGCCATTTATAGTGGATTTTCCCATTAAAAATTGTGATTTTCCATAGTTATGTTAAATTACCAGAGGGTAAATTTCAGGGAAGATCCCCAGAACATATGGCCAAACATATGGTACGTTTACGTACCTCCATCAATTGGATCCTGGAGATCTCCCATTGATCGAATGGGTGGCGGGATTTCCACCTGGATTTGCTGCTAAATCCACCGAAAATGGGGACCTCAGGATGTTTGTTCAATGTAAAATACATTTTTTTTGGGCCAAAGATACCTTGGGAAAGAGTAAGTTGATGTTTTTGTAGGTATATTTTGATGAGTATTCTTGTGGGTAGATGTTGAGTACATGAATGCTGTATTACCTCTACTTTTTTGGGGGGTTTTGCCTTACTGGTTTACATTGTTTTGTTCTACACATGAGGAACCATACTAACCAGAAGTTTTGTTGTGTGTTTTAACGACCATGGGGATTTTTCACTACCATTTTCAATAGCCACATCTTCCAGTTTCATAGCCCAAAACTGCGGTTCCCATCATAGGATGCAGGGTAGGTCAATATAGGTGAAACCTCCATGGGTCATTCGATGGCGACATGTCTACCACGGTCATCCATGGTCAATATATGTCAATTTCCTGTTCATACTGTGGATGGGCCAGCGAATTCTTGCGAAATCTTGCACCAGTTGAAAACGGTGGTAGACGGTAAACATCCCATCTTATCCCACAATGTGAGGCCCCCGCGGCCCCCCAGTTATAAGTTGGTTAACAAAAGCCCCAGTAACTATAGTTATAGTTATTTGCGTACCATAAACCATAGTGACATTGGAGTTATGTTCACCAACTTAGATATCTTTGGGGCCTCACATTGTAACCATTATTAACCATTATTAACCATTATTAACCATTATTAACCATGGAAATCCCATTAAAATTTCATTAGGTTTATCCCATTTTATCCCATTATTTTGTTTGGGTTTCAACTTGTTTCAGTCATCCTTTTGGTGGTAAAAATCCATAAACATCCCCTGTTCATTGGGACTACTTCTTGTGATCCCAACTGCCTTGAGCGTGGTGTTCGTAAAGCCGTGGTGTGTCCGAAAATAGGAGACCTCTAAATCAACTGGGTTACCCTCTGGTTATGTCAAAATAGCTATTGAAAATTGCCATTTATAGTGGATTTTCCCATGAAAAATGGTGATTTTCCATAGTTATGTTAGTTCACCAGAGGGTAATCAACATGAATGGCCATTTTATGTGGTGGTACTATCTTAATCAACTGGGTTATACTATGATATTATGGGTTAATCAGCATTTTCACTTGCAAAAATCGCCATAAAGTGGTGGTACTGTATAGCGGCATAGATCGGCATAGCATATATCCATTAAAATGTCATTTTCTCACATCTTTTCACTATGAACATGCAATTTTTGACCCAATGTAAGCAGCCTATTTTCAGACGTCGGCCGAGGTTGGCCTCAGTACCCCATCTGCCACTGATTGGCCTGGAAGCTTAGAGAGTTTTTCGGAGCAGCTCCGAAGAAAATCAGAAAGCAATGTTGCAAACGGGATAGAACGAGATAGGAATAGAATATGTCTTTATCTTATATATATTTGTATACAGTTATATATATATAACATTATATATTATAATCATATATATATATGTATGTACACATAATCATATATATACACATACATCATCACATATATATAATCATATATATATAATCACATATATATATATGTATATATAAATAATCATATATATATATGTAATCGAAACATATGTATATATATATACTCATATATATATACTCATATACATATATATATATACGTATATTATATATTTGTAAGCAGCAATATGCTTTGAATTTGTGAAGAACTGGACAGGATACCCGGATTCATGGTAATGTTAATAGGAGATCACTGTCATATAAGAGGCATGATAATTACGAATCTTTTGAGGAATATTAAGGACAAACCCATTGAGGATGAAGGGATGTGGTGGATATTGTTGTGATCAACTTATTCACAATGTCTGGATTACCCTCTGGTAGTTTAACAGTTTGCTATTGAACATAGCCATAAAAAATAGTTGATTTACCCATCAAAAATGGTGGATCATTCCATAGTTATGTAACACTTTACTAGAGGGTAGCCATGCATGTCTTATTGGTATAGTTCAAAAATGTTCAAAAGCTAAAGCAACCGAAAATCCATTGATTTTGAACTATTTGTACATTATAAATTGGTTAACAAAAGCCCCAGTAACAATAGTTATAAGTACATATAAGTACCATAAACCATAGTTATTGGAGTTATGTTCACCAACTTAGATATCTTGGGGGCCTCACATTGTAGTTCGTATTGACTATCCATTTATTTTTCCTCATACTCCCAATGCCAAAAAAAACATGGTGCCGAGGTTCTGGAAGTTTCGAGTTCAAGAAAAGGCCGGCAGCTGGGCATGTCGTATCGGATATGCCATTTTTTGTCAGACACACAAAACATACAAAAAACCTATGGAAAATGGTGATTTATAGTGGATTTTCCCATGAAAAATGGTGATTAACTAACAAAAAGCTATGGAAATCACCATTTTAGTCGGTAAATCATTGAAATAAATGTAATAAATGGATCTAAAGCTATGCCTATGCTCCAGATGTTTTTTTTCTATGTTTCTCACCAGGATCGATCGTTGTGCGTCGCTGGAATGATGGTGAATGCAAGGGTAACTATCCCATGATGACCTTGTTTCAATTGAGTTTAGCTATGGGATATAGTAATAGTGATGTTCCATTTACCATAGCTATGTCAGTTTATTATGATAAAATCACATAGCTATGGACAACCATCATTTTTAAGTAGGTAAAACAACATAAATCGACTATCAATGGACCATTTTCCATAGCTATATTAAATAAGCAGAGGGTATGATTTCGTGATCAGTGGGAACATCCACAAAGTAACCAAAAAGTTGGCGCCACCAGTTGGCTCAGACGGAAATGCGCTTGGAAATTACAGTGGGTTCTCACATCATTCCGTAGCTGTTGTGTATGGATGATGTATGGATGTTCATACCGCAAACATATCGTATCATAGGTATTACTGCAACACATCCCCGGAGCTTTTGAGAAATGAAGTATTATCGAATACATGAATACATTATGTAGTATTATTCGAATTCATGTTCTATACAGGTTGTGCACATGTATATAATACGTAGTTATATGCATATTATTTGTTATTTGAGTTTGTTGCACGCTAGTTTCGTGTGTATTCCACTACGTAAGTGCTTCAAAGTGATTCAATAACAATTTTCAGGCACGCTTATGGCCCATGTACCCTGCAGTAATCAAACATGGCAATCGGCAGCAGTATATTTCACCAATTTTCCATTCCCATCCGACTAAGATTCCATGATATCCCATTCAATCCCCATAAAATCAGACATTTTGTCGGTCAAATGCCAATTCTGGTTGGAAAAATGAGCATCGATTCACCATCGGATCACCATTCTTCATATTAAAAATTGGTAAAATCCAGATGCTTCACCATTTTTCTAGGGTAAAATCACCATTTTCCCGGGATAGTCCTTGTTTCTGGCTGTGGCTCCTGTGGCTGTGTTTTGGATGCACCAAGTGGCGACCAAGTGGCAGGCCACGGTCGAGCGCTTGACTAGAAGGCAGAAACCTGGGAGTTGCTGAAATGGATGGATTTTGGGGAGGGAAAATCCCCCTACCATGGTGCAATGTGGTGCCCCCAAGATAGCTAAGTTGGTTTATAACTTTAATAACTAGGACTTATGGTAGATATATCTATAGTTAATGGGATTATAAACCAACTTATAACTGGGGGGGCACCACCTTGTGGGTTTAAAGGTGGAAGAATCAAGTATAAATGAGTCAAATATATCATGTAGGGAAATCTGAAGTAAATGTATGTTAATAAGTGGGAAAGACATATAAATGAATGGATCAAATATATCATGAACCAACTGGATGTGCTGAATTGGTGCTTGGATTTGCTGATGGATGGAGCAGGGTTTCAGGGTCGCTCCAAGCCACGTTATTAGGTAAGTGATCACCACGCTTGCGTGGGAAACTGGCTCAGCGAAACGCAATGTTCTTTTTTGGGGGGTTTTGGTATAGCAACTCTGTTAATTCCCATGACACACAAATAAAAAATCCTATTACATCCTAGTAAACTATCAAATGAAATGCCATGTTAATTCCCTACTGTGGATGGTTGCGAAATCCTGCACCAGTTCATAGGTAGTACACATCCCATTATTTTGTTTGGGTTTCAACCATCCTTTTGGTGGTTTATCGGATTTCGCTGGCCCATCCACCGTATGTGTATCCTAGTAAACTAATTAAATGGGAATATCATATTATGATATTATTCCTTTGTGATATTCCCATATTATATCCCAGGATATAATTCCCTACAATGTGAGGCCCTCGTTTGATATCCAAGTTGGGGTTCACATAACTCCAATGTCACTATGGTTTATGGTACGCAAATAACGAACTAGTTACTGGGGCTTTTGTTAACCAACTAACATCACTAGGGGGCCCCGCATTGTATGTTTCATTGCTTAGTCATGTTGGGAATATCACAGGAGAATGGAAGAATCATTCTTCACGGTATGATCCATGGGTTTTTTATCGATCACGGACATGTGCCCAAAACACGGCTGCCACTGGGAAACTTGGAAATATGTAGCAAATATCTGTAAATATCATCAAAGTACCATGGTTTCACACTTTTTGGGCTTCTTTTTGGGAGATTACTGTACTATAATTATTATAGGTATCTATAGGTATCTATAGGTTGATTTATCAAGCCCATGAATACTATAATAATATCCTCCATAAACATCCATAAACTCCATAAACTATAGAACTCCCTATGGATTTTTTGGCGATTTTAAAACATCGGTTGATCTCAACAACGGGACCTTTGGCCGGTTCCGCCCGCCCGTTTCTGCAGGCTCCAGTCGGTACAGGGCTTGCTACACGTCAATGTGCCACATCGCAAAGATGAGGAGATTCAGGCGACTGGCGAGAGAGCCGTGCGTACAAAAGATACACAAAAAATATCACGATATATCAAACAGTATATGTAGTGTAGAATTCTACGGATATACAGACATCTGTATAAAAATAGCTAGATGGATGGATGGATGGATAGACAGATAGATAAATAGATAGATAGATAGATAGATAAATAGATAGATAGATAGATAGATAGATATTTCCTATATTACTATAAAAACAATATATATATATACATAACTATTTGCATAGATGGCACCAATTGACCTATCGCTCCACTCACCTCGCCAGCGTTGAAAAGGCTTGGAAAGCTCAGCGCGGCGAACGCATCAGCCAAGCGAAGAGGATGAGCTCTACACTGGCGGTTCAGGTCGGATACCCTGTTTTAATGGGATATATGATGGTGATTCAATGGTGATTCAATGGCATTTAATGGGATTTAATGGGATATATGATGATATACCCTCTGGTAAACATACAAAAAGCTATTGAAAATGGCCATAGAAATAGTGAGTTTTCCCATTAAAAATGGTGATTTTCCATAGTTATGTAACAGTTTACCAGAGGGCATAACATAACTATGGACAACTATGGAACATTCACATTTTTGATAGGTAAATCAACTATAAGTGGCAATTTTCTGCTGTTGGATAGTGATTTTGTGAACCAGGGTGGTGCCAGATATAAGTTATAACTTAGTTTATAAGCGCCATGATAGTATACAATGTGGGCCCCCCTAGTTATAAGTTGGTTAACAAAAGCCCCAATAACTAGTTCGTTATTTGCGTACCATAAACCATAGTGATTGGAGTTATGTGAACCCCAACTGAACGCTATCGTAAACGGGGGCCCCACTTTGTAGGAGTCATAAACCATTAGCTAACATGATGGGCACCACCGTTTACGGGATGATGGGTGTTATAAACCAACAAATATCACTGGGGGGCAGCAGCAGCATGACCGATATGACCATGATAAAAATGGGGATTTTCATTGGGCAAGTACGCGAGGATAGAGTTTTTCTGAATGATGGTGGGTTGATGGTTCATCACCCCTGTTGTGCACCCTGTTGGTTGATGATTGCTAGATGTTGGTTGTACTGCCCTTTACAGATTCGGAATTGCCATTGTTTATTGTCATTGGAATCCCGAACAAAATGATGATCATTGTGTGCCGGAAAATCCAAACCAGCATTAATCCCTTCCTCCCAAAAAATAATGTTGCTTGATGATTCTGCGCTTATGCAATAGGGGATTATATATAGTCCAAAAAGTGGACTTCCACTCAATTTGATTATGAATCATTGGCTGATCGTGGAGAAAATCCCATTTGGAATTCCCATTTGAATTATACATAATGTGGTTAAAACAATCATAAACTATTCCCCAGTCACCGTTTTTATGGGATAAACCAGTATAAACATATCTAAACCATCAAAAAGGAAGGCTTTATGATATTATACATTAGATGGTTTAGATATGTTTATACTAATGTTGTTTTAAACCATTTTATATGTGGTTAAACCATCTAATAAACATATCACCATTTTATATAAACCACATTTGTTCTAACCAGAATTGACATGGATTAAACCAACTTATACCCTCTGGTAAACTAACAGTTTGCTATTGAAATTCACCATTTAGTTCGTGGATTTTCCCATTAATAGCATGGTGGATCTTTCCATAGTTTATGTAACAGTTTACCAGAGGGTAACCAATTTATAACCAGGGTGGTTTTAAACCATTTTATATGTGGTTAAACCATCTAATAAACATATCACCATTTTATATAAACCACATTTGTTTGTTCTAACCAGAGTTGACATGGATTAAAATGATTAAACCAACTTATCAGCAATTTATATAACCACATGTTTTTTTATTGGATATAGTTTATAACCACATTTTCTATTGTCATTAGATATCCATGTCTATATCCATGTCTATATCTATTGTCATTAGATATTCATTATCCATGTCATTAGATATACCACTTTTCTATAACCACATTAGATATATCACCATTTTATATCAACCATCTAATAAACATATCACCATTTTATATCAACCATCTCATAGTTTGCTATTGAAAATCACCATTTATAGTGGATTTTCCCATCTAATGCTAGTTTACCAGAGGGTAACCAATTCATAACCACATCTAAGGACATGGTTTTTTTCACCACATTTCTTCCCCATGGGATGATCCAAACCTTCGGCTGGCCCAGCGAGGCCTCAGATCGGCTGCCCATCCTGGAGGCCTCGAAGCCAACACGAGTGGTGCCATGGCCTGGTTACGAGGGGTTCCCCTGAGACGTTTCTTTGAAACAAATAGTTGATTTACCAAATAACTATAGTTGCTGGGGCTTATAAACCAACTTAGATATCTTGGGGGCCTCACATTGTAGCTATAGAACATGGCCTATAGAAATAGTTGATTTACCTTCGAAAAAGTCGTGTTTTTCAATAGCAAACTGTTAGTTTACTAGGGGGTAAATTTAATTGTCCTAGTGAAATAGATCTGGGTAAATTATAACGACCTCACTGCGACCTCACTGGAAATCATAGTTAGTAAGGGGAATCATCCCCTTTTATGGCCTTAATTCAGGTGAGTGAAATATTGTAATTTACCCAGATTACTGTATTGAAATGGTTACTGTATTTCAATGGTTATATCCCAGTATTACTGTATTTCAATGGTTACTGTAATTGAAATAGGGTTCATATTGGGATATTAATTGGGATACAACCATTGATATATTGATATTGATATAATATTGATATAACCATTGATTGCTGCAATGTGAGGCCGCCGTTCGATAGCTAAATTGGTTAACAAAAGCCCCAGTAACTAGTGCGTTGTTTGCGTACCATAAACCATAGTTATTGGAGTTATGTTCACCAACTTAGCTATCTTGGGGGCCTCACATTGTGTAATTGAAATAGATAATATTGGGATATATTGGGATATAACCGTTGATATTTCTGAAGTTTATTGGTTTCTGGTAGATATATGTAGATATGCCTATCTGGTTGGTGGTTTGGAACATGAATGGATTATGACTTTCCATTCAGTTGGGAATTTCATCATCCCAACTGACGAAGTCATATTTTTCAGAGGGGTAGGTATACCAACCAGATTTGTGTTTCATTTATATATCTTAAAGATATAGGGATTTCCAATCCTTGGGGGTACCCCTAGTTCTCATCCATTTTTAGATTGGGATTTTCCATGAAATAAACCATCCGGCGAGTGGGGTTTTTCATCATTTTCGGAAATCTCCATATAACTAGTACTATAACCTTTTGTTAACTCATGGTGTCATGGGGTTCATCATATAGTACAGGATGGGGCCCCCTAGATAGCTAAGTTGGTTTATAACTCCAATAACTATGGTTTATGGTACCTATAACTATAGCTATTGGGGCTTATAAACCAACTTATAACTGGGGGGCCTCACATTGTATATAAGTATTACCAATTCATCATATCTTAAATTCTATCCCCCATACAGCCTGGTTAACGAAGTGATGTGCGTCAACTTAGCTATCGTTACATGGGGGCCTCACCTTGTGGAACATGTCATGGGGAGTATACACCAAGAAAGGCTACTTACATAAGAGTTATCCCTCATAATCATAATGACCATTGGTAGATGCATTCAAACCTCTAAAATATGTGTTTTTCCTTCTAAAACCAGGGATGGAATAGGGAGAAATGTAGTTATGCTTGGTGTTCTCGCCCCATAGAATGGTTGGTTTAGCATCATTCTTCTCGCCATTTAGCTGCCGGTTGCCCATCCCCCTCTGAATTGCGACACATCCCACTGCAACCGAGGTCTTTGAGAAGAAGACAGTGAGTGTCCAAAGGACGGCAAGTTGACTGGTTTGAAATTCTGTGTTTCCTCTTCGTTCTATGACTGGTTGGTGGTTTGGAACATGACTGGATTATTTTCCATTTCATATATGGGATGTCATCCTTCCCATTGACTTTGACTCATATTTTTCAGAGCGGTAGGTCAACCACCAACCAGATGATATGGAGGTTTCCTATGATGGGTTTACCTCAAAATCATGGGTTTCAAAATATGTACCAAAATTAGAAAACCCTTTCATGGTTATGAAAATAACCTGAGAAACCATCTTTTTCAATAATTGCATAGCTCATAGGATCCATGGTGCTGGTATATATGGTAACATGGATCCCATCAATATACCCCCTTTATGTTAGCATATATACCAGCACCATGGATCCGTCATGGGTAGACCGTCTTCATGGTCCCCAAAAAGTGAACCTGCTGAAGCTGGAACCGCACCAGGAACGAATGGGATGGAGCCGGGCTTCGGAGTCGGAAACCAGGCGGCAAACTCGGTTTCACCGATGCGGAAACGGAGCTGCGGTAGCTGGGGAGGAATCGGAAAATCCGCAAAAATTGGGAAAACAACATGGAAATTATGAGTTTTTCAATTTTGTTATGGTTTTCAATTATGAGTTTTCAGAAAATCCAAAGGAATCCATGATGGTTTTCAATTTTTCCATGCAATCCACAATGGAATCCAATTCTTTGAACAACATGGAGCTGGGAAACAATCAGAAAATCCACAAACATCAGCTGGGAAACATCATGGAATTTCTCATATCAACATGTGGAGCTTGCTTATGTCATACAATGTGGGGCCCCCGTTTGATAGCTAAGTTGGTTAACAAAAGCCCCAATAACTAGTTCGTTATTTGCGTACCATAAACCATAGTTTTTGGAGTTATGTTCACCAACTTAGATATCGAACGGGGGCCTCACATTGTACAAGGTGGTGCCCCCCAGTTATAAGTTGGTTTATAAACTTCATTAAGATATAAGTACCATAAACCAGTTCGTGACATTGGAGTTATGTGGCCCCCAACTGAACGCTATCGTAAACGGGGGCCCCACAAGTCATAGGGGGTCTCCCCAAAATCATCCAAGCTAAGTCACCTCGTCACCATGACCTGGTCGTGACTTGAAACCAACATGGTGACCAGGGCATCCCCCATTTAAAGAAACCCATATGTTGAAAGATTCTTTGTGAAGTCCAAGAATCCTTATCATCAGGTAGAGTAGCTATGTTGGAAGGGAAAGTGGTTCCTGGTTAAGATCAAAACGCTCCCTGAGAACCAGTGCCAGTTGCCGGCCGTTCATCATGACACAATTTCCGTTCATTTATATTCCTTCAAGTCAGCCCAATGACAAATACACCATCACAGTGTGTGATTAACATGCCAATGACTGACCATATCATCAAGTACTGCTACATGGTGGTTTTCCCCAGTTATGTTTGTTGGTTTACTAATCCTCAAGAACTATAGATACATCATATCATATCATATCTACCATAACTGCACTTAACTTAGTTTTTCTTCGTCCCCAACAATACGGGTATCATTTTTTCAAATCAGCCAGCCAAAAATCACCGGCCAATTTTTCGACAGGTCAAGTCAACAGCTTTTTAACAGCGTTTGGTGCATCATAATTTGTACTAGAATGAACTAGAACGAAGCTTTACAAACTCTATGAACTATATAATAAAACTATATGGATATTCGTTATGATTGTTGAATACCATTATGAACTTCTACAAAGTGGGGCCCCCAAACGATAGCGTTCAGTTGGTGCAAATAACTCCAATGTCACGAACTGGTTTATGGTACGCAAATAACGAACTAGTTATTGGGGCTTTTGTTAACCAATTTATAACTAGGGGGCCCCACATTGTATGAACTATATAATAAAACTATACATAAATGAAGTTCATAGAACTCAAAAGAGTGTATGAACAATATTCCAATTACACACTTGGGTACCTAGAACTCTATATGTATATATACACACACCATTCACCCGAGTGATATTAGAGCTATGTACCGACTTACTCGGATTTGCATCCCATTTAAGTGGATTATAATCCATATCAATGAGGTTATACCATATAATAGCAGTTATACCATATAAAATAACTATATCAGTTATACCATGGTCATAAAAAGCAGTTATACCATACTATTAAAACTGACCATGGTATAATAGCAGTTACACACCATATTTTATCAGTTATACTATGGTCATGAAGTTCGAGATTCGGCTCCACTCGCCGGTGTACTTACACCAGGTACACTGGTTGGATCACCCCCGGTTGAAAATCTCACCAGGCTTCGATCCTTTTTGGATCCCAAGATTACGAGAAATTATAACTGGGATACAATGTGAGGCCCCCCAAGATATCTAAGTTGGTTAACAAAAGCCCCAGTAACTAGTTCGTTATAAGTACCATAAATCAGTTCGTGACATTGGAGTTATTTGCACCAACTTAGCTATCTTGGGGGCCTCACATTGTATGATATGTAGAGAATATATTGGGTAATAATTTTTTTTTCTATATCATATCAAGGGAGAATATTGGATGCCATGATATTCCGATATATATATATATGGGTAAATTTGATCACGAATAACGACCTCACTGTTCTCCCTCACTGGAATCACGGTTGGGGGAATTATCCCAATAAAGCCGAACATTTCAGGTTGGTGAATCATTCTAGTTTACCCATACATATATAAATATATATATATATACCCTCTGGTTATTTAACGTAGCCATGGAAAATCACCATTTTTAATAGGTAAACCATCTGTAAATGGGCCATCTATACCATGGCTATGTTAAATAACCAGAGGGTAAAAGGGGTATATGGTATACTAGGGGCTCGTTCCTTTTTTGATTTTCACCCATCTTCTAAGCTAATCCCATGGCCCATCCCAGATCATCAGTGTCCAGGGCTGTTATCCTACACCGGAAGTGCATTGATCCAGCTCCCTAAACTCATCGACGAGCGAGGCGCCCGCCAGGGCGTTTTTTTGGGCCTTCAGGGCTGGAGTTTTTTTTGAACGCCTTTTTGGATGTGCGGCTATGGATCAATACCTATGAAAATACCATTTTTAGGGGAATGAACATCCATAAATCCCAGCTATTTTGATGTGAACTACAGGGGTACAAGGTTTTGACACACTGCCATGTCTGAAGAAGTGGGATTTCAAATCTGAATATCCCCTGGAAGATCGCCATGTTGAATAGGTACACAGTCTATAAACAGGCAATTTTCCGTAGCAAACTGTTAAATTTCCGGAGGGTACAGATTTTGTCCCCCAACGCTTGGGCGATTGGCATGGATCAATGGGGCTTGAGCTTAAATGCACCGTATTTTTAGGCCACAAAAACGAATAGATCCAAGACTACACCAGAATTTCTAGGGGAGTATTTACTATGACAAACAAATACCATAGTTTTGATCCTACACATGATAAATATGTATGTTTACCTATATCCAAATAACAAAGAGAAAAAACATCCCAAGGTGCAGTTTACGTTGTCAGGGTACTGACTGGACAGCGCCAAATACCCTAATTATACCCATCACGTCTTTGCAAAACAAAGGATATGTATCCCAGATGCTCCATGTATGCAATATTTACCTACATTTACCCCCAAAATGGCACAAATGTAGGTAAATATTCCAGCACCATAGAGCATCTGGGTATGGGTATGTAAACGTTTGGCAAGCTAGCCTAGTGTAAACCAACCAGTAGATGTGGAAAAGCCACCATTTGAAGATCGTTTTCCCAGCATTTCAATGACCCGAGGACAGCGAGTCGATTTTGATGGGTGTTTCAGAACGACCTGTTTTTCTCAGCTGGATACTTCATGTTGTTTTTTTGGGTCCCTGAGATTTGAAAGCAAAAAGAATCACACAATGTGGGGCCCCCAAGATATCTAAGTTGGTTTATAACTCCAATAACTATGGTTTATGGTACGCAAATAACGAACTAGTTATTGGGGCTTATAAAACAATTTATAACTGGGGGGCTCCACATTGCAGTGAAATGGCGGTTTCTTCAAAACTGGAGCCGCCAATTAACCACCCAAAAAACCTCCAACCCTGTTGGCAACAAGTAGGAAAAAACTGTTTGTTTTTTGGTGGTGCCCCATTCTAAGAAGCACAAAAAAATATGTCGGACCATGGGAAAATTTGCAGGAAACCCCCTATGTTTAGTGGTTTCTTGAAAACCTGCCTTCCTGTAAATGTTTTCTTGAGCCAATCCATGAAACCATGGTATTTTCCATTAAGCAATGGATTTGGGATACCCAATGGATTCAGGCAAACCTTTCTGGAAAACATCTCCAATCTTTTCTATCTTCTCCTTCCGATTGGAGGCCACTCGAAGTCTGAGTCATCACTGCCCAGATGACTTCTGACTTCAGAACGGAAGAAGGGCCTGTTGCATGTGTTGCAGTGAATCTCCGGTGCTTTGATCCTCATTTTTGATCCCAAGTGATCGCACGACGATTGATAAAAGTGTATCGAAACTTGGTCTCTGAGCCCTAGGAAAATACGACACACACACACAGAGAAAAAAAACGACCTGATTCAAGTTCTGACTGATGGTTTCAATGTGAGGCCCCCCCGGCCACGATATCTAAGTTGGGGTTCACATAACTCCAATGTCACGAACTGGTTTATGGTACTTATAACGAACTAGTTACCGGGGCGAATCTAAACCAACGTTCACATCACTGGGGGGCCTCACATTGTTTGAGATGTTTTGATCTTGGATCATCACCTGGCGCAGATTTTTTTGGGCGTTCCAATGGCTCCTGGCACGACGCCGTGCTTTAAGCACCGTGCCTGCGGGGCACCGAGACGCGAATCGACCGCTGAAGGTGCGAGATTCGCAGGTCTATCGAGGTCTCGTTTCACCCTGTTATTCCAATGGATCTGGGTAAATTATAACGACCTCACTGTTCTCCCTCACTGGAATTTTGGTTAATAAGGGACATCATCCCCAAATGGCCTTAATTCAGGTTAGTGAAGTATTATAATTTACCCAGAATGGATCTGACATGGATCCGGCAAGGTCCCCTCGACAAAACGCATCGCAGAACTCTCCCGTTCGAGTTCAAATAGAAAGGGTAGGCCGGCTCAAATCCCATGGGTTTCTCATGATTTTCCCATTAAAACAAGGTATTTTCTGGTATACCATAATAATATAATATTTATATATATATATATATTCATATATCATATTTTGAGACAAACCCATTTGGACAAGTCAAAGTTGGATGGCTCACGACCAAGAAGGACCAGGATGGACCAGTCATTTCTGGTCTCTTTGGCCAATTGTTTCTCCTTACCAGCATGATATGCTGACACTCTTATACACATACTACTCATTAATTTATAGAGTTCATTCACGGTACACGTAATGGTAATATAATATTAATTCAATGTATTTTTTCTTGTCAACTTGGGGTTTACCGAATGGTTATTATACATGTATGGTTATGCATTTTAAAATGACTTACCACATATGTACCATCCATAAATACAAAGAAACAGCAAGACTACACTCCATAGGACCGCATAGGGCATGGGCTACCTGGAGGTCCTAGGGTAAATATCATGCCTCGGGCATGGAATCAAAAAATATCAGACAATCATGGGTATCTATGGCCGATGATATCCGATGATACACATATCCCATATCACATCATATCATCAAATGGCTGCAATCCTACAGAACCGGACTCTGGCTAGTTTGGTGAGTTTGTGGAGGAAAATCATGGAAAATCGACCAGAGCCAGCAAAATCATCATATTTGTTAACATTTGCCATCGATTTTGCCATAGATTTTGCCATTTGGTACTGGTATTTTTTCGATTAAGCATGGACCTTGCCAGGATTCAGATGAGATCGAGCCAAGGGTCCAAGGGTCAGCGCGACCTGGGGGCAAAACGGGGAGCTGGAACGGCGACGTGATATGGAGTCAGGCAATGAGAACGTCCGACGTTTGTGGGTTAAAACCCTTGCCATCATCTCTGGGAACCGGAACAGGATGAACATCATGAACATCCCAGCTATTTTGCTGTGACTTTTCACCCATAAAACCATGTTTGAATATATCTTAGGATGACGTTTTTTTTGTCTAAACGACTCGAAAATAGCTGGTCACAGCATGTCACAGCACACATCGGCTGCGAATTTCGGCTCAGTACCTGGATTTTGGGGGGGCGGCAGCAGTACTGCACAGGTACTAAGACTGTATCCGCAGGCTTGGGAGCCTCAGGTCCATGTTCGTCCATGTTCGTCAGCGCTTGTTTTGGGCGATCCTTACATTTGGTGATTGGAAATCTATTGAAATCTATTGACATATGGGGATGGGTCATGGCACCCTGGTACCGTGCCGTGAACCCCAAAATAGCTGGGATTTATGGATGTTCATCCCACTAAAAAGGGTATTAATAGGTATTGACCCATACCCATATAGCATACATCAGGAATTGTGTTGCTTCAATTCCAGCGGAAGATGGTCTCTTTCAAGATTTTAAAGACACTTAAAAAATGTGAACCTCTGCTTATCAAACATGACAATGGAACATCCCCATGTGTAGAGGGTTTACTTGTCAAAAGTGGATAAGGTATTCCGTTGCTGTGCTGGATCATTGGAGTTGTTTTTTTTTTTTTTTGGATGGTTTGAGACTATAACTGATCAGTGGCCATTTCAGGAACCTAAATTGGGGGTACCTACCATATATAGGGCCTATGTAAGGCCTATGGCCATTTCAGGAACCTAAATTGGGGGTACCTACCATATATAGGGCCTATGTAAGGCCTATGTAAGGGACTATCCCCCACAAAATATGGCCTTACATGGTGTACAGTACCTCCATAAATTGGATCCTGAAATTACCATTGAACTGATGACTGATTGGTATCCCAGCTATCCCATTCTGTTTTTCTTGCAGTTGAACCCTTATTCTTTATAACGACTCCCAACTTTTGGTGGCTTAATCAAAACAAGAAATTGGTCAAAGGGCAAATTGATTGCGGTGCCAGTTGCAACCACCAGAAAAAAAACAGCTGAGAGGATACCACAAAAAAAAAGAAAACAGGATGCTGTGATGTTCTAGTTGAGGCCAGACCAGACATCAAACATCATCAAACCACAGCACATAGAGCTCACCTTGCTATAAATAATGGTTACATCTCTAACTTAAACCGTAGTTAGCCCCCACTATTCCTAGATATGATCCCAATTCTCCTCAGTTCATTCTCATAACCCATCAAAAAATCCAACAAAACTCCTAACATCCCTAATTTTGCCATAAAATCACCAAACACTTATGATTTCTCCCAGTATTTCCCAATGATTTTCCATTTCGAGTTTCTTCGGCCAGTTCAGGAGGCCCTGACGTCGGGAACTCGAAGACATGGCCAGCTTTGCATCCAAGCGGCTGGCGCAGGAGAGTCGGAGATCCGGAGATCCACATTTTTCGCGCGCTGAACGCTGGTGCTGGAACCGCAAGAAAAGAATGGGGATTTAATCAACAAAACATTAACTTATAACAATCACTAAATTATACCTGTAATTACTATGAAATATAAACAATATAAACAATAACATTAAGTTAGACTATAATAGTTCCAAAACACTATTATTAGTCTAACTTAATGTTATTGTTTATATTTCATAGTAATTACAGGTATAATTTAGTGATTGTTGTCACTTGTGTTCTTGGATTACAATAATTAAGTTATACTAGTGATTAGCCATGGTTGTTAGTATTTTTTACCATGGTTATGAGGCACAGAAAACCCGGATTTCATGAGACAATCAATAGGAATTTACAACTGGTTGGTGGTGACTGGAACATGAATGGATGATTTTCCCCAATAGTTGGAATGACGATCCAATCTGACTTTCATATTTTTTCAGGGGGTTGAAACCACCGATTAGTGAAGTTATAATAGTGATTAGTGTTTTGGAACTATCATAGTAGTGTTATTTCTTGATTAATGAACAATTATTGAACAACATTGTGGCAAAAATGAGATCACCAGTGATACAACTAATGAGATCTTTAGTGATACAGTAAATAGTGATATATCAGTTCTAGTTAGAAACCATAGATATCAATGGCAGATCTAGAACTGACGAGACTAGTGATCAAGTATCATCATGATCTGGATTGATCACGACCTCACGACGTCGCTGGAACCATGGCTTAGTATAGGAAATCATGCCACGGCCGGAAATTTCAGGCTAGTGAAGTGGTAGAGATGCTGGCTCCAACTGCAAAAACATGTGTACATGGCAAAAATGAGTAGACATGGTGGTTCAGAAAAAAGCACACAGGGTATAACTATAAGGTGTCAAACAGGGTATATATCTTTAAGGTGTTACAAAGGGGAAAGGCAAAATTGACCCCTGAATTGGATGGAACATGTGTGGTTTTCTCAACCGAAGATTTCCGAACGGACTTCTACTAGGATTTTTTGGTTGGTTGTTTACAATTTGTGCAACAAAAATATTGATTTAGTTGAACTAAGAGATTCTTTCATCATCCATCATCTTCAATGTGAGGCCCCCCCAGTTATAAGTTGGTTAACAAAAGCCCCGGTAACTATAGTTATAAGTACAATAAACCATAGCTATTGGAGTTCTTAGATATCTTGGGGGCCTCACTTTGTTGGAATACGTGTCAATTTTTTTCACTGGATTTTCCCTTGGTTTCATCGATTTCTCCCGTGTGAAAACACACACCTTTCGGATGCCAAAAATCCTTCACCGCTCCGTGGTCCGTGTCGCGGAACCAGGAACGCGCCGCGTTCAAAAAGGACCACCCCTTTGGATTCTACGCAAAGTTCGCCTTCGGAAGTTAGTTGTGGTGCAGGATAGAACCGAAGAGTTCGGAGCTTAATTGATTGCTTAATTGGGGGATTCTAGTACCTGGTGATTTTTCATAGTTATGTAAACGTTTACCAGAGGGTAACACCACATACTAAGTGGATTATAACTTACACTCTTGGAATGACTAACAGTTTGCGAAATGGTATAGATGGCCCATAGAAATAGATGGTTTACCGAACTTAAAAATGGTGGATCTTTCCATGGCTATGTTAAATAACCAGATGGTATAACCGAAGCGTTCGGGACTTAATTGATTGCTATAGGCTTTTGGGGGATTCTACTACCTGGTTTACTGGGGATTTTGATAAGCCATAGGATTGGGAAACCGTTTTCAACCAACAAAGGTATTTCAATGTATTTCATGAGATGGGAAAACGGGGTATTTTTAATGGCTCACATGTCCAAAACTACCTGATTTTGTTTCATATCCCATGATTCTTCGATGACTTTCCTGAGACATTCCTGGGCCCTGAACAGCTTCACATTCATCGATTCACAGATGATTTTCTAAGATGTTCATTTCTACAATGTGGGGCCCCCTAGTTATAAATGGGTTAACAAAAGCCCCAGTAACTAGTTCGTTATAAGTACCATAGCTTCAATGCTTAGCATGAAACCGGGTGCTGTAGCCAGGTATGCGCCAAATGAAGACGGGAAGGGACAGAACGCCCGGATCCAAGAGATTTGACCAATTTATGGGATCCAATCATGTCCTTTTTTTTGGCTACCAGAGGTTTCAATGGGAATATCGGAATATGTTTGATATAATGTTATAAAGTAATATTATCCATCTTATATATATATGATTGATTATTATAATATGATATTATATATATATACAGTATATATATATATCGAGATCACAAACGATAACCACCCAAGATTTTGTTCATGGCCATATGGGAAATGGATCAGCCCACATTTACCCCAAACGTGGCACAGTTTTGTAGGTGTAAACATATTCCAGCACCATGGTGAGCTAATCTGGGATTGGTTTTTGCCTGGTTGTTAGGATCTAAAAAAAAGTTGTAATTGGTAAAGCCTGGTGAGGAAATCTCCAAAGTCACAACTATTGTTAGCAAGCATTTATTCATACCCTGGTGAAGCAGCTATAGCAAGCACCAGAAATCCACTGATTCCATCAATGGGATCAGAAATTTGCACTTAACTATGTATCTGGTTGGTGGTTTGGAACATGTTTTTTTTGTTGTTCCATTTAGTTTTCATATTTTTCAGAGGGGTAGGTCCACCACCAACCAGGTATAGATGATGATTAATTATAGATTAATAGCTTATGATTAACTATAGATTCATATATAAATATGAATTATTGCACTTAACTATACGTATATATATATACAGATTATGATTTGATTATGATTGATTACTATTAATAGTCATATAGATATATAGACATATATTATTAATTTCTATTAACCAACTATAACATTATCAGAACTATAACTAATTACTATTAATTACTATTAATATCCAATATCCAATTATAATTGCTATTGCAGTAACATTATAGATACTTATAGATAATTATATAGATAATTACTATTATTAATTGTTATTATTATAGAGAATTTCCAATAGTTATGATTATACTATATAATCCCAATAGTTTTTATTATGGATAATGCTATTCAAATAGTTACTATTAATTGTTATTACCATTACTATACTATTGTCATTAATTGTCATTACCATTACCATTATTCATTACCATTACCATTACTATACTATGATCATTATAATTAATTACTATTAATTACTATTAACCAACTATAACATTATCATAACTATAATTAATTACTGTTAATTACTATAAGTTAAAAAAAAAACTATTATTATAGATAATTATTATTATTGCTATTATTATAGATTATTATTGTTATTATGAAAAACTATTACTATGGACATGTTTATGAATAATAACTATCTATAAGTATATCTATATAATTACCTATATAACAATTATTCATGGTAATTCTATGCTATTCATAATTAATTGGGATAATTACTATTAATAACTATACTATACTATACTATAATTTTCCATGTCTATACTATACTATTACATTACTATACTATTACATTACTATACTGACTATACTATACTATTATAACTATAATTAAGTACTATTAATTACTATTAATAGATAATTATATAGATACTTATAGATAATTGTATAGATAATTACCATTATTAATAGAGAATTACTGTAAATAATTATTGCACTTAACTATAATAATTACTGTAATTCTGGCACTTAGCTATATAGATTATGATAGATTATGATAGATTATGGTTTATTATTATGAATAACTATTGCAATAGCATTATCCCATTAGTCGGTCCAACGATTTCCACCATCGGCTGATCGATCCGTCGTTGATTCCAGTTGACATTTGAGCGACGGTTAGCCCGACTTGAGCCTCCCAGGGGTGCGGGTTTCCCTGGGGTCCCTACTTGGGCCATGGAGGTGGGGAAAACTAGTTCGTAAATGGATGATTTCGGGATTTGTTGGTGATTGTTTTGGGGTAAACTAAGCCCAGTTACTAACTAGTTAACTAGCTCCATGGCCCATCTAAGTAGTTAACTGTAGATTATCAATGATTATCATACAACTTGGGGCCCTCGTTTACGATAGCTAAGTTGCGGGCCACACAACTCCAATGTCACTAGGCTTTATGGATGTTTATGGTACTGGGGGGCGCATTGTATGTATCCTTAAATGGTTGTAGACATCTGGTCTCCTTAGTTGATTTGGTCAGCATAAATTCACATCAAATCTCCACTGCGGGCTGATATTTTTCAGTAGATACATTTTGATATGGGTCAAACTCATCCACGGTTAGTTAATACTAAACGTTGGAAAAAAAACGTCATTCAAATGCTTTGACTCATAGCTTTGTGGCAGTGCCAGGGTTTTGCCGCTTATGAAGCTGTTGGATTAATGACTCGTAGATTTTTCAGGATGGTTGAACGTTGAACGGGACTTCTAATCATTGCCAATTTCTACATGGATCCTCATGGATCCTCTTGATTTTCTTGCTTGGACGAGCATAATTCTTGTCGGTAATGGTATATCATACCACAATGAAGTTTAGTATGGTCCTTCTATCAAGATCAGTGACCAAATTCAAGGACACGGCCATGTAAAAAAGCGTACCTTATCCCAAAATTCATTTCATCCATGGTATGAATAGCCATCTCATCCCACCAGGTTTTCCATGGCCCTTCACCCACGCGTCACTTGACCAAGACGACCAAGACATGTCTGAAAACCAGGTCTTCAAGTGGAACTGTGGCATTCCTGGGAGAGCAAAGGGCCCTTGGGAGGCAGGACATGTCGTGTTGAAACCCGCACGGACAGAGGACACCGCACCTTCCGAAATGCATAAATGGAGCTTTCCTAAGTCACAGGGCTACAGGATGGGGCCCTAGTTCGTTAGCTAAATTGGTTTATAGCTATAATAACAATAGTGTATGATACATTATGATACTTATAAGTATACTTAGATGGGGTTATAAACCAACTTCTAGCTGGGCACCATCCTGTACCCCAGTTATCATCCAAGTCGGGCATTTTAGTATTGAAACATATTGAAGCCCGTGACTTGGGGGAATCCTCTCTAAACCACTCTTGAAACTGCCATAATTGACTTGGGGTTTAAAAAACACACAACATTGTAAGACAGAGGATACCCTCTGGTAAACATACAAAAAGCTATTGAAAATGGCCATTTATAGTCAGTTTTCCCATTAAAAATTGTGATTTTCCATAGTTATGTTAATTTACCAGAGGGTATTCCATGTGTTTACCCCCCATTTTTGGGCACCCCCAAAAAGGCACGGCCTTGCGGCCTTGACACGTTGAAGGGTCGGTGTTCGCGGACCGTCTCAGGGAGCCACCTACGCTCTGACGATGGAGTTCACTGAGGACTATCCCTCGAAGCCTCCGAAGTGCAAATTCGCACACGTCTCGCGGCAGTCGGGGATGGGATGGGTATACTGGTGGTGGCAACAACTGGTGGTTTAAGGAAAATGAATGGAACACATGACTTTCCAGAAACAGTTGGGAATGTCATCCCAACTGACGAAGTCATATTGTTCAGGGGCAGTCGTCGGGGATGGGATGGGAGGTATACTGGTGGTACCAGCATTTCTGTGTTTCTGTTCATGAATATGAATTTATTAAGAGAGAGGTCCCACTTCAAAGCACTGAATTCTGAATGACCACCAAAATACGGAATTTGAAATGAACAAAAATTGTGACCTGACAAATCGATGGTATTTTCGGTCGAGGCATACTTTGATCCCAGAAATAATCGGAGTTTCCTGTACAGTGTTCTTTTGGGTTCCCTGCAAGATAGTTTTTAGCTTGAAAACACTTACCCTCTGGTCATTTAACATAGCGAACTGGAAAATGGCCCATAGAAACAGATGATTTTCCCAGCTATAAACCTCCATTTTGAGATGGATTTTCCAGTTCCCTATGTTAAATAACCAGATCGGTCTCCCTCTCTCTCTCTCAATTTTCATTGTGGCCACATCAAAGACCCCGAAGGCTCCCCATGTCACAAATCCAGAACTTGCTAGTGATCCAGTCAATCTATACATGACTAATGTCAAACCCAGATTCTGACCTTTGAGTGTGTAGCATTTTGGTAGCAGATGACGTGACAATCATATTCATATTAACCATATCAATCATAGCAATCATCATCATTGTAATAAATTAATAACAATAAACAATAATCCTAATCCTAATCACAATCATCATCACTAAAAATATCCGTCATGATCATAATCATAGTAATAATAATAATAATCATCATCATCATCAGCAGCATCAGCTTCATCATTAGCTTCAACATCTAGATGAACAAATATCCCTTCCGAAGTCTTCTTCGATCGAGGTGCACGGCAAGCCGCTGTTCCATCCAAACGTCTATCCTTCGGGGACCGTTTGTCTTAGCATCCTAAACGAGGATGAGGACCCGCTCTGAAAAAGGCTTTCCTTGGAAAAAAATCTGGGGGAAACGGGGGAACCGTGGCTTTTTGCTGGTCATATAGAAGGAAAACATAGGAACATGTGGGTAAAACAATATAAACCACCCCATTTTTGAGGGTTGATACCATCCATTTATGGTGATTTTTGGGATGGTTTATATTGTTTTATCAACATTATACATTTTCCCGTAAACGAAACCTGAGAGACCCGAGGCAATGGGGGGAAATTGGGATTGATTTCTAGGTGAAACATGTCCCAAGATTTAGAACTTGCCTGCACCTTTCCAACAAAAAGTGCATCTTTATTCCAGCGAGAATGGATACCCTCTGTTCGTTTAACATAGCCATGGAAAATGGCCCATAGAAATAGATGGTTTACCTATTAAAACTGGTGATTTTCCATGGCTATGTTAAATAACCAGATGGTAGTTCTTCCACCTAAAGTGGATCTTTTTCCCCATTTTGTCAGGCTAGTCGTGTACATCCAGAATACATATTTGAAAATAATTCTCATAATTATTTTAAATGGGCAGATATTTCATCCCATAAATTCCATGTACACTCTGGTAAACTAACATAAATATCGAAAATCACAATTTTTAGTGGGACAATTTACTATAAATGGCCATTTTCAATAGCTTTTTGTATGTTTACCAGAGGGATCTCCATGAAATATGTCAACCTGGACCATCCAGAATACACCCAAAAAATGGCAAAAGTACTAGTTGATGATGGGGTAAAACACCATTTTTAGGGCTCAAAAAACGGAGGCTCGTCCCGGGGTCCGGCACGGAGTCTAATTAGATGGGCTGAGTTACAGGATGGGGCCCCCAAGATAGCTAAGTTGCCTTATAAGTGGCTTTATGGTAGATATAACTATAGTTAATAGGGCTTATAATGGTTTATAAACCCACTTATAACTTGGGGGCCCCATCCTGTAGTTAACTAGTTAGTAACTGGGCTTTGTTTACCCCCCCCAAAAAAAAACGAAATCATCCATTTACTAACTAGTTTTGTTAACTAACTCCATGGCCCATGGTGCTGGAATATGCACACCAACAAGAAAGCCCGATAAAAATCACCCAGTCATGTAATATTCCATACATGGAGCATACTTATAGATGGGCAAAATCGGATTAACGATTCTTGGACTCCAGGACTGGAAGCCTGCCATCACGATTCGTCAGATTCTTCTAGGAATCCAGGCGCCTTCCGCGCTTTGCGCGGATGAACCTGAGGCTCCTTTCCACCATGGAAAAATAGGGGTTTTAACATGGTTTAACCATCCAAAACGGTGATCGAACCATGAAAAATCACTGTGTTTCCGTTAAAAACATGTGATTTAACTATGACACCAGTCTGATTTGATCAACCAAAATGGTGATTCGACCATTAAATTATTAAAACATATGAAAACAACCATTAAATTTTAAAAACATATTAAAACAAGTGGATCGGAAATGGTGATGGAACATCATTGAACCATATTGAACCCTCAAAATTAGGGAATGTTATCAAATAATGATATTTGAATTGAGATATCATTTATGAGGTTTTCAACAAACTGTGGTTTATTTTTCAGACATTTCTTTTGTGAGGACTCCTCACAAGTGATAGTCTGGTCAAAACCTTTCATTGGCAGGGAAGTTGATTGCTTTCTTTGCCTCATGGAGGTAGCTAGAAATGAATTCTTTATCCCCCAAAATGGATAGCTGAGAATTGTGGTAAACTCAATGATAAATCGTGTTTGATAGTACCATCAATGGGTGCCGATCTTCAATGGTACTCGTAGGTTCATCGTTGGGTTTACCATCGTACTAAATGTTGAGCCATGCCCTTGGGCAGGGTGCAAGTTCCTCAGTGAAGGCGTTTTTTTATGGGACTTGTCTTAGAGTCACACGTTACCTCCGTATTGTTTGGACGGTTTGCCGAGGCTCATGCTTTCAGACATGTCGAAGAGAAATGGAATTTATTAATGAGCGTTTCTGGCAATGTGGGGCCCCCTAGTTATAAATTGGTTTATAAGCCCCAATAACTATAGTTATAAGTATCATAAACCATAGTTATTGGAGTTATAAACCAACTTAGATATCTTGGGGGCATCACATTGTAGGTAATTGGATGGTATCATATCAATGTCTGTTGTCCAATGTCAAAGGTGCTTCCAGACATGTTGCATTTTGTTGACTTTCAGCTTCCGATCTGGGATGATGACGAACAGATGATTCCCTCAAACTTTCGTTCATACTCTCTCTTGAGTTGCGAGTTTCATCTACCCTCCTGTAAACTAACAGTTTGCGAACTGGACAATGGCCCATAGAAATTTAAATGGATGGTTTACCTATATTAAAAATGGTGATTTTCTATAGCTATGTTAAATTCCCAGAGGGTAATTTCCCTACTTTGTTGTGTTCAATGGCTCCAATTCGCGGAAGCAGATTCTTGTCGATGCTTAAGTCCTGCATTTAGCTAAGTTCCACACTGAGAATACTGGAATAATCTGGGAAATGTCCGATTCCAATATTCGGGATCATTTCCATCTTTTTTTTGGGATTCTCCCGATTTTTCCCAATTTGCAAGAATAATCTTGGAATCATCAATTGGAATTTCAGGATCCAATTTATGGAGGTACGTTAGTACCATATAAGGCCATATGAATTGTGGGGATATTCCCTTACATAGCCCTTACATAGGCCTTATATATGGTGGGTATATTCCAATGCTAGGTCAATCTTGGATGGGTAGAAACTAATCCTTTAATCTTTTGCTATCAATGGGAATATCTACTTTCACCAGCTAAAGATTAGATTTTTTGCCAGGTATCTAAGATTGGCAATGAATGATATTCCCATTGTAAGTCCAATAATTTTCCAATCATATTCCCATGAAATCGTAAGCGCCAATATCATTCCTATCAAATAATTGTCCTACTCCCAGTATAATTCCCATTGGTAATATTATAATATTACTATTCAAAGAGAGAGAGAGAGAGATATATATATATATTCCCATGGTTTTCCCAATTTCCCAATCTAATTCCCATGGGCAATATGCAATCCATGGCTCAAAGCTATGGCTCTTGAGCCACTGGTTCCCGGTTCCGCTGCAGGATCTGCTTGACAATCCAAATGCCGCATCGCCAGCACAGGAGCTGTTTCTTCCTTGGTGAAATAGCCGTTTCTAACCAACAGAAATACAGATACAGGATGGTGCCCCCCCCCCACAAGGTGGTGCCCCCCAAGTTATAAGTTGGTTTATCATCCCATTAACTATAGATATATCACCTATACTATAAACCATAGTTATTGGAGTTATAAACCAACTTAGCTATCTAGGGGGCACCACCTTGTAACCAACAGAAATACAGATACAGGATGGTTCCCCCCCCCCAGTTATGTTCGTTGTTTGATAAAGCCCATGAACTATATAGAGTTACATCTACCATAAACTATAGGCAATAAACCACAAACATATCTCAAAACATAGCTATCTTGGGGGTCCCTTTTTGGGATTTCAAAACACAACGTGATTCATGTGGCTGGGACCTCCAAATTAGCGCGGATGAATCCCAGCAACGTTCACAACTGGGTTCACCCAGCATCCTGCGGAGTTCAGACTGGACTTCAACAAAGGTGAGAAAAATCAGGGGTGAACCTTGGTAAATGATGGTAATGACTAACATAGCTATTGAAAAACATGCCATTTATAGTTGATTTACACATCAAACATGGTGATTTTCCATAGTTATGTTAGTTTACCAGAGGGTAAATGATGGTTTAACTCAAAATGACCTTTAAAATGTAAGCTCAGATTTTTCGCAGGGTATCTGGCTGATTGGCAATGGAAAATGGGCTCTATACCATCTGGTTATGACTAACAGTTCGCCATGGAAAGATCCACCATTTTTAAGAACGGTAAACCCAGGTAAACCATCTATTTCGATTAGGGCCATCTATACCATGGCTATCTTAAATAACCAGATGGTAAAATGTATAAGCTCAGATTTTCAAGGCCCCCAAAAAAACGCTTTGAAACATGTATCTTACATTTCAGTATGCCCCCCCCTGCCAAAAGGGTAGTGATAATTTGAATAGGGATTTGAGATGATTTTGATAAATGGCGATGTCACCAAAACTGAAGGAACGAGTTGTCAATTGACATTTTATGATTCTCAAGGAATCAAACTGGGTGGGTTGACTTGTTCAAGTGAAATGAAACAAGACCTGGAGATTGAACAACTTGTTTAGGAGTCTGAACGTTTCTAAGATGCAGACCAGTGTTTTTGGACAACAGCAATCTATCTCGAATGGACTGCCAGGTTTTCTGTTTTTTTCCATTGAAGGAAGATCGCAGCCGTGGAAAGTCCGCATTCTAAGCCGCGTCAGGAAGAACCATATCGATTGTTCTCCACGGACAAGAATGAGTACCTGAGGCCGGGGCAAAGCTTTCAGTGTAGCATAGTGTAGCCATCAGCCTAGCCATCAGCCTGTAACAGGGCCCCAAAAGAGATTTTTCACAGTTTTGGATGAGATTTATTTGATATACTTCGCAGGTGTCCAACGTGTTCAATTTATCTTGTGGTTGCCATAAGGTTGATAACCCTACTTAGATGGGCCATGGAGTTAGGGAAAACTAGTTAGTAACTGGGTTTTGTTTGCCCCCCAAAAAAGACAATTATAAGCCATTTACTAACTAGTTTTCCCTAACTCCATGGCCCATCTAAGTATGTTCAACATGGTTTTTATGGATGGTATCCCCAGTTTTGCTGGGCGAAACCCAGCTTTCTTTCCCCCCAATTCGGATGGTCACATGACGTTGGTCACGATGAGTAACTCAGCTGTCAAATCCTGCCCAAATCCATCAAGAATCCCACAAAAATCCCACAAAAGTTCAGGAGAGTTCAGAAATTGTGACGCAAGAACACATCTTACCCTCTGGTTATTTAACATAGCTATTGAAAATGGCCATCTGTAGTGGATTTCCCCATTGAACATGGTGATTTTCCATAGTTATGTTACCCTCTGGTTATTTAACATAGCCATGGGACATGGCCCATAGAAATAGATGGTTTACCTATTAAAAATTGTGATTTTCCATGGCAAACTGTTAAATAAACAGATGGTATTAAAACAGAAAAACACAATCACAACAGCAATCTTCACCAAACAAAAACATCATTTTGAGTTAAACCATCATTGAACATTGGAACATGGTGATTTTCCATAGTTTTTTGTATGTTTACCAGAGGGTAAAACAGAAAAACAACATCAAAAACAGCGGTGACTGAGGCGAGTGAAGAAGCAGGTCTCAGAAGTGGCCTTGGGTGCGCAAAACTCCACATAGCTCGTCGATGGCAAGGCAGCTGGGAATGGCTGGGAAGAAATCTCCAGATCTTGGATTTAGAGTGGTTGAATATGGTGAATCACTGGTTAATGGATGGTTAATGGATGGTATAGATGTTCTATAACATCTGGTTTGGAAATGTTTGGAACATGACTGGATTATGTTCCATTTCATATATGGGATGTCATCCGAAACCCATTGACTTTCACTCCATCATTTTTCAGAGGGGTAGGTTGAAACCACCAACCAGTATATTATCCCATTATTATCCCATTATTATCCCATTATTATCCCATTATTATCCATATTAAACCATATTAAACCATATTATCCCATTATTATCCATATTAAAACCATATTAAAACCATATTATCCCATTATGATCCATCTTAAAACCATATTCAAGTTTCTTTATACTTGTTGTTTTCATGTTTTTTGCTGTCCTTTTTTTTCCAGGAGATCAATGGATTCGGATCCTTAAGATCTTGATGTTAGGAAAAGATCTGTTTTTTTGTTAGGGATTCACATAAAATGGAATACGGACATTCAAAGAAAATGGAATACGGATGATATTCATGAAATGATTTTCATAAAAATGATATTCATGAAAATATTTACATATAATGATATTCATCCTGAAGAAAATGGAATACGGACATTCAAACACACCCTCACTGAAATGGTAGTTTGAAAGAAGCAACGTTTCTCAATCTTTGCTTCAGGATGATCATGGCTCCCTATAGCTCCAAATACTTCCTGAGAAGTACCCAGCCTGGTAAACTGTTTCATTTTGCTATGGAAAGATCCACCATTTTTCATGGGTAAATCAACTATTTCTATGGCCATTTTCAATAGCAAACTGTTAAATTACCAGAGGGTAATCTTCCAGATCTTGTAAAGTTCCATGTTCGCTTCTAGAGCCAATGAAATAAACCATCCCCAAGCCTAGTGGGTGGTATGATGGTATGAATATCCCAAATACTTCCTGAGAAGTAGGTTGTATCCCTTGATATCCCATGAAATCATGAGTTACCCTCTGGTAAACTAACATAACTATGGAAAATCACCATTTTTAATATGAAAATCCACTATAACTGGCCATTTTCAATAGCTATGTTAGTCATTACCAGAGGGTACATCATTTGATGATGCAACGAGCACTGAGTTGCCCAGGCTGTCCGCTCACAGCTGTGGTGAGGCGTGTCGATTCGACGGGTGCGGCTCATTTTTTGGTGAGGAGTCTGGCAACAAACAGGAACAAACCGTGAGCCGTGAGGTTTGAATTACTTCAATGTGAGGCCCCCGTTCGATATCTAAGTTGGTGCAAATAACTCCAATGTCACTATGGTTTATGGTACTTATAACGAACTAGTTACTGGGGCTTGTGTTAACCAACTTATAACTGGGGGGCCTCACATTGTTGGATTTACCCTCTGGTTATTTAACATAGCCATGGTATAGATGGCCCTAATCGAAATAGATGGTTTACCTATTCAAAATGGTGATTTTCCTTGGCGAACTGTTAGTCATAACCAGATGGTACTTGGATTTGCTGAAGATGACGGAATTTATTTTCTCCATGGGAAATCCACTACTTGGGGAATCGATGCAGGGATTCTTTTTATTTTTTTGGTGGTTCCGTAAGCACATTCATGATTAGTTCGAATCAACAAAAACTGATATGCAAAGTGAGGTTACGATCAAGACAAATATGCAAAGCATAGATTTTTGAACGAATGTCAAAACATGTCAAGTTCAACTTAACATCCTTAAGCAGCAAAATAGCAAGGAAGATCAGACGCCAAAAAGTTGAGAAAGGCCTGAAGTCATGACTACTTGCAAGACCATGAATGGTTTATTGAACCCTTCGAGGTGTTTATTTTCTCTGGGAGACTTCCATCAAAATACCCTCCTGTAAACTGTTAGATAGCCGTGGAAAATCACCATGCTATTAATGGGTAAATCAACTATTTCTATGGCCATGGCTTCAATAGCAAACTGTTAAATCACCAGAGGGTATACCATCATATATCCCATTAAATCCCATTGAATCACCATCATATATCCCATTAAAACACCATTCATGGGTAAATAGCTATTTTGATGCCATATAAATCCCAATAGAAGTTTTCCGTTTTGTCACAGGGCTACCCCCAGTCCTCCAGTCGTCATATGTCGTCATGGGTGACCTCGGGATCTTGCTACCGTTTTGTCATGGGGGCAGCCCTAGAAAGTCATCCATGAAAATAAGCTGGGATTTTCCATGACATACCCTCTGGTTATTTTAACATAGCCATGGTTTTTCGATGGCCCTAATCGAAATAGATGGTTTACCTATCAAAAATGGTGGATCTTTCCATGGTTATGTAACAAATAACCAGATAGTAAACCTAAATAAACCATCTAACGAGCGAAAAAATGTGGAAACCCCATTTCTATTGCCAACTTCCAACATCTGTCAGGCCTGTGAGCTGCCAGAGGAAGATGTGGGGCCCCCAACTTCGGAGGTTTCGCCATGAATTTCGCTGATCATGGGACGATGATTCTTCGTGTAAGTGTCACATTTGGAACATCCAACAACTAAGACCTGGTTGGTGGTTTCAAACATTTTTTTTATTTTTCCATGATATATGGGATAATTTGTACCATTGACTAATATTCTTCAAGATGGTTAAAACATGTTAAAACCACCAACCAGAGACTCATTCAGAAGATGATCACTGAATGAATCGGGATTTTTAGAATGGGGATACAACTGTGGAAGTATTGATACAACATGATACAACTGAAATTTACCCTCTGGTAAACTAACATAGCTATTGAAAATCACCATTTTAAATGGGCAAATCCACTATTAATGGTCATTTTCAATAGCTATGTTAGTCATTACCAGAGGGTAAACACATGGGTTTTCCTCAAAAATCGGACCTCCCCAAAGCCCAGGGCTTATCATCACTTACCCATAATTTTTGAATTCCGAGAGTTTGGGGACAAATACTCAGGTGAATCACATAGGCATGGGTCAAAAATTACGACCTAGAAAACAGCAGATGTCAATGTTTAGTTTGGTTATTAGATGTTATTAGATGTTATTAAACTGATCAGAATAAACATCTCAATACAAGCAAAAACATGTCGTCTTTGTTGCAATTGATGTTGTTGATGTCGCTTAAACACACTCCCATTTTTGTTTGTACCCATTTTTAACCCATGGCCCACAGCTGCCACCAAGGGCTAGCGAAAATCTCACCTCTTCGCGTGAGGGGATTCAATGGGCCTGGCGGTCCGAAAAAATGGCAAGCTCCAGCTGCAGATGCAGGAGGATGAGGATGTGGGTCTGGAGGGTAGACACCAATTTATGGCCATGAAATAATTTGGAAATTCAGGTTTGTAAGGTTTGATGACGTTTGATGACGTTTGATGGCATCAAACTTGGGGGTAGCCTATGTTACCAGCCCATCCCGAGAAGGTCATTGTAGGCGATGAAGGTTGCAACACTCATGATGTGCATGGGTGGCTTGCCTGCCTTGCACGGGATGATAAACAAAATGAGAAGTCAGCAACCAGGAGGTATTCGAAGTCAGAAACCAGGTGAAGAGGAGGTTTGCAGGAAGGAGATCACTCATGTTTGACATTTTGGCTAGAATAGGTGCAGTTGATCTGCTGGTAGTCTCAAGGCAAGCTTCATTTTTGATCGTCAGATAAAGGATGTAGTAGGCCGAATGTGATAGGACATCATAGCATTGAATGTCATTCAAGTGCATAAATCTTCACAAATTATAACAGTCTCAAAAACCTCATGGTTTTCTCTTAAAGGAAAACCATGGTTTTTCCTTAAATCAATGGCCATTCCAGGATCCTAAATTGGGGGTACCTACCATATATAAGGCCTATATAAGGCCTATGTAAGGGAATATCACCACAAAATATGGCCTTATATGGTACAGTACCTCCATGTTAGGATCCTGAAATTCCCATTGATTAAACCAAAGCAGTAGTTTTCGGTGTCTCCTGCTGGCTGTTGGCTCAGTGCACGGGGGGGCAGCAAGTGCACGGCGATCTGCGAAGCCCGCTGCAGCAGACTTGGTGGACACGTGGAAATGACACCAGGTGACTGATGACTTCAAGATGGATTATATCTGGTGGTTATCAATGGCTAGTGCTTAAGAATGGTGAACCATAATAATATTCATGGTTAGTAATAGTGGTTATTAATGGTGAACTATAACCATAATCGTGGTTATTAATGGTGAACTATAACCACAATAGTAGGTATTAATGGTGAATGGTTATTGATGGTTAGTAATAGTTCATAATCATGGTTATTGATGGTAATGGTTAATCTGGGTAAACTATAACGACCTCACTGTTCTCCCAAACCCTGGAATCATGGGTTAGATATAGGGAAATCATCCCCTTTTATGGCCTTAATCCAGATGAGTGAAATATTACAATTTACCCAGATTCATGAAGGATTCTTACTCTCTGGTAATTTGTTACATAGCGAACTGGACAAATCACCATTTCCATAGATAAATTCTCTATTTCTACGGGCCATCTATACCAGTTCGCTTTTTGTATGTTTAACCAGGCCGGGTTTTTCTATCCCATGGTGGGATGCCCCCAGTTTACAAATAGAGGTGGTACCCATCTTAGTACCCATCTTACTGCTAACCCATCACCATTTTGGGGCTATCCCCAAAATCAACAGAGTTTGGCTTCTCTTCATGTAATATTGTATAAACGCACACAAATTGTGTGTGTATTGGTCACCCAGCCTATCTGAGAGTGATCATCTCCGACATGTCTTTGTTTCATCCCGACTTGATTCCAACGAATCGAATATCTACACAGAACATCAGGAAACCATCTCTTTCTGAAGAGGCAAACTCATGAAACCATGTGTTTTCCTTTCAGATATCTTCAGATATCTTTGTTCCCTGTCAGTTTTCACTAACCCAATCTGGTTGGTGGTGACTGGAACATGAATTTCATTTTTCCCATCATATTGGGAATGTCATCATCCCAACTGACGAGTTTTCCATCATTTTTCAGAGGGGTAGGTCAACCACCAACCAGCAATGATAGTTGAACCATGTTTAACCTCAAACTTAGGGATTTCTGATGGAAAACTAGACTCAGAGTTAACCTTGGGTTTCTCTACGGATTTTTCACTAGGTTTCCCTGGAAAGCTGTGATGACTGCTGTATCTGAGGACCATGGGGTTTCCCATCCCCACGGTGCCACAGCCAGTCGTCCCTCGGCCTGAAATCGGGAGAAATTTTGTCGGAGCTGTCCACCGGACTGATGTGGATGAAGATTTATAATTGAAGGAGACATGACTTAGTAAATCACATCATATATATATAATAATAGTAATTATAATGATAGTAGTGATGATAATAATAGTGATAATAATAATAATAGTAATGATAATGATAATAATAATGATAATAATAGTGATAATACTAGTGATAATGATAATAGTGATGATAATGATAATAGTGATGATAATAATAATAGTAATAATACTAATAATAGTAATGATACTAATACAATTCATATACATATAATAGACATATAATAGAGACATATAATTCATGTTATACATTCGTAGATGATTTTATCCACATTGAGCATGGGGATATTTGCCAGGTTGGATTTTTTTGGGTCCCTTTTCTTGGTGGCCTATCCATAGAATATCTCCATTTCTGATGCTTAAATCCCCATGCTGACATCCCCATTTGGGGTTCATAGGCTTCACACTTTTGATGCTCAAAATCTCAGTATTTGAGGCTGAATTTTCGAGCGAATTTCCTCGGATTCTCCCTGTTATGTGTTCTGGTGAAAAATCAAGTGAACAAAAATCCTTGGAATCCCGAGTTTTTTCATGGTTTTTCTGGCATTTTTCATGATTTTCATGGTTGACTTCTGGGATTGTCCCACTTTTTGATGCACGAGGACGTCGTCTCGTCCGACGGCACCGACTCGGATGGAGAGATGTCAGTATCGCCGGGGGGCGCGGGCAACTGGTTGTGGCTATGGTGATACTATGGCAATTGAATTTTACCCTCTACTAAATTAACATAGGCCCTGAAAATCACCAATTTTTAATGGATTCACTAATCTTCCAACCCCCAAGTCATGGCAGGGTCGTCATGTTAATTTACTGGAGGATAAATGTCAGGGGGATGGGATTATTCACATGGCCTTTTCACTTGTTGTAGGTTTTCTTGTTGACTAAAAGTCAATCTGCTGGATGGGTACAAACTAATCCTAACTAGTCTTTTGGTATCTGGCTGGGAATATCTACGTTCACCGGCAAAGAATTTGTCATTTTTTGCAGGGTATCTAAGATTGGCAATGTTATGGCAATTGAATTTTACAGGGATACAATATTGCGTAATATATGGTGGTAATATATATATATATGTATATCTAATCTGGTTGGTGGTTTGGAACATGAATTTTATGACTTTCCCATCATATTGGGAATGAAAAATCATCCCAACTGACGAGTTGTCCATCATTTTTTAGAGGGGTTTTGGTATACCACCAAGCAGTAATAATCTGGTACTGCAATCTATCCCATCTTAAATCCCCATAAAGATGGTTGGTTCATTGCCACTGCGGTGGAAATCCTTGGCTTTCGTAGACCAGACATGCGACTTGGATATGGGTAAACCAAGCCACCAGCCCCAGATGCTGATCCCTTTGGAAGACCCTCCGGTGATCAAACGTAGCACTGGGAAATCCCAGTAGCATCCAGTGGGGGTTGCAAAATCATCGAAGTCCATTGGGGCATTGACCAGCAAAGCATATCCCATGACGGATCCATGGTGCTGGTATATATGCTAACATGACTGGGGTATATTGATGGGATCCATGTTACCATAACAGCACCATGGATCCTATGGGTATTTGATTAGCATAAGAAAACGACCAGAGCAGCAATGAAATTCAAAGCAGTTTCTTGACCAAAACAAAGACCAGAGAGCTTCGAAAGACACATTTTCTCCAATGGTCCCGAAAACGTCTTCGCAGCTTTCAACTCCGTAGAAACAGCCGGATACCCTCTGGTAATTTAACATTGAAAATGGCCATAGAAATAGTGAGTTTTCCCATTAAAAATGGTGATTTTCCATAGCTTTACCAGAGGGAATCCACAAACCTCAGGTTGACCCAACTGTTGGAAGAAAGTCTCGATGAAGAAATGGCCTTTCTCGATGCGGATCTGAACGAGGCGGCGCCATGGATGGTCCCGAACGGAGGGAATTGTCGGAGGCTTTTTGGAGTCGGTGATGTTTTGTTGTTTTCTCCAGTGGAAATTCATTCAAAATGGAGAATCTCTATAGGGAATGTGCTGAAAATTTTTGTTGGGCTGCCTTAAGAAAATCCAAGTGTCGGCAACGGAAGAGATATCCTGATATCCATCCAGGACATGCAATTTTCAAAAGTGAACATGGAAAATTCGCCTTTTTGATGGTTAGGACTTAGGATTAGATCATGTTAGATCATATGCTTGGCCATGTATCAGCACCCCTCTTCCACAGCTTTGTATCAGGAGCCTCGATCTTCTAGTGCATCAGCATCTGAAGATCTGAACTCAGACTGACTTTGGGATTTGATCTCTTCCTTGATGGAACACCTATGTTTTTATGTTTTGGAAACTTGGGATGTATACATACATATATATATATAAGTATATATGTACATATATATATATATGTATATGTATACATATATATTTCTAGACTATTTGTTTTTATTTTAAAAGATGAAACCACTATTATGCATTATTATGTTAGATGCTAGTGGAATGGTGGTCAATCCCTTGCCCATGGATGGATCAATGTGGAAAATTTGGGGAGGCATGGAGACACGCTAAAGTTAGCTGTCCTTTTTGCAGTGTATCTACGACTACTTATTGTTACGTGATGTCTGATGTCAAGTCCCACGTTTTTGATGCTGTTTTTCCGGTGGGGAATCCACTAGACATGGGGAAACTATTGGAACTATGTATTATTTTTGGTGAGTTCCAAAAAAAAAACACGTGTTATATCTACAACTAGCTAGCCATTGTTACATGATGTTGTCTTTTGATGCTGTTTTTTTTCCCCGAGGCAGATGTCACTGTGAAGCAAGGCAGGTGGCTGGTAGTCGTGAAAGGATGGTTGAAGCAGGTTCCCCCCAAAACATGGATGGAACAGATTCTACTAATTGGGAATTACATTAGGAATCTAGAATGATAATTTGTTTCATAGTTGATAATTATTGTTGATGATGTAAAATGAATGG